AATCATGCGGAAAACGAGTGTGCACCAGATGTCGTCATGCGAGACCTCCAAGTCTGCTAGTGAGCCTTCGAAAATTATTTCGGGCGCTTCTTCGATTGACACAGAAATCTTTGGCTTTCCGTCGGCGAACTCTACATGGTTGCCTCGTGTTGAAGGCGACCGCTCCCTGTTCTTGAAAATCGACTCACGCGCGAGGCTCTGGGGGCGAGAGTTGACGGAGAGCGGCGACCTGACAATGCTGCTTCGTCGATTTGTAGCCGCGTTCATAGCATTCAGCTTCACGATAGGGCGAATCTGGTCAAAATATACGTCCATGAGAATTTTCTGTCGATCATCAGGCCCCGCTTCGTCCATGTCGTCAAATGGACGAATAGGCGCCTTTATCCGAGGCCTTGGTGAAAGCGCTCGTCCGCTCGTCCGATAAGACTTTTCATCCGCATTCACATCTTCTTGTTGATTGAGCAATCGGAGTAATTCCTGGATATGATGTCTCAAAACATCTTGAACGAGCTCCCGCCGGCTATTGTGTGCCTCTGCGTCAGACGGTTGATCGTGCAGTGTATGCTGATCGCGCGACTTCTCCGAATCGCCTTCAGTATCGTGGCCGTTATGCCTCTGCATTTTTGTTCTCGCCGTGAGAACTTCATCAGTGTCGTCCAAAGCGGCGTGGAGTGATTTTAAGATGAGCAATCGATCAAGAGCCTTTTCTTCGGCCTGGTAGTTTAGTATTTTGGTAATATGTCTCCTATACCGCGTGATGATTGAAGAATTATGTTCTCCGCCTCCGGGCTGTGTCTTTGAGAAAAAGGCGTCTAGCATCTTGGGCAGGGAAACGGATCTCTTGTCCCAGCTGTGCGGTGTTGGGTTGGGCAGGAAAGTAAAGTTGCTGTTCTCGATATGGAATATGCGACTTAGCATGCCGAGAATCTCAAACGATACTGATGGGGTGTGTCAGTCTCAAGAGTGATACGGCTCCAAGCCCATTTTGTCGATGCGGATCAAGTCAAGTCAAAGATCAAAGAGTAACTTACTGGGGAAGAGGTGGGATGTCCTTCTCCCTTCTTCCAAAAAGATTCTAGTAGTGTTGTTGTTGCAACCGATGGCAGTCAAAGTCTCGGAAATTTCTCGCGAGTTGCCCATCAAGAGGGTGGTGAGATTTTGCTGCTCATCGCTTGGAGGTTTCAATCGCCGCTGATCATCCTTCTCTCGATAAACGGTGGGAACATAGCCGAAGCACAGTTCCTTGATCTCGTCAACGGGGACGACACGATTTCGCTTAAAGGTGCATTGGCCATTGACTTGGAACGAGAACATGAGCCCGGGGTCACTAAGCCTTTCGCCCAGGATCATGAACCCGTTGCCTTCACCCCAGTAACGATCACGCTTGCGATCAAACTCCTTCCAGTATACGCCAATGGCCGCCATCATCTCTATCAAGTGACACATGGTAGTGGTGGCATAGGGCTTATTGACGGAAATGGGCATAGTATCCCAGCTCTTGCGTTTCCGCTGGACAGCAACTGTTAGAGTGTGATGGGTCGCTAGTGCTGGAGGCTTGGGTGGGAAAAGATCACTCGGAGGCCCGAAATCCTTGTATTCATCTTCTTGCCATTCTCTCGATTCAACCTCCATGCGCTGGGCAGCAAAGAGCAGCACATACCAGGCGGCTATCTCATTGTCAGAGGTGTGGATTTGTTCTTTTCTGGACCTATCATGGTATGCTTTGCGCAGATCCAACTTTGCAGTTGTGTTTGTGTCTTTCTGGGACTTTTCGCTGCCATCCAGATAGTAGATGTCAGCATCTACAACGGGCCCATGCTTATTTGTCGGCGGCGACACGAAAATGACGGGCACATCGAACTGAACCTCAAATCGCAGCTCATCAAACCGAAACCGTCTCGTCTTGGTCTTGGCCCAGCCGCCCATGACCTTTTCATTGCAAAGGGAATAGCCCTGAGCGGACGCATAGTACTGTTGGAGCACTTGCATAAACGTGGCCAGCAGTGCCACGACAGACACTACCAAAGCCACGGCAGCCACAACGAAGTCGGAGTTGTTGTTGCCGCCATTGTTGTTGTTATTGCTGTCGCTGCTGGAGTTATTCATCTTGGACTGTGACTAGACGGCAAAAAGATGAAAGATAAGAGGAAAAGGATCAAAATGCGTTCAAACAAATGCTTGTATATATGGCCACCGGTCAGGGTTGCGACCAGTCCCCAAGCCTCTCGCGAGGCGAGTGAGACGTAGCAAAATCAGATCGGTCGATATGCAGCAACCCTCTATCACTCTGGCTAGGTCGAGACCAGTTCGGCCTTGCTCTGGGAATGAAGGAGGCTCTGCGCGCTCAGTGAGAGCCGTGAGATGACCTATCCTTTGTCGAATGCTGCCTTGTGCGAAAGAAAGTCGCCTCCTATCGGCTGGAGTGCCGTACCGAGTACATGCGGCTCAATGGAGCCGAGAATGCGTTGCCGCCAGCTGCCTGAGTTAGGCCGTAAAGGTGGTATCGAGGGCGAATTGTGGCAGAGACTGATTGGCAGGACACTCCATGCTTTGCCTCAAGTCTGCTTCCTCTGCTGCCTCTGCTGCGGTCGACTCAGGGCTCTCCGACGGGCTGCCTGTCGAAAGTCGGCCTGAGGAGATGAGGCGCGCGGGACGGTGCGGCGCGACTTGGCCGGCGCCATTGGCCCAGCCTCCAAAAAGCCACAGCCATGGCAGTTTGTGTCCATAGGCCGCCAATTGCTAGTGCAGCTCAGATAATCGAGAATCCGCCGTGGACGGACACAGCATGGCCTTTGGGGCGAGGCCGGGGTTGGAGGGGCTGACCCGCAGTCTGGTTGTTCGGCTAGGCTCAACATGAGAATATGTGGCGAGGATGATTTGACAAGAGCTCTGAGAAGCGAACTTGAGTTGAAGCGAGTGAGATAGAAATTGAAGCAAGAAAATGCCTTGATTGCAGAGAAACGTGGTGTTTCTTTCTCCTAGAAGGCAAGGAAGGCGTGGAATGATCTCGATGCCAAGACAGTGGGTGATGCTAGGCGTGTCTGTACTTACAAGTATCGACGGACGCCTGTAGATGCTCGCCTCACCGCCAACGCTAGTGGAGGTTGACGGAGAGGCAAGCCCTGATGTGCGTTGCAGTGCTCCGCACTCCGCTATAGCCTCATGTATACGCCGGTATATGTAGTGCCTCAGACATCAACCACACATCTGTACTTGGGTTGAGCTACGGAAACACGATATCCAAGGACGATCAATTTCAGCAAAGCATTGCATCCCAGTGTTTGACGGCTATTTGTAGACACAGTCATAATCTTCGAAAAGTAGCGTTGGAATCCTTTCGATTGGACACATCTGCAAACCGCATAGGCAGCTCGACCAACAACGCCAGATACAAAGCCATGTCTCGACTCTTGCGGCCGCAGGATCTCGATCACGAACTGCATCACATGGCTCGTCATGCCGCTGCTTCGGTGATTGCCGCTGATCCTCAAGGAATGAATGAACGAATGCGTGCTTCCACACCAGCCAACAGCATAGGTGCTCGGTTTAGACTTCGTCACACCCGATAGTCTGGAACCGACAGCCAGTCCATCCTCACCGCTTGTCTTGTCTCGCGCAAGCCTTTGTACCACCATGACGCGAGGTATCAGGTATTAAGTATCCTGTGAGGCTCGTATATTCAATAACTTGCCAATTAATGGCTAGCTAATCTCAGTACAATACTCACAGAATGCCGGATCCTTCTGTGCGTACCACTCATCCACCGCTGAGTATACCCTGGAGCTTGTCAATCAAGCGTCGCTGTTTATCGATTCAGTTTCTGATCGTACGAGCCTTATAGGTAGTCTACCGGCCGGCATGAGGTAGGATCAAGCGAAAGGCTTCTCTATTCATGGCCCGTAGCTGAATCATGCTAAGCAGCTCGGTTCGGAAAGCGGCCCGGTGGTCCAGCCGCCAGAGAATCGCAGGCCGTCCACCGTGCCTACTAGGTAGGGAAAATGTCTCAATCCCAGGTAAATGAGATGTGACCAGCTAGCTTACCAACAGACACTACGTGTGGAGTAGCGGAGATAAACGACTAGTACCTTGGATCATGTTGATCTGAAAGTACAAACAACATTTACATGGTGATTGTCATGTACAAGTCCCCTTGTTTCATCATCCACAGGAGTGAGATAAGTGGCTATGCGGTAGAACTAGGTATTTCACGCTGTGGACTTATACTGATTGGCCATCGTAGAAACGAAAATTAGGAGTATTGCTCCGTCCCAAACTCTCTGGAAGCTGCCAGCCTGTGTGCATGGAAAAGTGATCTGACCAACAACAAATCCTCCCTCGCCCTTGCGGGTACGAAAACGGGGGCGATGTGCCCACACGGAAGGAAAATGAGTGAAAAGACACAACGAAGACGAGCTCATCTTTAGCGACTACTGCTTTTGGATAGCTTTGGATGTCGCTCTCTCTGCACTGCAACACCCTTGTTTTGACATCAGTAACGAATTGTTGGTCTGCCCAGGCTAGATATCACGGACAAGCACCACAAGCTTTCGTCTATTGTTGCCCCAGCCTTCCCGGCCACGCACTCTCCGCTAGCGGTAGCTAATAATGGGCTCCACTGTGATTGCGTCCAACACCAATATATGCGGTGACAAGCTGGATGCAGAAGGCTCTCTCCTCTTGAACTGGATACGAGCTCCGCCAGCTTCAAGAAGAGCCAATAATGCGGCTTTCCGTGTACCAGGAAATGTGAAATATGCAGAGTGATACAGAAGGAACCGCCCGTTTTGAGTATGTGATGTGATATAACTACATCGGAGAGAGACGTGTTGGACTGTCTCATGGACGGCAGAAGGTGGCTGGTCAGTCTTGACTCTTATAAGTAGTCTAATACAGCCTGATCTTGTTTACTGTATACTTTTCTTCTCTCTGTTCTGGACTTCGTTGTGAAACCCTCTCTTTGCCCATCTAGAGTTAAGAAGTATTCACATACTTTAGACACAATGGGCGGCTCGTTGACAAAGCCGGCTACAGAGTCATCCGTTGACCGAATGACGACGCTATCAAAAGACATTGAAGAAAAGACGCGATATCTAACTGACGCCTTACGATCAAAGGGCCTCGATGCTCCTTCTTACAAGGCAAACGGCCTTTCTGACTTTCCTCTTACAGAAGTCGAAGCCGTGAGGACCAGACAAGAACTTGTGGCACTGACGAAAGAACTGCACGACCTCGTTCTGGGTCCTCGAGAGACTTTGAAGAACATGGCTTGGGAAGTGAGCTTTAATCTTTTATTCGCTAGTCATAGGCCTCGTGAAATCCTGAATATGCTAACTGTATGGATTATCCAGTCCATCAGCTACATACCTTTACAGGCAATATGCGAGTTCAAAATTGCAGAGGCTGTGCCATTGACGGGCTCTATCTCCTATGAAGAGCTAGCAATCAAGGTACATGATTTGACTGGCACCACGATATTACCATCGGATCTACGACGCTTGATGCGCCTTGCAATTGCCAACAACATATTCCAAGAGCCAAAGATCGGTTCGGTCGCTCATAACCGGGCATCTTTGCTGCTGCTAGAGGACGAGTCCTTGGCCAGCTGGACGGCATTTTATACAATGGATCTCTTGGCTCCTATATCTCAAACTGTCGCCGCCATGAAGGCCTGGCCTGGATCTCAGGAAACCAACGAAACGGCAAGTACGAGTCCAGCAATATTCTATGATGGACACTAACTAATAAACGTTACAGGGCGTGAATATCGCGTTCAATCACAAAGAAAGCTTCTTTGATCATCTACAGGCGGATGAGGCTCGGGCAAGACGATATGACTTGATGCTGCAGTCTCATGGCCAGCGAGAGGGATATGATGTATCACATACCGTGTCGGGATACCCTTGGGCTAAATTGGGCAAAGGAACTGTTGTTGATGTAAGTTATACGCAATATGTCTCTCGTTTCATCACCACCAGCTAATTTAAAATTTTTAGATGGGTGGCAATGAAGGATTCGTAGCAATCGCTCTCGCAGAAGCCTTTCCATCGTTATCATTTGTCGTACAAGATTTAGAGGGCATGCGAACACCCGAAATGGCCGATAAGATCCCTAAGCATCTCGCCAACCAGATATCCCTCACGACGCACGACTTCTTCCAGCCTCAGACAGAGACTGGTGACGCATATCTCTTTCGACACATTTTCCACGCATTCTCCGATAAATATGCAATCAATATCCTCCGCGCGCTGATACCTGGCTTAAAGCCGGGAGCTCGCGTTATCATCAACGATATCGTGCTCCCTGACCCAGGTGTGGTGTCACGATTGGAAGAAAAGAGCATTCGAACAATGGATGTGCTGATGAAGGCGGTGTGTAATTCTCGGGAGCGGGAGATGAATGACTGGAAGAGCCTTTTCGAGCAGGCTGACAAGCGCTTTCGCTGGCAGGGCGCTTGGAAGACGAGCGGCAAGCTGTGGTTTATCGAGAGTATATGGGAGCCTTAGTTTTGTACGCGATAGTTCTAATGATCAGGGCGAAGTTCCAGAGAGTAACATTCGTGTAAAAACTTTTTATACTTTACCTGTGTAGTACAATTCGTGTATTCCTTGTGTTTCTTCAAAGCTTTCGTAATGGTAGGGGCCGCATGATTAATGTATCATTTACTGGTTGACCTGAATGAGAAATCTATACGCTTAGATCGAGTGGCTACTTATCACTCAATTTCACAGCAAGCGACCAAATCGGTAACTACCTTATGTAGAATAAAGATGCTCTGTATGTTATTGTCTAGGCCCACTATCGTCTATGTCGATAAATGCTGAAAATGTAGTAAACTGCTATGACCAGGAGCTACGCGACCAAATATGAGATCATCTCAGTTCCTGAATGGTAATTACACTGGGATATTATAGTGCTCTTAGCGTTGTTAAATTTCCCCCATGTCAACCGGGCGAGCGTTTAGACAGTCGATTTTCGTCTCTATAGCATCAAAGCACTCTGTCTGCTCTTTCTCCAGTTGATTCATCTTATCGATGACTGTGAACATCTGCCGAGTCACCCGTTCTAATCCTTCTTTCTGCTTCATTGCAAATGGCAAAATGATTTTTTGAATCCGGTTGAGGTGGTCATCCATGTATTCCTTCAAGCGGTCTTCAAGTTCCCGAAGATCACCTTCATCAGGCAATGTTTGAACCGCAGCGGGAAAGATATCCCACTGGCTGAAATCGTTGGACCGCTGCAGGAGTTGGCTTTCTGCCCTGCGCTTCAGTACTCTGGCCGGTTCCGGATTGTAAGCGCGATAACACTGCTCAAAGTCACTGATGTTAAGCGACCCGAAGATGCCTTCCACTTGGCTGTCAAGAGCCGGGGTGCCAACGCCGAGCGCTCGGATGAAAACATACTTGGCCCATGTTGGTGAGGCTTGACACGACTTGTAGACGCTGTGGTCGCTTGGAGCAGAAAACAGCATCGAAGGCCCCTGCTTTTCGAAGCGCTGTTGCTCAATAAGGGTCTTGTACTCGACTTGGTCCTCAAGGGTCATATTTGTTGCCTGTCGCCAGTATGCCTTGACAACTAAAACACCGTTGACATACTGCGCGTGTGACTCGTTGCAAGGGATGTGAGAAAGCTCGATGTGGATGGGTGGGATATTCGGATTGGTACAGGGGTTGCTTGGTGCCATAACCGATGGCGGTAACACAGGGCGTAACAAAACAAAATAGAGCGTTTGGTGGTGGCTGATGGTCAAAAAAGGTATCCCGATAGTGGCGCGGGCTGAGTTTTGAGATCAATTTGTGAAAGAGAGTAAGAAGAAAAAGCTGGAAGAAATGAAAACAAGATATGGCGTGTAATTTAGAGAAATCTGCGTGAGTTGATTTCGTGTGGTGTGCTGCCAGTTCCCGATAAGTGTCATTATTAACTTTGGCTGAGTGAATATAGTCACCAGATGCCACTTTTCCATTGAAGTTAAGGAGGATTGAACTTATTCACCAGGCACTGAGCGTATAATTAATAGGTAAATGTTATCCAATAAGCCAATTCAATTGCCTATGCCATTGTATAACATGCTAAAACTGATTCTTACAACACGCATGCGGGAGCCTTAACTCTGTAGACGATTCATTTTAACGCACACGGTGAAGTTTCACGTACCAATATTTCCTTGTATTTGGAACAATCTCTGGAATTCATGATAGTCCCAGTGGTTGTATCCATTCTGCCCCTTTCACTTCCTTAAAGTTGACTACACAGCCAAGGCTGTTGTGAGAATCGTTATTCACCACCAACTCACAACGCAAGTAACTAACGTATGGCCTTATGAGTTCTGTGCCGCGATATTTACTAAAATCTTGATGTTTCCATTATTTCCCTATCTTTTTTACTCCATCTCAAACTCAAAAATTTACCCTCATCTGCATACCTTGGCTAATCATCAACCAAATCTCAAAGCCCCCTGCCTCTTGGATGTATGTTTATGCTCCCGCCGGCTACGACCATGGCATGCACACGCATCAATCCTTGCCCAAATCCAGGTATTCCACCTGTTAGTATCGAGCTTCGAGACATACCTTCAACGACGCAACCGGGATTTGCTCTTGCCCTCAGAGTACTCGAGGGATACTGGCGACAGGCGACAAATATGAGTACTGAAGAGCAGTGGGATTACAAGAGTTTCATTGAAAATAGCTATTTCTTTAGGCATGATGAGGGCGGAAAGGAGATTGACTCTCCAGAAAATCACATTCTCTTCAACGAGTTACATGTCACACCGACTTGGGGGAGATATGTGTTCCTGAAATCGTTATTCGGCGAGGAATTCACATCCATCATCGACTATTTTGCGATCGACATATTCGAATCCGTTGAAACTCTTGACCTTGAGGACGAGTATCGCACTTACCACCGAGACCCAAATCGACCCTATAGCGAAACCAGTAGAGAAGTGCAGACGCCATATACCGCCCCATCTGATTCTTCTCTCCCCAACTCTAACTCTACAGAGTACCTCAGCACCAATCGCGATCAGTCAAATATCCCCTCTCCTCTGGGCCAGTCTTCGTCCGTCAATAATCAACTTCTAATGCAACGTGATCTTAAGAGACTGGAAGCCCGCCTCAAAGCGTCCATCGTTGAGATGGGAAATAAGATCCTGGAAGAGGTCTATGAGCTTCGCGAGCATGTCATGGCAGCCGAAGCCAACAATGACCAAATGTCTTCCATAGAGACCAACTGAAAGAAGACTAGGCAAAATCTTGTGCTTTGATAGAGCACACAGCTGAGCGCCTAACCAATGCAATCAACAACCTCGCAGGGGAAGACTTGAGACATGGGACCATCGACAAGCTCGGTGAAGCAGAACGGACAGGATCTATTTGTATTTGAAAGAAAGAAACCATCTTACATTTGGTTGTTTATGTCCTGCCTGTTTGTATGTATGATCGGCGATCCACGCCTTATACAATAGTGAGCTTGGGGATAACAAAGATTTCTTCTACATGACCCTTCATTCCAGTTACCGAGTGTGACGCAGAATACCGCAACGCTTGATGACTACGTAGGAAAAAAAATATGGTTTCCTGAGTGATATATTTACTGTATCATTGTAACGCATGTAGATCGTTTCGTGTAGCATGATGTGTGCCCGCCTCTCTCTAAATCAACCACTGCCGAGAAGAAGAAAAAAGAAGTAAAAATTAGACATGACCAAGGATCCTTTAAACCTTGCTCTTAACAACAGCCCTATTCGCAATATTCTTTTCAAAATTTACAATCATAGCAACGTGATGTGATAGCGCAACAATATCACCCGCTCTATCGCATATAATTATCTCAATATCGGATCTGCCATTGAACGTCTTCTTCGACAAACACCGTATTAGGAGCCACTTCTCGCCCTCCTCCGGCAACTTCTTCTTCACATCAAGATTCATGACCAGCGTGGGATACCAAAAGGCAACCTTGTGCGTTAATTCGCCCCCTGCGACTGGAGGCTCGTTCTCCGTACGAGGCCGGTGCACTTCAATCACAAAAGACGCCGTGATGTCGACCAGAAAGCCTAGAGCTGGATCTTTGAAGGACTCGCCGTTCTTGGCGCAAACCCACATGTCAATGAGAGAAGTTTTGCCGCTCTTTTCTAGGGCTTCGCGGTTGTGGTAGATGTTGAGCTGCTTCACAGCAGTGACTCTGCGCTGGATGACCAGATCCAGAGGCGGCCATTCTGGGTCCTCATTCGTGAGTAGTTTTGAAAAGTCCTTCACGGCAGGCAGCTTCGGCTGCAGAGACCAGCCAGTGTTGAGGCTGATGCCGCTCTCGGCTGCGATGCTTCTGTTTGTCAAATACGCAACGACGACCTTTTCTGACTTTGCGCGGCCGTTTGCTGTGCCGGATGAAATCCATGGTGCTTGAGGGAGGAGACCGGTCTGGTAGAGTGAGACATGAATTACTGTCATGGAGCGGCCTGGCTTGACCTCCTCGACAACGAGAATGGCGCGGCCGGAGACGGTGCGGCTGAGGAACTCCCAGTGGGCGGCGATGGTGTCGGGCTGGTTCCTGGGAGTGAGATATTCTCTTGCTGCACGCAAGAAGATTGTGGCAACATAACCGCCATTGGGGACTGGGAGAAGAATGGTGTTAGTGAGTCTCAATCTCAGGCTTGTTTCTTATGGCACATGTCTGGTGTATACGGGTTTATGAGAATATTGTGTAACATACCTGCGCCTATGCAGAAGCTAGGAGACAGATTCGCCTCAAACGTCTTGTCATCGAGTCTCTTGATGGTGCTCTCCTGCTCTAGAGACGCAGGGATCTGGACTTCGGTGCTCATTGTGTCTGTTCTAAACTGCCTTGAAACTAGGGGCTGCTCTCTGATTATGAAGGGTTGTAGATCCAACAGAGGGGAGAGAATGGAGGAATAAGAGAAGGGAAAGTAGTCAATCGGATTTGGCTATTTTGGGGAATCCCTTAATAACGCCTAGACACGAGATAAGACGTAGAATTGTGTAGGTAGATAAATAGTAGTTAAAGAATCTTGAGAGGGTCTTTTCAGAGACAACCCCCGTAGATATCCCCAGAATCTGCCCGAGCCGAGGTAGCCCCGCCAACCGATTTGCCGTCGAACTCGCTCGCATTTAGTTGACTTGACACTAAAATTGACTGCTTACGGGGCGCTTTTTAGCGAGCTAAGATAGTGCCAAAAGTGGAAATAAGTCGATGCTGCGTTTGCCGTTTGTGGGGGTTGCCGCTGATTGATTGGGGATTTGCGGGGAGCAACGTGGTAGGGCAAAGTATTCAAGAGGCCTGGAAGAGCTGCATTTGCAAGTAACAACAGCGTCAACAACAAGAACAACAACATCAGTCGTTACTGTAATCTTGAAATATCACCACCTCAAGTCATAGTTGCTGCATTGACTTTTAGTTCAATTCATGTGATTGTCCCAGAGCCGGTGTTTACTCATCGTCGGCTACCTCGGCTAAACCGCTCTGTCAGTCGTTCATGGCGCTCCTCTCTTGCAGCGGAAAAGTGTCGGAAGGGATCCAATTGATGAAATATGGAGTTTAAATCTCGCCATTGATGTTGATTACTCGAAACTTGTACAGCTCCATTATGTAGATGCGGTAAAACTAGTGACCAAATATGATGAAGTCCCTTCAGGTGATAAATCTAAGGTGAATTAAAGCTTGAAATACATATTTAAGTTGCTACATATGTAAGCTCTGAGTCCTATGAACTCTCTTCACACCTATGTAAACCCTCTCAATCTATACTATACCTGACATGTATCATGAAAATAGGCGCAAGTGCAAGAAGAACTTTACTCAAATGTCACCCTTATGACCTGCGTATGATTATTGTTCGTATACGCAATCGTCAACGTCTTGCCTGTTTCATCCAGATGCGGATACGCAACTCCCGCATATACAAAGCCTCCATCAATCGGCGTCGCCTCATATACTTCTTTGTCTTGACTCCAGGGACCTTCTGGCTTCGGGGCAGTTCTCAAGGCCACTTTGGGGCCATCTAATGCTCAAAGTCAGTCTTTTTGTTCAGATCCAGTTTCCTTCTGGCAGACTTACTTAGATGGACGTATATATAGCATTTGAAATATTCGCTGTAAACAACCTGGCCCTGTCCAGCTCCCCACATCACCGCCGTCTCAGAATTGTGCTCTGCCAACACTTCCCATCGCCATCCTTTTTCTCTCCCCCACCAGTACTCGTAAGCATCCAGGTTGAAAGCATCTGCTGCCTTGACTCGTGCCTGGTAGATGTACTCTGTATGCGGCCACTCAGTGATCCAGTTGGGCGGATGGCCCCAGATGTAGATGTACTCGCTATTAACATCACGATAGGCGGCAATGTCGCCGTATTTGGCGACCTTTGAACAGTCCCACCACCAACCGCGGTCGCCAAGACGCTGGGTGATAGTAGGCACGCCTTCAATAACCTCGACTCGGGCGATACCAGCTGAGCGATAGTTTTCGTGATCGTTCTGTTTGTATGTGTAAGTGAGTGTAAGTTGAATAAACGTGGTGTAAGTGGCTGTGGGCGTAGGTGTTCGTCTAACCCTTCTCAAGAGAGCCTAGTGAATAGAGAGCATCAATGTAAGCAGAACCTACCACAAGGAAATAGACAGCTCCAACAGCCTTCTCATAATCAACCTCACAGATACTCGTCCCCCCAAACCCAAACTGATTCGTCTCCCCCCACTCCTCCCTAAACGGCGTAAACTGCTTCTGATGCGGCACCGGCTCATCATCATTCAGATGCAAATCGTGCACTACCAGCGGATCGTCCGTCAGCGCCGACACCGCATTGCGCACCATGCCGTGAAAACCTCCCGGGTCTGGCTCTTGGTCCGGATCCGTCACGCCGGGGCTGCACCAGAGCGTGTCGCCATAGACGGCGTACCATTTGCCCTGGATGTGTCCTGCGAAGCCGAGATCTCGGCGGCTGGCGGAGTTGCTGGACTTTTGCTCGCCTAGATACTCGGTTGTGAAGTTGCCAATGGGATTTTCGCCTTCGGGTTGCGTGTTGTCGATGCCGTTGGGTGAGTGGAGCGAGCGCTTTTTGTCTTTGGGGCTGTCTTGTGGCTGAGGTTGGGGGTTGGAGTTCTTGCCTGTGAGGCTGTGAAGCATCTTTTTGAAGCCGCTCATGATGCTGGTGGCAGGAAGCGAGAGGAAAAGAAAACCTAATAAGATAGCTCTAGATACAGTTCGATATAATGAACAGTATTAGTGTATGAAGATAAGAGGTGAAGGATGAAGTTGCCCAGAGATGGGATATAAAGGCGTTACCAAATCTGTGGTGATCTGCCTTCTCCACACTCTCGGCTCACGACGTCACTTTAGCGATCCCGCGATCCGCTAGTACCGCTCTTTACTAGCACTGCCACCTTTATATCTTCACATGTGCCTTAGACTCTTCTACTCGCAACAGCCTGACATGTGAAGTGGATGTGAAACAGCACGGCTGCGATATCCGGCCGAAAAGGCACATGGCCGCGGGGCCATCCGAGCCAAGTTAGCGCCCATCCCAACTCCAACTCATCTGAGGTTCTCCTATTCTTAGCAACAAGTATATTTGCAGGTGCAGTTTCTATTCAGAATGGTCTATTCTTTTGGTGGGAGGGTATCTATTGGAAAATAATGACATGGCTATGGATGGTCTAATGGTGATGATAAATAACAAAGAAGCTAATGATATTGAACGCCTTGAACCCAACAATTCCGTCTCCTGAATACAGTGGCCTATTTTCACAGCCGCCCAAACACCTTGCCAAAAATCTCCCTCGCCTTGACCAGGTTAATGAGGCTCATCCTCTCATTAGCCAAATGCGCAGAGTCGCTGGCCCGCCCGCAAGGCAAGTGGGCAGCCGGCGCTCCAAATTCCTTCTCCAGAAAGCGAATGGCCGGGATAGAGCCGCCTTCGCGGATGTAGAGCGGCTTCTTAGGCTTGCTCGTCGGCAGCTCTGGTGACTCCAGCGGAAGGGCTTTGCCGTTTGTGCTCAATTCATCTGAACTTGGTCGCTTAGTACTGGCGGCATCTTCTCGAGGCTCGAAGCAGTCGGGCCAAGCCTCCACAATGGCGTCGCATAGAATGCGGAAGATGTCGTTGGTCGGATCGCCTAGCCACGGTTCAGACATGTTGTCGATACGAATGCTAATCCTGTTCTCAGAGTCGAGACCATCAAATTCGCGTTGCAGAAAGCCTGTCAGGGCCGTCGCCATCGTGTCCACTTCTTGTCCTGGTACCAATCGCATGCTGATGTGTGAGTTAGCATGGCTGCTCACCAAGCTACCCTCTGGTCCCGACACGTTGTAACGATGAATCGTCAGGTTTGGCTCTCGCCATGTGGCCAAAAGCGACTTCTTAATCTCTGCTTCAGAGACGGCTTCCGCACCACGGCGAACTAGGATAGAGGCAATATCATCGTAGCGAGCCTCTTCCTCTGGCGTCACTGGTGGGATGCCGTCGTAGAAGCCAGGGATAAGGACTCGATTGCCGCGCCCCTTTAGTCTGGACAAGACTGCTGTGAGATCTGAAAGGGGCTCATCATGCATGTAGGAACCGTCAACGCCAGAGTGAGCATCAGGACGCGCTGAGTCAACACACACAGTGGCGTGGAGGACCCCTCGCAAGCCGTAAGTCAGACACGGAACCTCATCGTCCAGCCAGTAACTGTTGGCCAGCAGGATGTAGTCTACTGGGCCAATGTGCTCCTTGTTTCTCTTGATGACCTGTTCAAACCCTCTGGATCCAAATTCCTCTTCTCCTTCAATCAAGAAGATGACATCATTTTCCAATTCTTGCGCCTGCATCAAGTCTGTGACGGCGAACAGTGCAGCCAGTATGGGCCCCTTGTTATCGCTGATGCCTCGTCCATAGAGATAACCATTAGTTCCGTGAACAGTAAACGGGTCGGTGGCCCAGTTGCTCTTCTCATTATCAGCCGATACCACGTCGTAATGCCCGTAAAAGAGGATTCGCTTTCGCCTATCAGCGCTTTCCTTCTTTCCAGAGAATTTTGCCAACACCACAGGGTTGTGCGATTCTCCTGTACTCAGCATCTCGACATATCCGCCCATGCGCTTGAACAGAGCGCCGAGATAGGTGGCCCCCTTGCGGCAGTCTTCCGCAAATTCGGGCCTGGATGACACGGTCTTGTATGAAACGAATTCACTCAGGGCAGAGAGGATGACATCGTCCTCAGTCTTGCTCATATTCTCCGATTTCGGGTCGGCCTCATCCTTGATATTCCATACGCAGATGTCGTTGTCGTTGGCCCCCGTGATGTAATATTGTTCGTTTTTGTAAGTTGCGCAGGCGGATGACAGGATCTTACTCTTTTCTTTGCCATTATGCGCTTTCCACTGGCTGAGGCACTGGTATTTTTGGGCAACAGTTCTTGAGATGTGCTGGTATTTGCCATAATGCGCCGTACTGAATTTCTGTAGAACTGGTGTCAGTGGATGCTGAAATAAGAAGGAAAGCGGGTGCTCACATTGGCCCATCCGTCAGCAGAAGTAGTCCAAAGATAGCCCCAGCCCATCTGGAGCGACATTATGTCTTGATTCTGCGCCTTAATCACTCTCAGCCTCTGGGCTGTGTCCAGGTCCCAGAGCTCGACAATGCCATCGAGCTTTCCAGCATACAGGAAGGATCCGTCTAATGCCAGTGACAGCACAGACTCTGCGTCATCTGCACCAAGCGACATGATCTCCTTGATGCCGGCTCGCTCGGGGTCGTCCGGATCAGTTCTGCCTTGTGCCCCAAGACTCCAAAGCTTAATTGTGCCATCACCACCTCCTGAAATCAGCACATCGTCCTCTGGACCAACTTCCACGGTAGGCCCCTTTGCAATAAGCATGCAGTATATGTAGCCGTAGTGGGCAAACTTGCGAATTGCGCCACTGTCGATTTCCAAGACATTGTTGGCTCGAGGGATCAAACTCCACTTGTCCTCGCTGCGTCTTGGAGTGCTCGTTCCGCCAATCGCCTTGGAGTCGAAAAACCGGTGACTTCTTCGATCAGGATGTCGCTGCGAATCGGGCGTCACTTTTGTGCTTGGGTCGCTCAGGCTAACCCATTGGATCGACGTATTCTGCGCGCCAATGTATAGCGTATCGTGCTGCGGACTGTATGCTGTGGAGAAGATGTCGCCGACATCGTGGTTGCCGTAGATTTCGTATAGGCGTCGGAGCGTTCGAGGGCACCACACGTTGATGATGGGGTCGCAGGCGCTCGAGAATAGGTACGAGCCGTCGGGAGAGAGTGATAGTGACATGACGCTCCTCTTATGCGCCTGGACCTGCTGGACCTGGTGGAAGGTGGAGAGAGACCAGACGACAATCTCGCCATCTTGCGTGCCGGCATAGATGGAATCGTGCTGTGGACTGACTGCGAGGGCGAGGACGCTGCTGCTGTGCTTGAGGCTGTGAAGTAGCTCTGGCTGGGATTGTTTGCAGTCGGGCACTTCGAGAGTAGGCAGAACGGCAGCCGCCGGGTCGACCGTGAGTGAAGGCATCGTGGCTAGAACTGGTCAGAGATTGCTCCCGATATGAAGCTTGGAATGTGCAGGGCTGGCGGGGCACGCGAGTCGTTGCACCAGACCATAACACGACAGAATGCAGCTGCACAGCAAGCAAATGAAGCAGAAATGCGAGCAAGAAGATTCAGCTTCGTACGCGCTCTGTACGAGATTCGGGGAGGACGCGCGAGGATCGCACAATGGCATCTGCGGTCTCATAGAAAAGTCTCTAGAGGACTGAGTCGAGTCACCGCTGACGTGATTGGCAGCAATGACGTGCTTAGTGCGGTTTCGGCGCTAGACTTCTGTTTTACAGGGCTCCCAGCGCGATAGCTTCAGCTTAACAGTGCCCTTGAGCTCCTGTAGGCACTGGGTTCTCAGTGATATCTTGCCGCGATTCCTGACCTGCTCCCTTTGTTGTAAGAGAGCGGATTCGGAGCGGCTTCAACTGCAGAATGCATCCATCCTTCAATTCAGGCTATACAAGCTCGCGTGATACGCTCAATATGATGCCATGGCAACATAGATTTTCATTGATGCTGCCTTGCAATCTGGTGTAATGTACCATGTTTGGTATACGTGGTGAAGGTGTGAAGATGGATGACAAAGTGAAGTGCACAACGCACACATGTAGATAGAACTCACCAATACCTCTGTGCATCAAGTTCGCCGCCTTTTCTCTCACAGCCATTTGATCGCACTTTATACATTCTGCAGTTGCGTTGAGCTGTACTGTTGTTGCCGCCTCATTGGTGTAGCCCGTCTTTTTGGCAAGCCTGGCGATGGTGGTTGTGTGGGAATACATTGAGGCTTCTCGTAGCTGGAAACAAACGCAGTTTGGATTTTACAGGAAAATGTGTCACTGCAGGTAGCTATGAGAGACACATGGGCATAATATACTATTATTCATGTCCACCGCTCCCAAGACCGTCGATACCTGGTATCAATGGCTGAGAAATTTGCTTGTGACGCTAGAGCCAGGTACATGTAAGTGGTGTCACCAAGTGGTGTCGCCTAAGCTGAGATCTCTAAGCAAACATTACTCTTGGCTTATCCGGTGTTGAGTCTCGATGACACCCAGGTTTGCGGTGCACATATGTTGTTGGATTCGATGATGTGGCCACTGAGGTATGGGATATCGATCAAAGGCGGTCACTTGGCGCCAAAACGGCCAATGAATAAAATATCTCCATTCCAGCAACCCAACAGACGGATACCCTGACTTTTTCATCTGCCCAAGGTACATGCAATTAGGCGCCCGCGGACTTGGAAGTGAGACTTGCAGCCTAGATCAACAGCATCAGTCATATGAGCTGATCACTCTCCGCGTTGTTTCATGACGAATATGAGACTTTCATGGTGCCTATAAAAGGACACAGCTCAGAGACGCAAACCTACCCTATCAGACAGAAGGGACTAGGCACTGGGTTCTAATATTGAGCTCAAGAAGGGCTATGATGTGCAGCTGTATCTGAAAGCGTAATGGTCATGCAAGGGAAAGAATGATACATAATACCAAGGCCGGTCTGCCAATTATGGATTGCTCTTCATTGGCTTGCACAAGATGCAGTTAAGACCTGTTAGGTTAGTGAGATTGAGAATACAGAAGCGAAGCCGTACGCGTATATCTCAAGGTCAATGCTCCACCTGTTAATTGTAGAAAAACTACGATATTTGGGAAGCAGCGCTATGATTGAGAATCCAAGCTGCTCTATGCAGGCAAGCAAACCCAACAGTGATGCCAGAGAGGTGTACCGATTCCAGAGTCTGTTTGTCTGTCTTATACCCTGCCGCCTGCCTCCGCCACAAACGCCACACGGTTCCTTGCGCTTAAAAGTAACGCAAACTTTGAGCTGCAGATGCGCCCAGAGCTGAGCCCCACACCCCACACTCTGTGGCGGGGCTGCGCTTTCTCTTTCGCAGCCTTTCTGTCGCATACTGTGAGGCTGGGCGTCTTGTTTTGAAATCGTGGTTTCTTACCTTCTGGCACTGCGCGGCTTTGACATCGTCACCTTGCTTTCGTTATTTTTGCTTCAATAATCTTGCTATTAATCTTTCTTTTTGGAAATACATTTATCATTAATTCTTCAGCGCCATGGACGACCAGTTTGGAGGCCGAACAGACGACGATCTGTTCTACGACGACTTCGAGCCCGTCGAGTCTGAGGCCGTCTTGATCACCGAAGAGCCGTATATCGCGCCTTACACGCAGTCCGCGCCAGCTGTCGAACCAGCGCCAGCTCCGGTTCCTACACCAGACCCAGCTCCTGTTGAGGCTCCAACTCCCGTTCCCGCTGCACCATCCCGACAGAGTCAAACTCCTCCATCCTCCAAGCCGTCGCCAGCTCCCACGCCCGCTGCGGGTAGAGGCAAGAAGGCCAACAAGGGTCTTTCGTCTTCTAGGTTCGCCGAAAACCCGTCTCCAAAGCCGTCTCCCGCGCCAGCAGAGGCTCCTACACAAGCACCGAAGCCAAGGTCGAAGCAGACGCCGAAGCAAGCGCCGAAGCCAGCGCCGAAGCCAGCGCCGCAAGAAAGTCCTCAGCAAGATTCTCAACAAGGAGCCCAGAAAGGAGCCCAGAAAGGTCCTCAGAAGGGTCCTCAGAAAGGTCCTCAGAAAGGTTCTCAGAAAGGTCCTCGGCAAGGTCCTGCAAATGGTCCTACACCAGCTCCCGAACAGGCCCCCGCACCCGAAGTTCCAACCGAAGCTGTAGCTGAGGATACCACTCGGGCCCAGACACAGTCGCCTCCACCCAATGGAGGCCCTATCTCCAAGGAGAGACCACAGCGAATATCGCCGCCGCAAAATACTGCCGTCAGCGCCGACGTACGTGCCAAGTCTGGCTCTAACCCGCGCCAAAAACTTACCGACAATGAGCTGGCTGCCAAGATGGAGAAGATGAAACTGCTGTCAGCAGAGAAGGCGCGCAAGTTTGAAATGGCAGAACAAGACGAGAAGCAGCACGCCGAGGCATACGCGCGAGGAATGGAAGAGGCGCGCAAAAGAAGAGCTGACGAGGCAGAGAGGAGGAAACGCGGCGAAGAAGACAGACGCAAGTTGGAGGACGAGCGGGCGAAGAATCGAGAGAGGAAACTCAAGGCTATGAACATCAAGGATGGCAGCTGGGACGAAGGGAAAGAGGCTTTGGCCGCAGAGGAGGCTAGAAGAGGATTCCGCGGCGCCAATGGTGGCATCAGGGGAACGACGAGTCGAGGCCTGGGTGGAAGCCGATATGCTCGGGGCGAGGATGTTCGGGGCGAGGGCGCTTGGGGCGAAGAAGCTCCAGATGTCGATCGTTTCCTGGATGACCGCTACCGGGGCCGTGGACGGGGAGGTCGTGGGAGAGGCGGCAATGGCCGAGGCAGGGGTCGTGGCCGAGGCGGTTATGATGGACCAGTCAACGACGGTCGTCCAGAAGCCCCTGCTGTGGACAACTTTAAGAAAGCAGCCCCTGTCGCTGACGACTTTCCTGCCCTTCCTGCTGGAAAGAACAGCAACAACAGTGACAACACAAAAACGGACACAGAACAGAGCAGCAATGCAGAGCCAAAACCCACCATGGCACAGGCGGCGCGGTTAGCGATGGCCCCCCCTCAGCCGCCTCTACCGCCTATTGAGCCTGGCGGTGCGTGGGATGACGAGATGGAAGCTCTTGATGCTATGAAACAGTCTAAAATATAGAAAAAGAGATTGGTGTTCAAGCAGCGTAAAGAGCCAGCCTGTAAAGGAGAAGAAAAAGAGAAGGGAGAGACCAAAGAAGAAGAAAAGAGAGAGACAGAAGAAGAAGAAAAGGGAGAGACAAAAGAAGAAGTAAAGGAAGAGACAAAAGAAGAAGAAAAGGAAGAAACAAAAGAAGAAAAGAAAGAAACAAGAAAAGAGAGAAGGAACAGAAAATGGAGGGAGAAGACGAGGAAAATGAGAGAGGAGAACAGGAGGAGGGAGAATAAGATGAAGGGAAAGGGAGTATTGAAATAAGCAGGATCTTTGGTATTGCTACTCATCGCCACCTTTCTTTGGAATTTACCAGCGGCGTCCTCAAGTTTTTGTCTTTACGATTTTGGTCGAATGAGGTATACGATCATACAATTTGAGGGAAAGAAAGGGGTCAAAAGAAAAAAAAAATTATATACATTATTGAGGCACAGATACCACTTTTCGGGATATTATCAGTCCTGTTTGTTTACTGCTCTAAGCGTAATACGGTAGATAGAGCGAAATTGAAGCGCATTTGGCCGATTGTTTAGAGGGGTATATGACTTTGTTTTCCGAATTCTATTTACGATTTTCTCTCGTCCAACCAATGATAAAACACTAAACACTAAGAGGTACCCTGATTATCGTCCGTTTGTAGTTGACTTTGACAGTTTCAAAAACCTTCCCAGACGCCGAGCTGCAATGCAAATTAAGTATTATCATCCCGTAACAAGACAATTCACCACCCTCCGCGATACCCTCTTCCTCCCCTCCCACTTCTGTATCCCCCAGGCCCTCTAGGCCCCCTAGGACCTCCGCCAGGCCCATCATCGTCCATGGCCGGCCGTGACCGGCCCTTCATTTCCTTCGGGAACGCATCGTACGTCTTACGCATCTGCGCATATCCCAGATGCATCTTTCCGTAAAAGTGGTCTGCCAGCCGGCGGTCGTTGTCGAGTCTGCTGAGATAGGCGCCGCAGACGTCGCAGACCTGCAGCTTCTGGTGGCCCGAGGGGCCGGAGGTGTCTGAGAGGGCCTTGAGCTCCTTCTCGCGTTCGGCTTTCTGCTGGGCGGCCTGGCGGACGCGGAAGAGCTCGTCTTGGGCGCGGGAGACTTCGCCGAGGGAGCCGAGGATTTCGACTTCGAGGAGGCCGCTGTTGATGGAGGATGTGAGGTCGGATATAGTTTTGAGCTGTGAATAGTAAAAGAGGTGGTTAGCTGAAGTGCGCCTTTCAAGAGCTTATATGCCAATCGAGGCCAGAGGCAAAGGAACTCACCAAAGCATTAGTCTGCCGGATCTCGTCGGGCGTCTTCTCCAGGCGTCGCTGCGCCGCATCTATCCTGCGATTGCACTCGTCGATGTACTTTTGCAGATCGCGCATGTAGTCGTACTCGAAGCCGTACTTGTGCTTCTCCCGCTCCGACAGCCCCTCGTATTCCGTCTTGAGGGCCTCGGCGTGCACCTTTGGACACTGCCCAAGGTCCTGCTTGGTGTTGGTGAAGAGGTCGTGCGGACACGTGCCGACGATGTAGGATCGGCAGACTTTGGGGTCGTTGAGCGAGAGCTGCTGGGCGCGCGACGAGGCGGACGCGCCCATGAGCTGCTCGAGCAGCTTTCGTTGTTCGGCGGCCATGATGGCGGTGCGCTGCTGAAGTAGAGGGGATTTGCGACGGCGAGGGGGTTGGAGGGGGTGTTGAAGCAAATTGGGTTGATGGGTTGGAGTTTTGGCATCAAAGCAGATGGTAGAAGTGTATTTTTCCCAGTTCGAGATCACGGATCGCCTGTGGCTGGTGTTTTGCAGATGCGGCGGGTGGAGACAGTTTTTAAGCCTAAGCTGCCCCTGGCGCGGCTATCGTTTGCGCGGGGATCGCCTGCTGCGAACCGCTAAAGCTGCTGTGGCGCATGCATTCAGCGGTACGATGGCGGGCAGCGTGTGGCTTAGAGCTCGACTCCTGGTACGTACCCGCTACTCTAATCTGGCAATATCAAGACTTGGTTTGAGAGATGTGAATTCCGCCCGAATCGCGCCAGCGACTCGAGTATCCTCTCCTTTTTTAATTGTCTGTTCTCTTAGTGCACAATGCGCTCTCTTTTATCGTTCTTACCGCTGCTCATTCCCAGCGCGCTGGTATCCGCGACCGAGTACCATGAGCAGCTGAATCTACGGCCGCTGCCTCTATCAGCGCTCCTCGCGAGCTTCAACTTCCGAGCCAACACCTCCATCGCCGACTTTGACGCACAGAACTTCCGCCTCTTCCCGAGATCGCTGGGCCAGATCTTACAGTATGCGGGCACACGAGAGCTTCACCTGCGGTTCACGCTAGGCAGATGGGATGCTGAGAGCTGGGGAACTCGACCATGGGACGGCACAAGAGAGGGCGGCACCGGAGTGGAATTGTGGGCGTGGCTGGATGCCGAGACGGACGAGGAGGCCGACGAGAAGTGGCTGACCCTGACCAATGCGCTGTCTGGCCTGTTCTGCGCCAGTCTGAACTTCATTGACGGGACGAGGACGATCCGGCCTGTGGTGTCGTTCCAGCCTGAGGGCGACCATCCCAACACGACGCTGGCGAACACGAGACTGCTGCATGGTGTGTTGCCGCACGAAGTGGTTTGCACGGAGAATCTGACGCCGTTTTTGAAGATGCTGCCGTGCAAGGGCAAGGCCGGAATTGCGAGCTTGTTGGATGGACATAAGCTCTTTGATGCGTCTTTCCAGAGCATGGCCATTGATGTTCGGCCCATCTGCCCGTCTGAGGGCGAGTGCGTGCTCCAGCTGGAACAGACGGTTGACATGGTTTTGGACGTTGATCGATCCAAGCGACCTCACGGTATGTCTATTCATCCATTTTCTGACACTCATTGATATCTAACGTTCGATTGTATAGATAACCCCATCCCACGACCACCTCCCGGCCACGACTTGATCTGCGATACCACGAAGCCATACCACAAACCTGACGATGCTTGCTATCCGATTGACCACCTTCGTGGCCAAGACTGGACATTATCTCAGATTTTTGGGCGAACCATGAAGGGAACATGTCCCCTGACCGACGCTGAAGTTCCCCCAGTCTGTGTTCACCTTCCGTCGTCTCGAGACTTGTTCGCTTCACAAGGCGCCCATGAGATTCGATATCCCAACAACGATTCTCTGCGATGCTATCACATTGAGCAAGGCAGCGAATTCACCCTTGTGTTGACCAAGTCTGAATTTCCTATTGAAGGAGGAGAAGCTGTTCCCCTTGGCATTATTAAGCCAGAAACGCCTGTGCTCTACGCTGAGCGAAGCTTTACTGGCCACGGACAGGAGCACGGCGGTGTGCAAGCCATTCTCACCAACCCAGGCGATGATTCTGTTGAATTTGTCTACATGGAGTCCCTGCCCTGGTTTATGCGCGTCTACCTACACACTCTTTCTGCTCGCATCTCAGCCTCATCACCCAACACGAACTCCTCCGCCGATCTAATCAAGGAGATCTACTACCGCCCTGCCCTGGATCGCGCTCGTGGCACACAGCTCGAACTCCTCCTCAGAATCCCTCCTCGCTGTACCGTCTTCCTCACATACGACTTTGAACGATCCATTCTCCGGTACACAGAGTACCCTCCCGATGCTAACCGTGGCTTCGACGTCGCCGCTGCAGTCATCACCACGCTGGAGCCCAAGGCCATGAACATCCGCACCACGAGTTTGCTGCTCTATCTCCCCACTCCTGATTTTAGCATGCCGTACAACGTCATCATTTTCACGTCGACTACTGTGGCGCTTGCGTTTGGAGGCATATACAATATCATCGTCAGGCGCATGGTCGGCGCGCATGAAGTTCCCCGCACGGCTATGAAGGATAAAGTGCTGGCTTTTATTGAGAGGTTGAAGAAGAAGAAGTCAGCGGTGGTAGCGACGACGGCGGTGGGTGGGAAGGCTAGTATAGAGTCTGTCTCTGGGACGTCAGAAGCGAAGTGATGGGATGTGTTTTGGGTCTTTTTATATGTTAGAATGTTGCATAATGCGGATAATTTTGCTAGATCTTGAGAGGCTTTTTTTTAGCTGGCAGTCATATATATTGAACAATGTTATACCCTCGTCTCATGACCAGTCTCAGGTACTTTGACGTCCTCGAATAAGCGTTGTTGATAACGCCAATTTGCCTTTAAGCACCAGAGGTCTATTGCCCCTATGATGACTCTATTTGAAAGTATACTTTCTAAAGATGGCTGCTACCTTACCTATGCAGACATTGTAAGTAAAAATACTTGGTTTACATATCATGACACGAAAATTGCCATGGTAACAGTGGCTTTCACCATACAACGGAGATGCTACATGTAATGTACTGCCGACAAAGTTGCACTTCAAAGCTTGATTCAAAAGCAAATAGACAAGTGTCTCATGTGCCAATATACTACCTACTATCTGCTACTATCAACGGCAAGCAAAGGTACTCACTCAGCAATAAGCTGCTTCAGCCTCTCTCTCACAGCATCCTGTAAGTCCTCCTCTGAGTCCACAAACTTGGCCCCATATCGCCTGCAAACTGCTTCCACATTTCCCCTCTTGGAGTATCCATCCTGAGCACACACAATAGCCTTTCCAGATCGAACACACAGACCCAACTCCAAGAGGCTTATTGGAGCCAGAGTGGCTCGGTGAAAGAAGACAACCACAATATCTGCTTTGTCTTGCATGTCGAGCTCCCACTCTACTTGTTCGGCCCAGCGGCTGTCCGAAAAGTCTTCTTTCCAAGTCGAGTCCCAATCAGTGCGCTTGGGATTGTATATCACGATGGGTAGCTCGATTAATGCCGCTGTGAGGGATTCTCTCCAATCAGCCTCCCCCGTAGGATTTGTTGGTCCTGCGAGGAATATGCTTTTGCGCGAGTCTAGGTCTGAGGCTGGGCGGCCCGGAGCCCAGATTACGGCGGCACCCATGGCTGGCGAGATGTATTGAGTTGAGAAATTACCTAGCTTTGAGGGTTTGTAGAGGCTTGAAGGTGCGGGGCATGGCTTGGGTGCGCAGGGTCCATGTACATGTTATAGGCTTTAGACTCTCACCCTGATTATATCGCAGCATAAGGTACAGATACGTAGGTAAATAGCCATTTTCACGATAGTTAATGACTCATTATGCTTCAAGTTGCTTTTATTTTGTACATCAACCTTGGTAGCAAATCTAAAACTGTCGTGGCTTAAAACTAACTGTGTTGCTGTAGTCCTCTTTGTCTATCAAATGTTTGTTGACCCCTTTGCCAGCTCCTACATGATTTCCATCCCAACATCTCTTTGATACTCTCAGCTGTTCTCAGCCCAAAGTGAATTGCTCATATCCAACACATTTCGCACTTCGTTTGCAAACGCTGCGCCACAAATTTGTTCGCGACCCCAAGCACAGACGTTCAAGTCATCCAAAAGTGAATCACCGGCTGCTCAGTATCAACAATGGAAATACCTCACAACCCTTGCAGAAATATCCGTTTCCTCTTTCCCCTCTGTCAAACAATGATATAGATGATTCTTGACGGCTTCCTCCACAGCTATCGCGACGCGATTGCCCTCCTGTTTCTCCACGATGCCCGATGCGGTGACGCACTCTTCTTCTCCCGTCATGGATGCTAGCAGACACGACGACGTGGAGAAGGCGGCGTCTTCCGACTCCACGCTCAAGGGAGTTGTGATGACTTGGCAGTTGAAGGCTCTCCTGGCTGGAAGAACACCGCTACCCAGTTCGAGACCGAAACGAAAGTCAGATGAGATGGAGAGCCCCGAGTCTAGTGATCATCCGGACAGCTCTACATTGGACGATTCCCCGAGTGCCAAATGTGTCGATGGCTCTCACAACAAAGACGACAAAGAGACTACAACGGTCAGCCATGTTGTAAGTATAACCGATGTTCATGTCAGCACCATAACAGGATGGACGCTGACCTCTCACAGGCTAAGAAATCAAAAATGAACAGCCCCAAGACCGCAAGGAAGCAATGGAGTGAACATGAGATCCGCCGTGTGATTGTCCTGCGCAGAAAGCAAATCCCTTGGGAACAGATACTTGTAAGTTGTCTGCGCTCTCCTGAAAGTTTGAGAGTCACGCTTCTGATGATGTCCTCGGAAATAGGAGCATTTTCCAACTCGAACACTCGTAGGCATTCGCCAGATATTCTGGAAGTACAACGCGGGCTACACCTTTCCTTGGAAAAAGTTGTAGAAAAAACGCAGATTTGGAAACACGTTTTGTCGCATACGATGAGAGGATTGTTTTGGGGGAGAGCTGTTGTTCACTTTTTCGCTTGTTAACTTTTTCGCTTGTTTACTTCATGTGCAGACATGACGCATATTCTGCATAATTGTTTTAGATAGATGGAATGCAACTATATACTACGCCTCACAATTTGACTCTACCAGTATTTGCATATCGGTGTGACTTGCGTAAGGATATCGTACCTGAAGCTTAGTAAAGTCGAATCTGTAAAATCTCTTTCACGCACATTTCTAAGCTCCAAACAAATCTGCTACCGGCTCAATATTCAATGTGGATGATGCCCAGTCGCTGTATCTCGGTGCTGCGGCTCGCAAAACTTTCTAATGCCTGCGTTATCCATGTAAGGTGCGAAACGAGACGAGTGTTTTGGGCAGCTCGATCGCGAGAATCTGCGCTGACCGTTGTTCAACCGTTGTTCCAACAGCATCTTCATTAATTGTATATCGTGATGAGGGCTTTTCCTCCTGGCAGCGATGAAAAGGTGACATAAAGATTTTTCCCATGTATCAACCAACTCAATCAATGCATCGATTGTATATAGGAAGCTTTGCGCGCGATGGAGGGGGGAGAGTACTGTTTGCTGCTTTGATGGTGTTTGCCCCTGATGCAATCCTGAATTGCTCTGATGTCGGCCGATTGTTTGTCCAATTCCACTAGATCCATCGTGCCCAATTGACCATCTGGCCTAATTCTGTATGTGGCTATGTGTTTACGATTGCAAAGAAAATCTCGACCGTTTTGGGTCGCACATAAAACAAAGGACATCGCACGTTTGTACGCATGAAAGAAGATTGAACATTCAATACTTTGAACTCGTTTGACGGACAAACAGCCTTTGACAAACAACCAATGTTTGTTGTCACATGGACTTTCTCCTCCATATAGCCCGTACATATAAAGCACTTCCGCATCCATCTGCTGAGTCGTTTTTACATTTTCCATAGACCAAACACACGCGCAAATACACGAGCACACACTATAAAGCATCAAGTCCATCAAATTCGTGCAAAAGGTATAGGACCTACGTGCTTACTGTATCCCAGCAATCCTAAATTTGAAAATCTGCACCATTGTTTAACATCATTTCAATTCCAGACAAGATAAATCCACCGGACAACTTGAAAAGAGATCGAATCCGATGGCATCTGAAAAGCCCAATAAAAGAATGAGCGAAGAAGTGAATAAAGAATTTACCACTACAGTAAATACGGCCCCCTTCTCTTCGATATCGACTGCAGTCCCAATCACCCAAACAAGCAGTCTCTTGCCACTCAATCCACTCCCAGTGGAGAAGCTTCAAGGTGGTGAGGATTGTCAAGCTTGGTTTGAAGCCTTGGCCAAATATGCAAAAGAACGCGGATTCTGGAAGGTCATTACCGGCGAAGAGAGAAAACCGAAGGAAACGGACGCAACTAAGCTTCAAGAGTGGAGGAAAAAGGACTTATGTGCGATTGAACTCATCTCAAACTTCATCTCGCAGGAGATGCGTGTCGAACTTGAAGAAGACGAACAATTCAATTCAGCTACTATGACTTCAAACGACCTTTTGGGAAAGATACACGACAAGGTGTTCATCGAACCTGAAGTAGAGCGTTGCGTGATATTAAACGACTTTTTAACGCGGTTTATCCCGCTCGCCGGGCGCCCGTTTGCTTCCACTGAGGCTTTTATTGTCGAATTAATGCAAGAATGGACCTCCATTAAGGCAACATATCCGGATACAAATGAAAATTTGTTGAAAAAGGTGGCGCTTCTTGGCCTTGAGCGTTTCGACGACGCAGATGATGAGCGTTCACTGTTCTAAGAGATGTACGTATAGAAAAGGAAGAGGGGTGGGAAGGGCAGGATGACCTTGTGATGGAGGATCTCTAAGTAAAAAAACCAAGAACAGTTTGTTGATAAAACAACGAAAAAATAAGCATAAGCTCTGTTAAGTATTGGGGAACGACAGCTTGGAAGTGCTGCGATATGTTGGTTGGAAAGTAGTGCGGTAGCTTCATAGAATGGTTGGGCTTCGGAGAGATGCCAAATGTTTACATTTATACATCCTTAATTACGAAGCCCCTTCATTCATTGATCACTCTTTACATAGAACAAACACATACAATAATAATCACCAGACGAATTAAAATCTCTGGAACAGGCCTTAGCAGCGAGTTCATCGCGCAGATCCATGACAAAACTGGTAGCGATTCAGGCAAAGACTTTCATGAACGAGGCGGCCAAAGGCGTTTTCTACAATTTCCACTGTTTTATTTCGTTAATAGTAGCAAACTAATCTGAATGCCTTGTTGAATCACATAAATTATACGCATATTTCAATTTTACTTTATTTGCAAGGGTAAGGCTATACACCACTGTCTCCTTACATGTGAGACCACTTGATGCTTTTTTCTAGCTGACAGTCTTTTGCAGCATCCATCCTCAGACCTTATCATCCCTTTTCGCCCAGACTGGCATTTAGCAGACGCCAGACGGGATAGTATAGCTCTCAACCCGTGCAGTCGAGGCATATTTGGCGCCAGATCCAAGACCTCGCTTGGCGAATCCTGTCCACAGCTCACAGAGGTTCTGGCCGCCGGTCAAAGCACGATCAGCATCCAAGATGGCATCGCGGGCAGAGACAAAAGTCGGCGTGCAGGGCTGCAGAGCCAATCCGTTGAGGACGAGCTTCAGGGCAAGATACTTGCCGTCGGTGGGGACACCCTCGCTGTCAAAGGTAGGGAAGTCGGCGTCATTCTTGCCGTACTTGTCGATGAGGTTCCAGAGGACTTCGTACAGAATCGAGGCCCAAGTGGTACCGGCTGCGTGGACTTCGTTTTGAGCGTTGACAGACTTGTAGGTGAGCGGGTTGGTGGTGAGGCTGGTTGAGTAGGGGTACTGGCGGATGCCCTTGACGTTGTTATCGGCCCAGACGCCCATTGGGTAGTCCTTGCTGCGGGTGTCGCCGGCCTTCAAGCGGATGGCGGTGGCATAGAAGTCACCCCAGCCTTCGCCCATGCCGCCGGCCTCGACACCATTAAGGCATCCAGAGTTGGCAGGGCCACCGGTGAGACGGGTAGACACTGTTTAGAGACTTATGTCAGAAGGACGAGATATAAAGGCAGAATGAAGGAGACTTACATCCGTGAGTGTATTCATGGATAACGATGCCTGCCTCGAGGTCACCATCTCGCTTGGGGTTGGCGGTGGTCCAGATGTACATTCTCATACGGCCACTGCTTCCGTCGGCCGGAGTAGCAAAGTTTGCGTTGTTTGTTCCTAGGGCTCGTTAGTACTTGAGGTTGAATTTTGCCTAGACACATCTGTCCAGTGTATCAGATCATGGAAGCGTACCAGAGCCGTCCTGGGCGTTCACAATCACAAGATCATTTCCCTTTCCACCCTTTCCGTTGTTGTTTGTCTGGAAATTTCCTGCTACCTCGTTGAAGCCAAGGACGTAGAGCAGGTCGTGATACTTGTTGACGGTGTAAAAGAGCTGTGTGATGGCAGCATCTCTGTAATCAGTGGGGTTGGTCTGAGTAAGCGTAAAGGGATACTGGAAGTCCCGAGTCGAGCTGGATGGGCGGTGGTTGTTAAGGTAACTGTCTCCGCCTGAGGGGTTGTCCTGCGCGATGGCATTGTTTCCGCGAGTTACGGTATAGTTGGTGGTTCCGTCTCCCACCCAAGTGAAGGGAGAGGCATCAACTCTCCACGGGTCAGTCAGGACTTTACGATCTCCCTCAGTGGGGTCATTGAGTCCCCAGGGATAGACCTGAAAGGTGGCAAAGTCGGAGACGTAATCGACAACACCGTGAATCTCCTCGTTGGTCGTGGCGTCAACGTAGGTGAGAAGCCAGTTGTCCAAGATATCGGTCTCGACTCGCCAAGTCAGGGCCAGAGTTCCATCGCCTTTGACAAGATAGACAAGGTGAGCCTTGGGATCGCTGACGGCTCCAGATGTACCCTTCAACGTGTACTTCTCAGTGCCTTGCTCAGCCTGCGCGGTGGCGCCATCAGCTTGAACCGGAAGACCCAGGATGTCAATGGCACCCTTGAGAGCCTTGGTGGGGTCAGAGAAGTCACGCTTCCCCAGAGGGCTCTCTTGTGGCAGCTTGCCAGAGAAGAAGCTGTTTCCGTGAGAGAAAACCCTGCCGTCTTTTCCAATCTGCGATTGTAAGCATATAGTCACTAAGACGAGATGGTATTGTTGTTACTTACGTTAACCTTGAAGTCAGCGTTGTCAATGTCAATGCCGTGCACAGTCTGCTTGAAGTGAACGTGACCAATGCCGTCAACATCGATATAGTGGTCATCCACAACGCGGAACTCGGCCTTGGGGGCGACTTTCTTGACAGCTCGGGTAGCAGTATCCACGTAGTTGCGCTTGTAAGTCAGAGACTGCAGAGAAGCCTCTTCTTCGATGTTTGGCGAAGGAGTGTACTGAGAGAGACTGGGCAAGTGATACTTGCTGATGTCAATGCCACGCTTAGCCAAGCTGTTGCCGTTCTCTGGCTGCCTGGCAGGATGAGCATTCACGTTGGCGGCAAGGCCAGTGAGACCAAGAAGAATGGCCGACTTCATGATGGGCAATAGATAGGAGCCAAGAGGGAAGCAGAATTGAGAAGTACCACAACAGGGACCAAGTAATTGACCTGATTGAGAGACCTGTTGGAAGATCTTTCAGAATTGAGATCTCACCTGGCCAATATATACTCATGATGCTCAACAACGACATCTGAGATAATTGTTTCGAGCTTCCCTTTCAGACTACAAATCCCGATGTTGCCCTCAAAACATCGAATAGATTCGGCTCTGTCCGTGAAGACCGTCTTGGCAACTCCATCCCGCGCAATAGTACAGACGAAAAGGAAGGTGAGTTTCCAATGATGCTATCTTTGTTGAGGGCTTTAAGAAGAACTTTTGTCGCCATGGAAATCCGCATGCCAAGCCAATTAGGGTGGACAAAAGTCCATGGACGCAGCCCCATAACGAATAACAGAGCAGTAACGAGGATAGATAGCCTCTCAAAATAGAGTCTCGTGAACAGATTTAGACGATATGGTTGTATTATCAAGCATTATGTGCAAATACAGTAATTCTGGTAGTGAGAGCCTTGGGCGATGTAACAGTGAATACCATATGTATGAGTACGCGGACAGCAAAAGTTCATCCGTACCCCGCTACATATACCCTGCCCTTTAGTCAATGTATCGATTTCGAGATGAAGATAAGAGGACTATAGTCGCTAATTCGCGGCATTTCATCGTGGCGTCTGTATGCAACTGCTTTCTCGGGACTAGGCGGCTCGGAATCCTTTCTAGGGCCGGCACGTCTCTATCAAAATGCCTTCAATTCACCATATAGCGGGGAATACTTGAGTCTAATTGTAACTATACATGTAAGCTTAATGCGTAACGCATAAACCCTCGCCGGAATCCTCATACCAAAGTTCGCCTAGACGCCCGCAATATCGGGAAGCTAAGGAGCGGATGGCTATCATGGAGATGAACGACCTGCCAAATCGGGACGGAGTCCCGGGGCTGCGCTCCGATCGAGTCTGATGATACCATTTGCTTGTTAAAAAGTACTGCTATTGGCAGAGTCCCTGTTTGTGATTGCCGATGAGTTGCAAGCTTTCCCGAACCGAAACAGCCGTGCTCGATCTAGCAATAGCAGGGGGAATGTGGCGTAATTGCCGCAACCAGTTATCGAACACGATATATGCGAAGATGTGTACAAGTAGTTTTTTTCCTCTCTTCTCTCTGATAGTGTCTATTAATGAGAATGCCGGGGTGCTGCAGAGAAGCCAATATAGGAAAAGATATACACCTATAGTACGTGGAGTTTGCCTGATTTGCCCGCAGGCTTAGAGGGGTACCTGATGAACGAGCCGCGGTGATATAAATTGATCCGATCCCATTTATTTCCGATACAACGGTTGCATTTTCCATATCAAGCATCTATTAAAGCTGCTAGCCTTATCAATGGTTCTAGATGCAGTAACGTGACACGGGCTTCTGCATTTGTGACAAATGGGTAGTCTTGCATTTTCTTGGCGTAAATGGCTAACGACAGAGTTGCACGTCAACAAGGCTGACACCACGCGAAAATATTGCGGTCGAAACATGGACGACTTTCAACTAGATGCCATGTTCTAACGATGCTAAGACGTTTGAGAACAATAATATGTCTAACAATGGTTATCGTCGGATTACATGGATTGAACCACAATTAGTGGATTGGCTCTGCCGTAACGACCCAACAGGGTGCTTGGTTTGCAGTGAAGCCAGAGAGTGTCAATTTCTCAGTATAGGTAGAAGTACTTCATGGAAAGTGTATCATCGGTATTAGACTATAGATAAGAGCTTTTGTTTCGGAGCATGGAGAGGCAATCTACTATTACTGTAAAATATCACTGTGTATTTTTTTTTCTTCCATCATTGCTAATTCATTATGCTTACGCTGCGAATCATTCATGCTCCTTACCAACCCGTTGAAGTCTTATTCGTTACCATTTGAACCTTCTTAGGCAGACAAGGCGCTCTGCTACCCATGGAGCAAAGCTGCAGAGTATAATTACAAAGTTGTCAACAGGAGCTGAGGTGCTTCCAGCTTTACTTTGATCAATGCCTAGCTTCCTCAGTGGTCTAGGTGGTTTAGAATGATTATGTCGTCCTCGATAAAATTGAGTGGCTACATTCTTGGGTGACCGTGATACAGCAGCTTGGCTCCCCACTATGAAGGCTTTGAGCGGACATCACGGATTCAAACTCTTTTTTTCCCTTTAACGCAGTACACCAAGTCGACTGAAAAGAGTTATTACCGACTACTTGAGATCTTGATTGGCCACTGTTATCTACTACCGCAATTAAATGTGATATTGTTCTAAGCTATTGCTAGGTCGCCTTATTGGTTTAAATAGTAACACGTATCCCAATATTAACACCATATGACTGCTTTGATGTTCGGCACTGATAGTAGGTAGCACGAACTTGTTCAACCTTGTTGATGTGTTAACAGGCTACGTAGAATTTGAACTAACAAAATTAGCGGGCACATGTGTTAACACAGTGATTGAGTTTATTCCAGCTTTCAGAGAAAATAGCTAACATACATGTTGGCTCAGCGACGGACGTGACTCAACTGAGTGGACTCTATTATTCAAAATCGGTAGTTATATTCATAGTGCTTTCCACTTTGGTATAAAAGCCTTGTACATTGGATCATTGCTGTTGGGTTAGGGAATTGAGAGTTGTTCTGTGGAGAAGGATCTCAATCCATCTTCAGAGAAGGGACCCTCAAGGATCCCTATGCCTCTAACTTCTTTACTGTGGGGTCCTTACTATTGTCCTAATGTTGTTGAGTCTTCTGCGAAGAACTCTATTTTGGGCGTGAAACTTTATGTTGAAACCTATGTTCCTGAGCGACCAAGATGATCTGGCTTTGTGGCCCTGATGTGGCCGAGTGAGCTGAACTTAGAGATTGCTGTACATAAGAGCTGAATTGCAAGAAGTATGTCTTTTAAAAGTACAAGAATAGGCCACCTATACTACTAAGCAAGTATAGTTGCACCGTAGACACATCTCATTCGTATATCGCAGCCAAAACAGTACATGGCTATTGAACGACGTTGCAGTTGGACTCTTATTTCTATCTAACTTGCTTTTTATTCCCTTTGATGCTGTTTGTGTTGAACAAGATGAATTTGAACCTCGAGGCAGCATTTGTTACGATTTAGAGAGACGCCCATGGCTACATAAGTCGATATAAACGCCGAACAGTCTTGCTAATGGTGCCACCGACCTGTTGATACAGGAGATTTCTCCTAGTATCTCTTTTGCCTTTCATATCATTCGTAAAATAGTTAGTAAATGGCTACTTCTACTTGTTCTAAAAAATACCGACTACATCTATGGTGGATCTGTCGAATTTAGTTACGCCACCCGAGCTTTCACGCCTGTATCATGAACCTACTGTATTTTGTGGCTCACGTTGCTAGGTCACCGCCTACATTTTCTTCTCCTTTTAACATAGCCTACCATCGCCTCTCAATTCCAATTTATGTCTCTCTTATACATCACATCGACAGTACTCGCAAGTTCAAACGACAGTTTCTCCAACCAGCCAGTACTATCTCACTTCGCTAAGAGACAAACTACTTCAGTTCTCAAGCTGACAACCATATCACCACTCGCTACCACACACAGCTCCGACTTGAATCCATTATCTGCCTATCTCGACTGCCAACCTTAGCCTTCTCAAAGCTCCCCGGGTTGTAATTGCCACCGTCCTCCAGTGCCCATCCATACAGCCATTATGGACTCCATCTTCAATGCTCTCAGCGCACCCAACCCCTTCACAGGTGGTTCTCAGATTAGCCCGGCCAAATTGTGCGCCATGAAAACGGAGAAAATGTTTGTGTCCGGGGGTAAAAGGCATTTTCGGGGATTGATAAGAGACGGCAGATATCTCGACACGGTGATCAGTCGACAAACCGAGAAGATCGTCGCGGCAATTCTCAGGTCGTGGGAAGAGCAGACAGAGGAGCTGGACCCCGGCGACGAGGATGACTTGGCCGAGTTGGCTCAGTTGGCTGTGACGATGAGGCAATGCTTATCGATCGTACGGGGCCAAATCGCCAAGGACGAGATGTTCGAACCTGCTCGTCTCAGGCTCGAAGAGTTGACGACGATGCTATTCCGACTCCGATACGGCGTTTACCTGGCATCGTATGCGAGCTACACAGATCAAGAAGCAAGAGACCTTGACCGCAACACCAACCTCGCGGCTGATACACCTGACGACATCGACGAGGAGGCATGGCAGTTCTTTCTCAGACAAAGGTGGTCATCAGTAAATGCGCGGCTGCAAGCCGAAGACGTATACAACACCTGCCGAGAAAAGCCGAGAGCCCTCAGACAGAGTGGCAGAGCGCCTCTAGTCAGGCTATTGCAAGCACTCGCCTCACAGATAGGGCAGAGCACGCCGGATGCTGCCCAAGCCATAGGCGATTTTGTGACACGCACCTCGGCTCCGAACAGCCACCTCGAAGAATTGGTGGAGCAGGGAAAGTCATACGAGTTGATGTGCGCTCTGCAAACCGATCTCGAGGGCTTAACTAACCCGCCGAGAGCCTGTGAAGAGGATGTGCCCGCCATCAAGGCTGCGATATTGACGTTTGCTCGGCGGTATTTCACGGAGTTTGAGTGAGACGACGAGACGGGGGCTATTACGATATGCAGACCGAATTACGTCTTTAAAGAAGACTGGTCCGTGCTAGCCTACGCAACATCTACGGACATATAATCTTCTGTGAAAGATTGATTGGGCGATCTTTTGCTTGGAGATGTTATGTCTTTTCGCCCACTATGCAGTGTCACAGCCTCTTCCACCAGCGACATTGTTGTCCTGGATGTTTGAAACCGGGAAGCTTATCATGGTTGATGGAGAATATATGCATGTACGTCAGAAAGATTGTCGTGCCCTGGGAAGCAGATCCTTTAACTGCCAAAAGCACGAGACTTCAGCGACCGCAGATGGCATTCCCACGATACTGGTCGGCCAAATGTATATGCCTCCTGGCTTTGGAAGTGCGCCAATAATTGATTTTGCTGAGTATCTCCAAAGCAAAGATAGCATAATTAGGACATATACGCGACGGATACATCGCGAAGACTGAGTGTGGGCTCGAAAGAAAGCGTGCTGGAAGAAACTGCCCTGAGGTTGGTCAGCCTACTGATATATATCTGCCCAGAAGTTTGATGAACTGGACAATGAACTGACATAATCGCATGGAAAGCGACCCAGAATACCCAGGATGACAATGCAGTGAAGCGATGGCTAATCGATATCATCCGCCTCTATTGCCCACATAGATCTACATAACCACGAGCTCAACATGATGAATACACCACACAGTCTACCAAATTACCTCCTTTTGACGATGCGAATTCAGAGACTGAACGATAATTTGTTTCCCAGCCCAATGGCTTCAAAACGGAATACTACAATGAGCATAGCCTTGCTCTCGATAAGTACCTATTCTTTGCCTGAATAAGCAAGGAGATGGTTGAAGATAATCCGGATCGATTTTCGGCTTGGCTATGAAATGATTCCCCTCTCAACATGAGACGTATCCTATGGCATTCTAGCTCAACTTGCCAGACGTCAAAGCTGAAGCACGACGTTTGCTATCCTTGAAACTGCCACGAATCCAAGTCGCTCTAAGTACACCAGTTCCTTTGCAGATTATGCAATCATGACGAGCGGGCTCCCACTTTCATTGTTGCAGATGAATCCAGTCGTCTGATAGAGACTATGGCCAGACTGCTATTCTCTCAATTTCCTCAGACGTCAACCCTCTTCATTGGAGATACAAAGCAGTTCGGCCCAGTGACAATTACTAAGGGAGATCAAGAGTATCGTTTGCTCTTTAACAAGCAGCGCAAGGAGAAGCGGCCGGACATATCCACTTGTGCATAGGCTATTGTGCCCACGATGACATTGTTCCATGACTCATGGAATATTTCCATCTGGACCAACTGAACCATTATCATCGCCGCTCTAGGTATCCTAGGTGTACTAAAGAAGTACACGGCTGGCTACTCGAGAAGTGTGAACGCGGCTTTTGACAGGATGCCCTGTTACAAGGGCCATAATTCTTGGGGACGTAAAGGATAGCGTCTATAAAAGGGCCAGAACATGGTACATCAATGCAAGAAACGCGCCTTTATTAAAAAGCAGAAGTCATGCAAAGGCAAAGCAGAATACACGCTCATCATACAGCTCTACTTGGGGAAGGCCTTCGTCATTACGAGCTATTGATAGCAGAAATAGTAGTTTAATAAACGATTGCGCAAATCTTCGTTTACAGGTACCAGCTGATTTAACTACGCTCTTGATGATTGTAGAAGCAGTAGAAGCAGTAGAAGCAGTAGAGACAGTAGCGTTTCTCATGTAACCCTGTATTATTGTAATTTACTGCAGACAAATCTATAGCTGTCTCACTGAGCACCCAAAATCTACCATGTTCTAATTTCTTTAAAATAATAAAGGGGGGGCGGCCATCTAAACCTTTAACTAGGGATTTATCTTGCGTTGTTCAATTCTGAGTGGTATAACTGTGCCATGGGAAGACTTGTTGGCGAGTGAAGTTGGAATGCATCGATAAAGTAGCAGATGATACCTTTTGTTTCATAAATAAGCGCATCAACTCGTTAGAAGAGCATACGTACCAGCTGAAACTTCATAGAGAGGGAATAGATGTGGCAGATGTGGCAGAAATAGTAGAAATGGTAGTTTGACCAAGATCTATTTCACCTCCGCAACATAGTTTCCCAATGGAGTTCATGTTAAGGCAATGAGGGTGCCCGCACGTACTATTAAGCTACAGGTGGAGCGTTGAACAGAAGAAGTATTGTGCTGGTCGACTTTTTGCTTGAAGTACTTGTAAAAGTACAAAAGTTCGAGCAATCCTTATTGAGGTGGGCACAAACACTGGGCGATTTTTAAGAGATGTTTCATCTGGATATGGACTCCGAGAAGGTGTAAAAGCGGTCCAAGTCTGGAGCAACGCAATCTGTAGTGAATGCATTCATGCACACATGCTATCATAAATATCCCTTTTTTGAAACTTTTCTACACTACTCGTCTCCTTACAAGTGCTCGCCAAACCAAGTCACAGCCTGGAAAAAGGCCTGCTCCTTGGAAAACTTCTCAATCTTGACGCTGGTGTCGCAGCGGACAGCGAAGCCGTGCGAAACGCCCGAGTACAGGTTAATCTGGAAGGGCTGGCCCGTCTTGATGAGGATCTCCTCGGACTTGTGGCGCTTCTCAGTAGGGAAGATGGTGTCAGTCTGGGCAGCGGCAATGGAGAGGGGGCCGGTGATGGCAGCGAGCTCATCCTCCTCGACGAAGCTGGGGTGAGCGACGAAGCCGGCCTCGATGCCGCTCTTGTAGTGACGAACAACGTACTATAAGGTTGGTTAGCATATATATATATATGTGCAAAATACGTTGACTTCTGCTCACCTTGGCACCGAAGCAGTAGCCGACAGCACCAATCTTCTTGATGCCCAGGTCCCGGAGAGCCTTGATGCTCTTCACAATAATGGGGTCAACGGCCGGGGGAGTGTGAGGGTTGTTGCCACCGGTGCCCTCGGTGAGCCATTTGACGAAATCAAAGTCGCCCTTGCGGTTCAGCGGCAGCGGATCGCCGTTGAAGATGTCCGGCAGCAGCACAGTGTAGCCCTGAGAGGCAAAGTTGTCGGCCAGCAGCTTGCTGTTCTGCCAGATGCCAATGACGTCGGGGATGAAGAGAATGCCCTGGCCATCGCGGACCTTGTCGGGAGGAGGCGTGGCCAGGTAGGCGTCGATGGTGCCGTCGACCTTGATGTCCTTGCCGGTGGTTTCGCCCCTGCAGACGATTGATTAGTTGTACGCGCTATGAAACAAGTGACTGCTTGATGCTGTTGTGAAACAATGCCTGGCATCAACCACTTCCTCGCTCATTCACTTGGCGGGGCAACTCATCTCGCCAAGAGAAAGAAAAGAGGAGACGCGGGCCGAGCTGCTGATGCAACCGCCGCCGCATATGAGATCTGACATGAAAGAAGATCAAGCAAAAGAGAGGAAAAGGACTCAAAGATTAAAAAGAAACTCACTCGTGAAGGGTTCCAACAACGCAGCAGCTTCCAGGCGGGTGAGAGGCCATTTTAGATGTGTGTCCAATTGAACTTTCTTAGCGTTTGGTCAAACTAGGAGTTTGTTGTCTGAGAGTAAAAGCAGTGAATAAACAGAGAGATAGTAGTGAGGGGTAGAAAAAGCGCGCGCTCCCTCGACTATTTCAATCTCGAGAGCCTTTTCTGAGCGTCACTTTTCCTTGGTGGGGTAACAGCGGAGCAATCAGCAATGATTTCTAGGTACAGACTCCGTGACGCAATTCGCGACCTCCATTTGTCAACACCTCATACTGGTTTGGGAAAGAGTGAGAATCTGCAACCTGTTCCGAGTCTATGTGCAAATAGACGGCTTAGAGGCTTTAAAACTGCTTAGAGATCCGTATTGCCAACACGCCTAAAAATATCCTATTGCCTCCAAGGCCACTCAACTCTGCTTTTTGTCCGGCCAACTCTTGAGTAACCCCGAGCTTGTCAACAGAAAATCGCACTTCACCCCATGCTTTCTAAATCCGAATTCCGAGGATGGGAGAGTTATTCTACCTAGTCTAGATCTAGGCCCAGATCCTACCCATCTCGGCACGTCAGGCCGGCAGTGGAGCTGGATAGTCATTTTGACACTATTCACGGCGTTACTATAGCCATTGCAATTAATCAGCTGGCATATCAACCAGCGCTAATAATAATTCTTGCTGTCCGAACCTCAACATGGAAAGTTTCGACAATAATAGTTTGGCATAGTATTGCGCTTCTGAGTTGCTGAGTCAGCTGTAGTATGGTATATTCGTTGTTGCTCAGCTGTGGCTAAGCTCCCAAGCTCGCCTACTTCGTTCGGATTCCCTTGGGTTTTCGTTTCTTGAACACCACCGGAGTTATGCCACTTGGCTCGTCTTCCTCTTCGGCTTTTACAAGCGGTTCTGTTTTGACGGCTTGCTTCAGGTCTTTCACCTCGGCTCCGGGGTCAGCTTTGACTGGGATATCTTCCTCTTTCGGTAGTTTTGTGTCAGTAGCAGCACCGCCATCGACATCTTCTTCCTTCTTCACTGCGTCCCCTTGTTCAGCTGGTTCGGATTTCAACGGCACTGTCGTACTAAGCAGCGCATCCAAGTCCTCGTCTTCATCATCTGGCATGGTCTTGGAGTCCCGGCCCCATCTCCTCGGCTTCTTGAAAAGACTGCGCATCGCCTCCTCCTCTTCTTTCTGGTCTTCCGTCTCTTCGCGCTTCCTCACTCCTGTTGCTTTGGCCTCAATCTTGACTTCACCGTCTGCTTCTTGTTTTTCTTCTACCACAGTCGTTTTCGTAACTGTCCATTCTCCAGGCATGGCCATCTCTGGTCGAAAATCGCTTGGCATGGAAACTCCCAAGGCAGCCAGCTGCTCCCGCTGAGACTTTAGCTGAGAATCGGTCGCTTCTTTGGTCGGCGCTCTTGATCCCGAAGGACCGGCCGACGATGATCCAACAACACCATTGAGTCTGTCAATCTCCCGTCGTGCCCTCTCCTTTTCGCGCTCTTCTCTTTCGTGGTTGCGGTGGATGTCTCGTAGTGATCGCTTCAAGGCGCCCTGGTGCTTTCCCGTAGCTTCGTGGTTCGCTCGCTCGAGTTTTGTGTCGCGCACGTAGACTGAGCAGTGCTTGCACCAGTACTTTGGCGTCGATTTCCAGTATTCGGACATTTTTGCTTCTGGTGGTGGTATATTGTTGGAGGAATGATGATGATTCAAGCTGTCGCGTAGAAAAGTTCCAGTGGCGCGCAACTCTACAGCAGCCATGCATGCGCTTATGTAAGTACTGCCTAGAACGGAAACTTGCACAGCAGCCGCCACTCTTGGCTTCAACGTTCAATTATACTTACCATCAGCTATAACTTATTTCCTTGATATAACGGGGAACAAATCTGACTATCGTCTAATGTTCTTGTATCACCACTATCAGACCAAGTAGACCGGCCTCTTGCGATCATTTCATATCATTGTCTTACTCATTTTCACAGATACCAAGGCACAAAATCGTAGCGTACTCAATCCAAGCAAAAATCAGCCTTAGAGCATATACAATCTATTCAGAGTAATTAATTATTGATTTAGTCGTGTTTCAAATTCCAAACAATCATCTCTCCTATAATCGGCCCCCATCTATACACCAATAAGCATATTGCAGAACATCAGAATACCAATCGTCATCTTGACATTGCTGAAGAGCTGTGCAGCATCATTGACTGGAACCTCGGGAGAAGAAGAAGGAGGCGGCTTCGGAAGTGTACCAGTGCCAGCAGGAGGAGCCTTAGGCCCAGGTCCCTGTGGCTGACCGTCTGGAAGCTGCGTAACTGGGGGACCAACAGGCTTAGGGGCACCGGTGGCTGTGGGAATAGCCTCAGGAGCCTTCGTGGCAGGAGGCTGGTGAACTACCTGGCCATCGCTGATCTGGCTGATGGGAGAAGCTGTAGACTGGCCACCGCAAGGAGTTGTATGTCCCTGGACTTGTCCGTCTCCAATTTGGCAGATGGGAATAGCAATGGTAGTCGTGTGTACTTGTGGCTGACCGTCTGCGATAGCCGTCACAAGGGCAGTCTTGACCACCCTGGAGCCGATAGTGGTCTCTTTATGACCGTAACCTCCACCTGGCACAGTGTATACGTTGCAAGGCAGTATGCGAAGCTCGATTGGTTCGCATTGAGGCGCCCATTTACGGTCGTACAGATTGTAAAAGTCCCCGGAGCGACATTGGTAGTAGGTGGTTGAGCCACGCAGAGCCAGGGTACCGTTCTCGCACGCAGAAAAACCTCTCGTGTAGATGGCATCTACCTGAGGCGGCTCGTCGAATTGGAACTGGTAGTTGGAAGCAATGTACCCAGTACGGTCCTTGGCATCCTTCAGAATTCCATCGTGGAGTTTCAGTAGCAGGGCATCGGAACCACCGCACGATCGCTTCTGTTCCTATATCAATTAGCACGGCTCATAAGGTGATGGACGTAACATTGTTTACTAACCTCGACATCTCGCTTGCTGAGCTTGTTGATAGTAACCTCGAAGTTACCATCGTAAGAATCGCGGCAGGTTGAGACGGCGCCGTCGACAGGATGAACCCGGCTCGCAAGAGCTTCGACAGAAGCCGTGAGAATGAAAGCTGCCAATTGAATCAAATGCATCGTGACTATTCACGATATAGTTAGCAAAACGTCTACAACGACGTTGTAGGAGCAGATATGGCGGGCTTATATATCACACACTTATTTCAATCCACTAATTCGTGAGTATATGTCTCACTGAAAGAAATAGTGGCTAGTTAGGCGTAAATTAATAGTCGTGATATCCCTTGTGTTGGTATACAATAGATGGAATGAGACGTGAAGAATTCGCCACACTTGGATATTAAGGAACGCGACTTATACAGGGAGAGCAGGGGTCAGGCGCGAGACACCTCTACTTATACACAAGGTGTGGCCATTTTTGGCGCCAATTACCAATTCCATATGCCATCATCTGGCGATCTTTCTGTTTGAACAGTATCTCAACAGCAAGCCACGGCGTCAAAAGCGAACAAAGATCGGTTTGGATGCGATCAGATCGTAGGCATACGATGCCAGCTTACAGCTAAGACCCATTGTGAGTGATTTAAGAACTTGTTTCATCTGTCCATCAAGGTCAATAAATCGATGCGATTGTTACGCATAAAACTCTAATACCCGACGAGGCGCATAACTGGGGACTCTGGAGGCCTCGGCGGAGCATTTTGAAGACGAAACCAACAATTTCTGCTCACAACAATGGGGATCGCGAATTTTTTTAATAACCTCTTATGAAAGCTTCGGAAGAGATTGGCCAACTGTTCGGCAGGTTGTTTGGAGGCGTTTACATGTACGCGTTCTACGCAGGGACGGCTGAATCATAATGTCTCACCCCACCCTTTACCCATATTTGGGTAACAAGTTGACAAGATCTTCTTTTGTTGAGTGATCTGAGCGAGTTGAATTACTACGATCGATGACGATACGGCTGCTCTATCATTATCGATTGGTGTGAAGATGGCGAGATGGTAGATGAACATGTAAGTGGAATATAAGGACGATATTGCAGCTCGCCTGTACAACCACCCAACAAGAAGCAAGCGAAAGATCTTGATGGCCCAGTGTCCGTTCTTCTCAAGTAGAATTATCCATTATTTCTATAAATCACTGTCTTTACCCGAATGTGTTCGAATCTGATTCTTCAGCGACCTCTTTCATTTCTCGCTCTATTCAATCGTCATGCTCTTCGTGTATTCTCCTGACTCATGTCCGAGTTCAGCTCGTCGACGCCCTATCTTCTCAGGTGATGTGACCTTTTTGCTCTCATACTTCTCTAGCTCGATCGTTGTTCCATTCCGTTCAAATCGTCCATCCAGACTTCTCGACCTTCCTTCGCAATCAACTCGAGTTTGTCCACGCCCTCCCGCTTTCCCAGCCAAAACTAGACCGATTCGTTCGCGTTCTTTTTTTCTTTAAACTTCGAAACTCTCAATTAGTCTAAAGCCCTTCCACTTGTGTTGTGTATTGATTTCTGTGTTTTTTACCTTTCTGGACGTCTGCGTTCGTGAGGAAAGCTTCGTTATGCTCTCGCTTCATAGTGCTCCTACTAATTACACTCAAGTGTCCGACTGCCCGAGTTTCTCTGACGGTGCTGGGCAATTATTGGTCCGTTCAAAGACATTCCTTCTTTATGGCTCTTTCCGGAGAATCTCTGGTGGCAGCCTGTGTATCCGTTTCTTGCCTCTTTCGCTTGGAGACTCGAGTGGGTTGTGCCATCGGTTGCTTTGGGTGAAATTCTTCTCTAATTTCGCTCAGCATCTCAGCAAATCGTCGGTTTTGTTCGATCTGCGCCGAGTTTGAAAGACTTTTAACTTCCTGTTTGACTTGTGCCATGAGATTATCAAGCTTCTTCGACATTGCAGACAGAACTTCGGTCTTGTGTCGTTCCATTTCGGCTTTCAGAGTGCTTGCGATTTCCTCATCGCTGCTCATGACTTGTTTGCTCCCTTCTTCGATAAATAGCCTGCCCGCTTCTCGAATGTGCGACTCCAAATTCCGTGCGCATAACTTGATCTTTCGGCGGGCGGCCTCGTCTTCGACAAGTCTCTTGTTCTCCGCAAGGTCGTATAACTCGTCGAGCATGTCATAGGCTGAATTTGCTCTCCTTAAAGATGCCGGTGAGATGTGAATTCGCGCCATTCTGTCGTGAATGTGTATGCGTTGAAAGAAGTTAAGAAAAGAGTTGCGGAAGTTTACAGAAGAAAAAGGAAGATTGTGTTCAAGTAAGCAAAGGTGCAGCACTTTTAGTCGGTGAATGCGTCATGTGCTGTGCGTTGCTGGCAGCTGTCAATGGAAGCGGATCTGTCTTCATCAGTGCTACCAGCTGGTCCTCCTTAGATCTCTGCCGCCTTTCAATGTTGATGTCTAGTTCAGACGTTGGAGTGCATCTAGCAGATCAAGACCTTGAGAACCTAGAAGGCCATTAGTTAGTAGATGTTACATGCGTGAATGGACTTGAACAAGTTGAAACGCAACAAGAATTTACAATCACAGCCATGGACATATGCAGTCCGACAACGGATTTATGTATTGCCTATGCTATCTCAAGCAACTCACAGTCATCTGCTGGCTTAACCTTCGACAGCCTTCCTCAGTATTCATATGGGAAGACAGTAGAATCGAGGCATTAGATAAGAGCATCATAGCGATCTTGGGACATGGACGAGGTTAAGTTTCTCGCTCTTGCGAAAGCTCTTGCTGTCCGGTTGATCCATACGAATTCGAATTGTCGGATAAGTTCTTTCAGTGGCCAATCTAATGGTCGCTTCTTGATCTACTAGCCCTCTGAGAGGTGCATTAAGGGCCTCATCGGTTGACGTCTGGCTCAGCGAAGAGAAAGAGGAAGAGCATCGCCGTGAATGCCCGCATTTCAGCTCATCAGCGGGTCCGCTATCGGTATACTAGCAAGCAGTCTCTAATGTCGCCGGGATCGCACAATGAACGCGGCATGATGATAATGGCACCAGTGAAATGCATATTTGTGTGTTGATTCTTTCTCTGTGCTTTTCTTTCTTTTCTCTGGTGTTTCTTCATTTGTTCTCCTATCACTGTTTTGGTCATTGACTGCTCAGTGTCTTTTGAATATTCTTGTGAAGACTGGCCGCTTAGTTATTCTACCACTGAATTGGTTATTAAACAGTAAAAATGGGTTGTAAAATAACAATCGTCATCACACAGAAGCATTGATGACTCTACAATATATATGCTCTATGCTTATTAGTTGATTTACTATACATATGTAGCTATGGGTTATTTCGCGGCTGGACTAGCAACAGGACGACATCGATGGAATATTTGGCTGCATATTGCATTGGCAGTCAAAGGCTCGAAGATCCACACAGGCAATTTCAGCAGGATTAAGCGCACGCCATGAATGAAACAGATGTTGATCTTGATATTGATCTTAACACCTGGGTTTGGTCAAAAACAGCGAAAATCTACAGAATGGAAACAGTGTCGAATGACGCGTGTTCATACTCTCTCATCACGAGCGTAGTCCCTGGAAACAGCCGTCGGAGACTGACTGCCAGCCGCCAGCTGCCAGCCGTCAATTTGAGGCAGAAAGTGATTGAATGCTCTTCCTTGCGATTCCATGCACTTCTCTCATATCTTCACCCTCATCGTGTTCGCAAAGGCCCAATTCCCTCCTTCATCAGCACACCATCCTTCTATGCAAAGTTACGTCAACCAAGCCTGTCTCTTGATATTATTACCCAATGGCAGACACAATAAGCAGAGCGCAAGCAGAGTCACTCATTGATCCGTTAATGAAGCGCATCATCCAAGAAGAATGGCAAGTTGCGTTGAATGACGAACTCGAATCCAAATTGACCAAGGAGACGATTGCGATGCTGCCTCCATCCACCAAAATATGGCTCGCTACATGGGCAACACAGGCAGACAAACCGATAATTCTCTTGCGACTACGAAACTTCACTGAGCATAAATTATCGCTTCCAGTTGAGACACTGCTGGACAACTTGTTTGAGCTGTCTGAGCACCCAGAGTTGCATGAGGAGATTGCGAGGCGGGAGATGAAGGCAACCGCGGTATCGCTTCGTCACTATATTCAACAACAATCGATGGTTATAGAAGGTTTCACGAGCAGGATAGATTGCATAGAGGGCCGGGTACTTGCTCTTGAAAAAGACGTGGAAGAGACACGTAACGACGTGGCTGCGCTTAAGAAGATGATGTCAGCCTTGAAAGAAGCAGTGAAAAACACAAGAGCCAACGACGTTGGTGAGAGACTCGCTTCTCTGGATGTCATCAAGCGTGCTGTGCAAGACGAAATAAAGAAATGTCAACAAGTCGTTCAGAAAGGCGCCACAAACGTACCCATGAGGGGGCCTTTGGTAGCCAGGATTGCAATTAAGAGATTGAAACCAGACGAACCGGCACCAGATTGTAAGTAATCCACTCGGGTCAAGATACTCGAACCACCATACTTCTGATGAAGTATCAACTGATATGGTAACCAGTGAAGAAGGAACACCAGAGAACAAATCATTGCTTCCATTTGCTCTGAACATGAAAAGGAATCGGACAGACGGCGAACGGAAAATGGTATGGGAAGACGAGGTATCCAGAATCAACCATTTGAGATCATCAAGGAACCATTATGAACATAAGAGTGCTCAGGACAGCTGGCGTCTATATATTACGTTCTGACAGGGAAGAAGACCAGTATGAACACGGAAGCGCTTGGAATAAATGGCGTCTATATTTCACGTTCACTCGCGGTAGAAATGACCAGTATAAATGGGAATACAAGGACAGAAACAGCGCAAATACCCTTCATTCGCCTATTAAATAGCATAGCAATTGGGCAATGAGAATTATCGATTTTCGCATTATAAAGAAGTTTTCTATATCGTCAAATCCTCTAGAAGCAGCAGAGTGAGGTGTGCTGAAGCCCTCTGCCGATAGGTCTGTTGTAAGTAAATAGCCTTACTTATACATGTACTTTTCTTGAAGAGACACGCTACACCACGTATGGCTAAAGGTGTAATTTTGATCATCTGGACAAGAGGAATCTGAAGAGATTAGAAGCACAGCTTGGCTATTTAATGGCTACACAGTTTCCTCAAAGCTGCTTGTCTCTCTTGGAGCTCTAGATGTCGGCCTACTCCTCTAGCTAGGGTCATCATGCTGCGATCCCTTCTTTGGGAGGATAGGATTTGGTAGCAATTATTCTGCATTTGGCTTTCAAATGGCCAAGTCGCAGTGGAACACTAGAATCTAAGCAACGCCTTGATAATTAGAGAGTTTAACATGGCATATCAGTATACAGTACTGCGTTCATCTTCCGTCTGTCCTCGATATTGCTGTAAATAGCAATGACCTAATAGCGCATGCCGTGGATGTTTTAGCGGCCCAGCATTAGCGCTTGGCTTGGCGACCGCCCGAAGCGGCAGCACTTGTCGCAGCGTCTCCACAGCGCCTAAGCCGCAAGCCACTTTTGGCCACATGCACCTTTATTTGACTACCAGCGAACGACAATCGTCCATCTGCACCTCCACCCTCAGATTTCTCGGCCTTTTGTCTCTCGCTTTTTATGCCTACGAGGAGAACTGCCACGCTTCACGGGTTACTGGAAAGCGGCAACATCATCAGCAGCATGTTCCAGTAGAGACTTCGCCGGGATGGCAGCGACCGCAGACCCCATCAGTCCCGTGCCCTCGGCGGCCATTTCAAGCTCGTCCTCTGCTGATCCGACCAGGAAGAACTCGTCTACCAGCCTGGCCGAGCTGACGGAAGACGAAGTGGTTCACAATGGAAACAGGCATGGGTATGGAAATACGAATGGGAACAGAAATGGATACATGAATGGCAGCAGAAATGGGCACGATAAAGAGAATGAATATGGACACGAGACCGGGAATGGAAGCCCTGCCATTAGCAGAAGATCGAGCAACAACAACTTTAGGCAAAGAGACTCTGGCAGCGACATGCAGAGGCAGCGCAGCAGTAGTGGCACCTTGAAGAGAGACCCAAGCCACGACAATGTCCAGAAGCTGAGCGCCGCCGAGATGCAGCAGCTGACCAGCGAGCCCAAGTCGCTACCCATTGCGCCCGCGCCAGACTTTGTCCAGGAGCGAGAGGCCATTCGACAGTCTCTGATGAGGCCGCCAGAGCTGCACTATGCCGACGGATTCCAGCGGCCGAATGGTCTGGCGGCAGAGACCCGGACTGTCAGCGGATGGCTGCCCAGAGAGGCCCGCGCTCCAATGCGTCGCTCTGCGTCAGCGAACAGGACCGTATCGACGCCGCCGACGACCCGAGATGTCCAAGGCCTCGGCATTCAGGCTCCTGCGTCACCGCCGCGACGACTGTCATTCGTTCCTGGGACACGGCCGCAGGGGCTAAACCTCAATCTGGATGGAGCCGCAAACCCAGGCTCAAACGGAAGCGTGGTATCACCGCCCATCAAGACTGGGCCACCAACTTTTGCGACACAACAGCCTGTGCCTGTCCAACCTGCCGGATCCGGCATCCGACCGCCGTCTCCCATCCCGCCCATAATTCCGCTCCCGCCAATGTCGATTCCTACGCATCTTCAGCTTGAACTGTCTCAACAGCGGCCAAGCCCTCTTTATATCCATCAGTCCTATACCAACGACATCCCGTACGAGTCTCACGCCGTCAAGTTCGAGCGTCTGAAGAACGTCCTCCTGATACCCCCATTTTTGGAGCGAACGCTGTATTTTGGTGCGCTGGCCTGCTTGGATGCCTGGCTGCACACCTTTACCATTCTCCCCATCCGGTTTACCATGGCCCTTGCCGTCTTGGTGCAATGGTGGATGTATGTCATCTTTAAGGAAGTCAAGTGGCTGGTTGGCTTTGTCTGGTACGGCCTCGGGCGGTTATGGCGCCGAGCTCGCGCAGTCCGCGGCCGAAGAATTAGTGATGCGTCCGATAGCGCCAGATCACGCAGCTGTAGTAGGGCCAGCGAGGTCTCTGTAGACGGCGCATCACCAGGTATTCGGCACCGCTCCAATGGAAGGACGCGAACCGATTCCCGAGTTCGCGGCGCAAGTGATGCTGCCGGGACCAAAACACCGTCAATCCCAGCTCGCAGCAATCCGGGACCGAAGTCGGGCATCTTTCGGCACCGACGGACAAAGTCGACGCCGTCTAATCTCTCGTCCTTCCACAAGGCTGATTTGCTCCAGGGCGCCGTCATCATATGTAGCTCTCTCGTGCTGATGAAGTTGGACGCCAGCCGAATGTACCATCTCATCCGCGCACAGTCGGCCATCAAGCTGTACGTGGTGTACAATATCCTCGAGGTTGGAGATAAACTGCTCTCAGCCCTGGGCCAGGACATCCTCGAGTGTCTGTTTAGCTCAGAGACCCTATCCCGTAATGCGTCCGGCCGGTCCAAGATTCTCCTGCCGTTGGGCATGTTTGTGCTTGCTTTGATATACTGCGTACTCCATTCTGTGGCCCTGTATTACCAGGTCATTACCCTCAACGTGGCCGTCAACTCCTATTCCAATGCTCTCCTTACTCTGCTTCTGTCCAACCAATTTGTCGAGATCAAAAGCACAGTCTTCAAGCGCTTCGAGAAAGATAGTCTGTTCCAGCTTACCTGCGCTGATATTGTAGAGCGCTTCCACCTCTGGGTCATGCTGCTCATCATCGGCATGCGAAATATTGTCGAGGTGGGCGGCCTCTCTATACCAGGGGCCAGTATGAGCGATGACCCGCCCACCAAAGCGGCGCCTCTGCACTCGGCGAGCATCCTTCCTCACAGCTTCACCGTGCTTCCATCTTGGGTCATGTCGGGAGAGGTCCTCTCACCGTTTCTCATTGTCGTAGGCAGCGAGATGCTCGTAGACACCATCAAGCACGCTTATGTGACAAAGTTTAACAACATCAAACCCAAATTCTACAACAGGATTCTTGACATCCTGTGCAAAGACTACTACACCAATGTGAGTATCTGTTCTAAGTATATCTTACAAGATCGGATTACTAATTCTTCACCTCAATTCAAGGCCTTCACAGCCCCCGCTCTCACAAGAAGACTCGGTCTCGCCGTCATTCCTCTATCCTGCCTCTTCATCCGCGCCTCCATCCAAACGTACCACATGCTCTTATCCGCCCATGTTCCTATGCCTCTCCCTATATCGACTCAGACGTCTCTAACAGAAGCATCCGCAACGCCCTCATCTCCTGCCATGATTGCAGCTCTCAACCGCTTCGACACTCTTATCCGCGACTCTCTAGGCCGCGCCACTTACGGATACCCTTACGACCATCCGCTCAACTCCCGCCCCTGGTACAGATGGACCTCGGACGATGCCATTGCCGCCGTTACTATGGTGGTTGTCTTCTTCATCATTTTTCTCGTTCTCCTCATCTGTAAACTTCTCCTCGGAATGATCCTCCTCAAGTATGCCCGTAACCGCTACGCCAAGATGAAGCAGAAAGAAGCTCTCGTTGCCGCTGGACAAGCGGAATGGGATAATTACAAGGCTAATGGGATACGAGTGGGCGGCTTTGGAGAGGTGGAAGTTACAGAAGACAAGCGTCGCTGGATAAACGCCGATCCTACCGAAGGGCTGAAGAAGAAGAAGAAGGAAAGAGACGATAGGAAGCCAACGAATGTGGAAGGGGATTATCAGGGTGTGTTTCGTTATGACATGGTGGAAAAAAGGATTTGGTGAGGCGGTTTGTACTGGCAATTCAGCACCTGTAAGAATTCATTTCATGGGCGGCGTAATTGACTCTTGTTGTTTATTTATCCATTAGCGTCTGTACATAGAATATCATACTCGGCATAATAGCAGATCATTTTACCCATCTTACTTGATGCAATCATATTCGTTGAGACTCGGGAGTCTGCTTAGCCAAGTCAATGCCCGCATCGAGATATCCACCACAATTATAGAGCAAAGGACTAAACTTCACACTCAGGGATTTTTTATGCTTCCACTTTTTGATGTCCAAACACTGGCACATCTTGATACTTGTCAGTTTTTGCCTATAAGCTTTCTATTGCTAATTCAAAACGAGTGCTATAACCGCACAGCCAACCCACTTCCCTCGAATCCAACCATCTTTTAACTTTTTATATACGCTTCTGCCGTAACCCGCATTCTCAAGCATATACACTCTATGCCATTTTTCCCAATCCAGCCTTTTTCTAATTAAACACACTGTTTTTATGTTCTTCATGTGTGTTTTCCCTTATATACCCTCGGCCCATTTCCATTTTTCTCTTTTTTCCTAACTCATCATAAAGGGGTATAGTTCATGTCTTCATGTCTTCATCGTCTAAGATGCCAGTTCGCTCTCAAAAAAATATACCAGATAACTCTTTTTTCTTTTATCCTTTACTGGGCGAGGCTCAGCAAGTTGGGGTTATTGGCAAACAGGTCCGGCTTAGCTCCGTAGAGGGCCTTCACAGTCTGAGAGATGATCTGGCGGGTCTCGGGCTCGAGCTGCTCCTGGGGAGGAGACAGGACCTTTTCGAAAACGCCAATCAGCTGGGGGGTCAGCTGCTGGACGGTTTCGTTGGATTGATCGTAGAGAGTGTGAATGGCCTGGTAAATGGGCTCGTTCTCCTCATACTCCTCCTGGAGGGGCAGGGCAGCCACAATGGCGGGGAGGGCCTGGGCAACAAATCCAGCATCAGCGTGCTTGAGGATCATTCGAGACAGGGCTCCGGCGACATTGTCCGTAATGTGCATGTCGCGCATGGCCAGCATTGGCTCAAACTTCTCCCAAAGCTGAGGGTAGATAGGGACCGTCTTGGCGGTATCGGTGGAGTTGAAGATCAACAGACCAATAGCGTAGGCGGAGTTGGACTTGGTCAAGGCATCAGGATCAGACAGTCGGCGGATCAAGGCCTGTCCAATAGACTCGGTGTATGGTGTAATTGCCTCGCCTGTGTACTTAACGAGCTCGGCAATAGTGCCAACAGCAGTCGATCGCTGGAGGTCCTCAGTAGAGCTGGCCATCTTGTAGATGGGCTTCTCGAAAATCTTCCACAGCTCGCCGAAAGCAGGGCCCAGAGCAGCGGCAAGGCCAACAACGACATCCAGGGCGGTGTCAATGGCAAGCCAGTCGTACTCTGAGGATCCAGCGTCCTCAACCTCCTGCTCCTCGTCCTCATCGCCAAGATCTAGCTGGCAGGGGTGAGAGCGAGTGATCAGAAGAGTGACGACGGAGATGACCTCTTGCAGCATGCCATCCTTGGCAGTCAGGACTGCAGGACCGCAAGCCTTGAGAGTGGCGGCAACATTGCGGTTGATGTCGGTGACAACGGATCTATTCCCTTGGTTAGCAAGAGTGCCACAACTTTCATTGTCAAGGGATCAAAGTAAAGAATAAGGGAGTAGATCAGAAGTAGATTACACGCTTTCTCAGCAATTGCATATTTGCATCTGAGTGAGCTGGGTATAACGCAACATTGTCATCATGCAAGTGGATTGGGTAAGAAACAAAGGAAACGCTCAAATAGACAAAATACGTACCGGTCGCTATCGTTGGCCCAGATGGTCATGGTAGCCTCGTGAAGAGTCTCGCCAATCTTGGCAATTGATGCAGGAGGAGTGGGCTTGGGGGGCATGCCAGGCTCCCACTTGACGCCAGAGCCCTCTTCCCAGACCTGGAAGACACGGGCATAGATGCGCCACAGGGTAGAAATGGCAGTCTTGCGGCAACCTTCGTAGTCGTGGTCGGTGAACGGCAAAACCTTCTCAATGGTCTTCTCGACGTAGGTCTCGAGGTTGTTCATGTTGCAAGAGTTGGAAATGACATCTCCAAGGACGTCAAGGGCAATCTCCTGCTCCATGGCGACAGCAGTGGTGCCGCCAGCGAGGTCAGCAAGATCTTCGATGTCATCCCACTCATCCTCGGCTTCGCCTCCAGTGGCAATAGTAAGATCCTCTTCACTCTGAGGGGACTTGACCTTGATGCGCTTGCCACCGATGACAATGTGGCCATCGTCGAGCTGGCTGGGGTCAATGCCAGGAATGTCAAGCTCCTCCTCTTCAAGCTCCAGAGAGGCAAAGATACCCTGGAAGACGCCATCAAGGAAGTGCTCGAACTGCTCGTGGTAGACCTTGGACAGGTTGGACCACAGGATGAAGCTGGTCTCCTTGAGTCTGGGGTTGTCGAGGCTAAGAGCCTCTTCACTGGCCTTCATCAGATCCATGACGTAGGGCTGGAAAGCCTCAGGGCCAACAGCCAGAGCAATGCGGCCCAAGCTGTCGCAGGTGGAGCTTCGCAGGTTCATGGCATCCTCGCTATCCTTGATCATGACAAAGTTGCCGAGAGACTTCATGACATTCTCGAAGTAGGGCTGGAACTCCTTCTCCATAGAAGCAGCAATAGCACCCAGAGCGGAAGCAGCGGCGGCCTTGACACCAAAGTCGTTGTGGTCAAGCAGCTTAACCATGGGGCCAATCAGGGCAGGGCCGTACTGGGCCATGATCTTGGTGTCAATACCATCACCGAAGGTATCGAGAGCACCACAGGCGCATCGGATGATGCTGATGTTGGTCTTGTCAGAAGGACCCTGGGAAGCAGACTCAAGGTTCTTCAAGACAGCCTCGATGATTTGCTGGTGGTGTGAAACCATCTCGTCGGCCATTTCCTCAGCAAGGTGGATAAGACCGACCAAAGCAGCATGTCGGACCTTGGTCTCAGAGTCGCACAGCAGGTTGATGATGGCGGGCAGAAGAGGCTGCAGCTGGGTAGAGATGAAATCAGGAGCGCCCTCAGCGGCATTGCCCAAAGCCAGCATAGCAGCCATACGGTAGCGCGGGTCTTGGTTGCTGGCAAAGACGGGGAACTGCTCCAGAAGGGGCACAATAACCTGGCGAGGAGGGAGCTCGTTGGCCAGCTGATCAATCAGGCTGATGGCCACTCTAGCAGGGGACATGTCCTCTTCGTCTTCAGAGTCCAGATCAATGACGATGTGCATGGCCTTGACCATGAGCTCAGCACCGAGATCCTTCATGGCCTGGATCTTCATGCGGCGGAAAGAGACAGTCTGGATGAGGAAACCAAGGGCCTGAGAACGGGGATCATCCTCGGCGTTGGTGTTGCCAGCAAGTTCAATCATGAACATGAGCAGGTCGCGCAGGTGGAGGTTGAGAAGAGCAGAGTCGTAGGCGATGAAGGAGTGGAAGACGTCAAAGACGGCGCCGTAGCTCTCCTCGTCGCCAGCCTCGACGGTGGCCTTGAGAATGTTGACCAGGCTGGGGACGAATCCCTGCATGATGGTGAGGGCCTTGGGGTCCTCCTCGGGATCAACGAGCATGAGGATGGCGCCAATGGCACGAACAATGTTCATGCGCACCTCCTTGCTGTCGTCGTTGATGCGAGCCTGGAAGAGCTGCAGCAGCTGATCGGTGTGGTCGCTGAAGTGCGCAGGATCGTCCTCGAGCATGGCATACAGAACAAACGAGCCAACCTCGCGGTGGACGACGTTGTCGCTGGTGTTGAGGGGCAGCAGCTGGGCCAGGAAGTCCTCGCCATCGCCCTGCTCCATATCCTCGCCAACGATGCCGGCGACCAGACGCGCCAGAGAGTGGCGGTTGGCAGCGGACGTCTCCTTCAGAGTGCCCTCCAGCAGGTGGGAGCGGACAAGAGGCTTCTGGTCCTGGGCGGTCTTCTTCCAGAACTTGGCCACAAGGCGCAGGGCCTGGACAGAGGCCAGCTGTCGCACAGCATTGTCTGCGTTTGTAAGAGCGATCTCGATGAGCGCCAGAAGAGACTCGGGCTTGGAGTAGTAGTTCTTCTGGAGGTCGGCCGTGACAGCCTTGACCTGTTCCGTGTTGGCTGTAGAACAGGGCGATGTTAGTAAGAAAGATTTTCCTCAGCAGAATAACATTCACGCTTCGCTATCCAAAATCTACATCTCGAGTCGTCGTGCGCGCGCTTCGACGAGAGAAGCAGATAACAAAACAAAACAATAGAGAAAACAGCAGAGAAAAGACTTACGAACTTGGCTGGCCTGCAGCAACTGAGCGAGCTTTTCCTTGTCCATCTTGACTATTCCTTGGAAGCTCGGCGACCAAGAGAAATGCAAAAGATGAAGAAAAAGAAAAAAGACCAGGTGGTGTGGAAAAGATTTTATGTATCCCGCCTAGAGGGGGAAAAAAAATTAATATCGATTCTCCAACCAGGCAGGGACTTTTTTTTGCCCCGCTTGACCGAGGGGTCGTCTCCAGTTTCGAAATTAATGGCGGCTTGGGATTGGCGCCGAATTATGATTGGTGGGGGCGCGTTATCGTTATCTGAAGCTAGAGCTGCGATAAGAGCGGTCGGTCTAGGTTACTCGAGAAGAAATCATATCTGAAAGAGTAAATGCTTAGGAAGGCATCATCACAACTTAACTTCTGTTACAACCAGTGTGATGAAATAAACTAAGAGAACCTCAGACTAACTTCCACTTTACCATGAGTTGGCTAAATTGGAAATTTTATCAACTCTTACCTGTCCGGCTTTGAATAGTTAGGTCTCAGTCAGAATGCTGTTATGTTATGAACTACAACACTATCTCCTCCTCCTATCCAGACGACGAGCACCTTGCCGACTGTTATCAGTGGTAATTACCGGAATACTTTGCTCCCCAACGCTATCATAGCCATTGTCTTCCTCCTGCTCGTCATATGACACGTCGTCGAGTTCCTGCTGTTGCTGCAGCATCTCAGAATGCTCGTCGTCATCATCTGGGAAGCCTTCAAACTGCTGCCTTTGCCGTTGGTCTCTTTGGTCTCTCCTTCGCCGATTTGTATTCGAAAATCCTTTAATTGATTCTCTCTCCCCATATCCGAGGGTTGAGAGAAATACTGCTGCTGGATAGGAGGCTGTGGCTGTGCCGACTTCTGTGGCCGTAAAAGGCCCCGAGGTTGACGCGCTTTGATATATGATGATGTTTCAGCGTTGTTTCGGCCGCGCATTGAGCTAGAGTATCTGGGTTGTTGTTCCGAGCGATTTTGTTGAGTCTCCAAGTAGCTTACTCTGCGATTCATTCCGGTATCCGATTGGTGCTGTCGAGGAATCCGCTTGGTTCGCTGTGACATTTCTTTATTATATCTCTTATAAAGCTGCTCTGTTGTAAGAGGGAGATCTCGTTCTTCGTCAAAACTTCCTTTTGTACGTAAGAATCTCTCCTCAGCAAGATGAGCTGTATTCGCACCATAGAGATCACTTAAATACACAGCGAACTCTAGGTAAGCATCGCGCACAATCTCAAAATCGCCGACGGTCAAAGTAACAGTAGCTTTTGGATCGTACTCGCTGGTGTTACTGTCGCCTTGAGCTTGGTACTCCGCCAAAGCCAAAGCCGTCTGGCAAGCATTGCGTATTTGGCGCCCATTCCAGCGCGAGTCGTGGTAATACCAAAAGTGCATCTCTGCAAAGCGCTTGATACCATCGTGATCTATCTTAATTGTACGCCCCATACGCTCGAATCGATCCTTGATAAGTTTGAAATTGAGATCAAATATGCCCAGCGTCTTATCACGATTGAGTACTGGGTAATAAAGACTCATGTGGATATGAGAGGTGAAAGCTTCGTCAAAATCGCCAACCCGATTCGTTGTCAAGAATAAAATTCCGGCATAATACTCTAGAACACGTAGAAATGCTGGCAGTCATTAGCGTAATATCAAAGTGAATGATTTCAGACACTACAACGAGTAGTAATTTACTCACCTGCTACAAGCCCATTCCGGACGAAATCTTCTTTATTTCTCTGAGAAAGGAATACATCCGCTTCATCTAATAGCAAAATACAACCCCACTTTGTGGCAAGGTTGAAATTGGTTTCCAGAGTTTTCTCAACGTCTCTTGCTGTAACGCCCAAATCACCTAGTAGTTGCATAGTTTGTTTAGTACCTCTAAATCATGCATGATCTAGCGTTATGGAGTACTGTTATTTGGTAGACTGAAGGGATCTTACCGCAAGTTATTTGAAATAGTGGCTTCCTGAAATGCTCCGCTACACCCTCTGCTCATTCGCCAAGGTTAAACAATGCCCTCTGTTGTCGTATTCCCTTGTATGAAAAGAACGTACCTGCTGTGGAAGTCTTTCCTACTCCAGGGGCCCCATGCAGAAGCAAAATCAAACCTTTACCTGCGTAGATTGTGATTAGCTAAAAAACTGGCTTCTCAATGATTTGCTGCTTGGAGGAGGTTGTACCTTTCCCTCTAATAATGTCGACTTGTTCTGTTTGAGATCCCTTAACCTCCTTATCTCGGAAATGTTGAGTGATTAGCGATACAATCATCTTTTTATGCCCATCTTCTAGAACAAGGCGACCGAATGCGGTGTCCTTTCGTTCAAATGCTGTTTCCTGTTCCGTGTTATCAATAGTATCTCCACCCTTCTCATTAGACGGAATCGGTAAACTAGGCTCCCGCACTTCGGTTAAATGGGTTAAATCTAACTGAGCTATAAGAAAATTGTAATTAGCGATGCTGATCAGCCTATTATATTTTTGTTAATTATCCATTCGTCATCCCTTTTATAGGGCAACTGACAAGAGACGTATTAAAGGAGCGAAAGGGGGAGAAGAACGATGCCTACATACCCCATTTTCTGCTGCGTAAAACAAATCCAAACACTCGATAGGACATAATAAGCCGTCTTCGTCGGAAAAATCGGGCTCCTCAGTTGATCCCATCTGCATCTCGCTGAAAAGTCTTGGGAAAAGTGCCACAGATGGAGGTTCTTCCGGGAGCTTCTTCGATAGAAGGCTGTTGATATACTCATTGCGTTGACTTTTGTCAACGAAGGTGCCATCGTTGTACACAACATCAAAGCAACAACATGCGCATACTTGATCAGATGATTCCTCTTTATCCTTGCTGTCGATAATCTCACCGATGAAATTTTTTAATAAGGGTCGTTTTACATGCTCTTGCAACTCATCTTTTGTTGCAAATGCTGTCTCAAAATCGATTACTACTTGGCTCTCGACCTCTTCTCCCACTACCATGGTTGGACCAGAGTAATACATATGCTTAACAGCAGCGACCGCAACAAATTTAGCCCCTCGATTGATAAGGCTTCTTCTGCATCGGTCTTGTTCAGGGTATGTCTCAAGCTCGCCCCCTTTTCCCCGTCGAATCTTTTGATCTCAAACGTGCATACGTAAAACAGGCCCAATGTATTTTCCATCAAAGTCGATATATACGCAAGTTATTGTAAATTCGGACTTTTCAGCTTCGTCATCACTTTTGTGAGGAAGTCCAAAATTGTAATAGGACGTCTGTCGAGAAGTTGGACGGTGTCTGGAACTGGTGACTTGAATGACTTGATATGCCTGTTTGCCGTCGATGCCGATCACTTCAACCCCCGGCCGATATAAGTACCAAAGGTCCGAAAAGTGAGCTTTGCGGCATTCGACGCTATGGATATGGGCAGTTTTTGTGATAATATAATTATCAATAAAATCTAAAATACATTTCAAGTGCTCCATAGCGGTTGGCGAGTCTATAATTTCGTCAGCTGGTAATGTACACGAGTGAATAGTATAAAAGCTGCATTCGGCTATTTACCTAGTTCACTGGTGTCGACCGTAGGCTTGATGACTCCTTCTTCTGTAGCGGGCCCATATAACAGTGGTGGGCTGTTGATATCCTCTTCTAACCTCTTGAGCCAATCTCGTATTTTATTTTCATAAAGAGCAATGACTTTGAACGGCCTGAGGAAAACAATTGATGGCGCCTGTAGATTCATTTCATTTCCATCAGGGCCAACCAGCTGCGCAAGGATCTTCAACAACAGCTTGGAGTGGATTCTTATTCTCTCGGGTAAAGGAGCCTGTCCTCGTGGTCCCGATAACACAACTGGATTCGGTTTCTGGGGCTGAGGTGCTGTGCGAGTACGACTATTCCTATCGTGCGCCCAACTCAGATGACCTGCAGAAACTTCTTCTGTGACCAGTGGTTCGCCGATAAGTACATCGATAACGCAGGAGTCGCTTTCAGTCATAGAGCCCAGCGCTTTAAATGAGCTCCAATCAATAGGGTTGACTTTGGCCAGCGCATATTGGTATGCCTCAGGCTTGAGGATAGGAAAGTCTTCCTGTTTTATGTCAGGTAGGCTTGACGGCTCGTTTCTGGCACCTTGCTCCAGAACCTCGGCTGCTCTCATCTCGGCTTCTCTCATTTCGGCCGCTCTCATCTCAGCTACTCTCTCCAACTCAGCTGCCTTTTGCTGCTTTCTCAGCTTCTTGGTAAGGCGAATTCTCATTAGCCCCTCAGTGATGGTTTCTATTTTCAATTCCATCGATTTTAAAAACTCACGACGCTTCACCATGAGCTGCTCACGGAGCTGTCGCTCTTCGTAATTATCATCGTCATCATCATTGTCAGAATCATAGAAACGGTGGAGAAAAGAGTCTGCCATCTTGGCTTCGCCTATTAAGAAGTAGGCACCAGCCATATTCTTGTCTTGTTCCCGGTTAGCTATACGCCCGAGAGCTCTTTCAATTGCATCTGTCGTAGAGTAGCTCTCCAAGCCATCCCTGAAATCCCATTCGTGAGAATGGTTACGTAGACATTCTTTCATATGTTGAATAGTTTCGTTTTGCTCAGATACGGCCTGAAGTTGAGCTTCTTGAGAGTTCAACGGGGCAGCCTTGGTTTGTATTTGTAAATGCCGAATCTGTTCTTTTAGAACTTGTATCTCGTCCAATACAGTTAGTCGAGGCGGCGCAGTGCTTTGAAGATCGCCTGCCGGCATGCTAGCTTGTTCAACATCAAGGTTTTGTTGATGATGTTCATGACTTTGCGAAGCAGCAGGCGATTTCTGCGAAAGATTATCGGTGGCATCAGAGGTAGTGTGAATCTCGTTGATGGACACTCCAGTACACTTTGGTTCCATTATCGCAATTCTCGCAGAGCACTTTAGCTCGTTAATAGCACAGATAGAGCGGGATGTCTGCGGATAGGGATAGGGCCGCTGAGAAGTTTAAGAAAAATCGAGGAAAAATATGCTATGTATAACGTTTGAATGTAATTCAACGAAAAATATAATGGTCTGCTCTTGTGGGAACGCAATCGATGGCACTGACATTTCAAAAATGAAAGCGATTACCAGAAACCCTTTTATATTCTGTGTTGCCTCTATTTAACTGAAAATCTTTCCCTTGGTACATGTTATCTACTCTCTATTCCTATGCAGTCCTCAGCCAATTAGAGCGTAGCTTGAGTGCATATATTGCACACCAATATGCATGCACGCGTGAAGAACGGCGATCCAATGGCGTGGACGTTCAGTGTGAAAAGCGTTGGTTACACAGAGTAGCGGCATATACGAAACTCAACAAGGCTCGGCGAACTACGTGGCAAGCAGTGATTGGAGAAAGAAAGCAATAGCAATCATGCACGCAATAGAGAAAGCTCTCTGATTGGAGATGCAGCCGAATATCAAGTTGGCTAATAGTGATATAATTAGCAAGACTCGGTGAAATACGTAGCTGGCCACAATTGGCCGAACTTGGCTCGATAGGATTGAACTGGCCTCTGTTTCATAAACTGCCATTGGCATCTAAAACAAGTAGGTAGTACGCTTGTGCCTTTTACGAATTTAATTCCTGGCTTTGTGGTTTACCCTTTCTTCATTGCGAAGGGTGAATTCCAAACAATTTCTTTCCTTCTTTTCTTTTCCTATTAATTTTTTTTTTTTTAAAAAAAAAATGCAAACGTTAGGCTTTGAAAATATGACTAATTGTGTTACTCTCGACTAGATATCATGACAAGATCATCTTCCTTCATCCCTGACCTGGGTAACCAGCCACCATCTGTTGATTTTATTGAAAATCGCATGCCTAAATACTCTCCAGCGTTCAAAACTTCTCCTGTCCACTATAATCCGGCCTCGCAACAGTTCATCTATCTCCTTTGAGAGACAAAAAAGTGGTTTAAGTGAACGGATTGACTCCATTACCATACAGAACAATGCTATTGAGAAACAAAATCCGCCAATGGACCAGTCCATGGCCCTTGTCACCTCTTTGAGCGCAAATACCGAGGCGATGAAGTATTGGAACGAAATATTTTCCGATGCTTGGACGCAGCTATAAGCTACCACTGAGCCTAGAATCAAAAGACACGAACTCAGAATCAGATGCGATAAAAGCTGGGACACGATATACCTTAAGCTTTAAAAGGCGCGTTCTGGATACTTGAAGCAGAGTGGCCAGTTCGGGCAATTGGTGCGCTGGTATGCCGACCATACAACGCCAGCCACTGTCCTCGTGAAGATAGCTCAGGGTGTTGCACCCAGTAACCCATATTCAACGCCCGTGCTTGGGGCTGTGCAATTGATACTGAATGTAAAACTATCCTCTTATCAATGATTGATTATACTGCTAACAAAGAATGTTCAGGCCATGCAAACATCAGCTGATGCCCGCACTCGGGCACTCAATGCTTTCAAAGACCTTTGGAAGGGTTTTCAAGAGGCTGAATTATTTATATCAACATTTCCTACCAGCCAACATGTAAGAAATTCTGCAATTGAACTGACAGTAGCTGTCTTAAGTGCTATTGAGAACTCCATCGCATTTTTCAGCACCTCACGGCGTAAGACATTTATTGACAAGGAAATTTGGCTCATATGCTATTGCTAACAAGTTCTAGCTAAGAGAATGTTTAAAAGCATGTTTGAAGGCTCTGAGTACTTAGCAGGTCTGGAGAGATCACTCAAGTCAATTGAGGACAAGAGCAATGGTCTCCGAAACCAAGGCCGGAACACGCATATAGCAACTTCTCAGCAGCGTAAGTTGGCTTATAGAAGTATTGAACAAACGTATTGCTAATAAATGTTCCATTCTCAAAGTCCTTCGAGGCACTTATCAGAACACCGAAGCTTTATGTAACGCGGTGCTTGGCCTCATGAATGATCATCTCAGATACAGAGAAGGCGGGTGGCCGATATTGTTTCGATTTATTAGAGAACATAAGTTAGCTAATACTATTATTCTAGACTCCTTAAGAAACGCAATGGAAATCGAAAGACGACACAAAGGTATGCTATAGACAACAATAACTACTTCTTCCCCCTAGCTAACAATGTCAACACAGCTGAGTTGGGAGAAGTACAACAAAAGAATGTGCATCTCCAGGTAGAGAATGCAAATCTGCGCTCCAGATCTCGAAGCCCAAACAACCTTTTTCTGGCTCAGCAGCACGTTGGTATACAAAGGACATACCTTGAGGAGCAGGAGTTGCGATATCTCCTCAACATCAGTGACAAAGACGTTGACATGTCGTTCATTGCTAAAAGAAAGTCGCATCTCTTGTATGGAGAGCTATCTCGTGCTGAACAATTAATTAACGATGCCAAATTTCGCACTTGGATGACATCACCTGAATCAACCAAACTCCTGATCTTATGGAACCAACGCCCCCCTAAATCCCATGCGGGCATCTCTCCTATATCTACACTCTGTGCCTCGCTGGCGCCTATGTTTTACGATCACGACCGATTTGTTTGTTGCATATGGTTCTGTGGCCTTCATGACAAATCAGGAAATGATGATACTAGGGCTATGCTCGCTAGCTTGATCGATCAAATATGCCAACAGTACTTGTTCGACTTTGACAACTTGGAAGTCGATGGGGTCAATAAAGAACTTTTGGAAAACCGTGACCCAGAAGAGCTTTACAACTTGCTATACACGCTTATAAAGACATTGCCAGCGGATATCACTCTTATGCTTCTTATTGATGAGGCCTATATCTACGAGCGCGAGAAGTTTGAGGACGGGCTATCCATCTTTGACGAACTAGTGAAGTTAGTAGAGGATGAAAGCCTCTCCACCACCGTTAAATTGCTTTTCGCGAGTACAGGAAGAGTTGGATATCTGGGAGAGGTATTTCAACAGGGGGGCCAGGTTCTCAATGTCGAGACAGCAGCGCATCAGGGAGGGGCGCCCTCAGAAAAACGCATGACGAGACAGATGATGCGGAATTTTGAGGATTAGGTTTACTACTAACATCGCTTATTTTATCTAACATTGTCTCCATTTTAACAAGACTTATTACTTATTGAACTCTGTAGTCTTATCAAGAGCATGTTTTCATTGTATTCTAGCTCCCAGAGAATTGCCTCTAACTCTAAAAGTGCTCAGAGCTAGCAACATCGACTTTGATGAATACTTCTTTTGTTGGCATACTAGGATCTGTTATCCATGAGAATGAAATAACATGGCCACAACTATCCACTTCAAATTGAAACAAGTATGTTTCCAGGCTCGTATCAGAATATCTTCCTCTTCTTTTCGTTTCGTCGTGAGTGAGGACCCATTCAAAGACATTGTGATGTAGGTATCGTAAAGTATAAGTCTGGTCCTTCAGCCCCTGAAATTGCAAGACAAGTTCCGAACTGTTTTCCTCTGACAATTTAATAACGATGTGAAACGGTTTATTCGGGTTGTCGTATCTGCCTGTATAAGCTTCTAGGCTGGGTATTTGCTGGTCACCATCATCTTCATGCTTCAATTCATCTCTTGCTTTGATCACATCTTCGTGACTTTTGATAACTTTTCTGTTTCCTTCCTTTGCCAATTTGACGTAGTCGTTGTTATCTCGAAGATCAAACAAGGCTTGGATGAAGACTCGGCCAACCCAGTCTGCTGCGTCACTGATCGCGATAGAGTTGGTGAGAACGACCACAGCAGATTTGCTATCAGGAAAAAGTGCTATAAACGTGTAATAGCCAACTGTGCTTCCCTGATGGTAAATCATCAAGAGCGGCTGGTCTGGTGTGCCGAGAATTGGACTGTCTTCCATGTCCCATAACCCGGCATTGTCTCCCACCAAACCAACAATGCCAGGGAGCTGAGTTCGAACCCAGCCGTAGCCATAGGACCGCTCTCTCAAAGAAGGATTCTCCATCGCAACATGGCTACTTAGGATCTCTGGGACTTGTTTCAATACCGAATCCTCTGTTCCTGGTGTAGCTTGGGCTGCGTCTAGCATTGCCTTGGACCACTTCAGCATATCATCAAGGTTCGAGTATATTCCTCCTGATGCCTCAAAAAACGAGTCTTTGAAGACCTGTCTCTTTCGTAAATGAAATGAGGTGCCATCTTGCAATCCAGCGTATGGCTCAGCAAATTTGGCTGGATCCACAGAATTAGGGTCAAATGTTGTGTTCTTTAGACCCAGAGGCTTAAAGATCGTTTCGGACATGAAGGTATTGATGCTCTGATTGGTGACTTTCTCGATAATGGCTCCCGCCAAGGCGTAGCCCCAGACAAAGTAGCTCCAGTGCGGGCGAATAGGGAATGATTGCTTGAACTGTCTCACAAGGGAGAATAGGCTTTCTTTCTGTAAAAGCATATCGCCGTCACCCTGAAAAGCTAGGTTCATGTCTCCAGATCCATCCAACCCGCTTCGATGCGACAGTATGTCGGCGATGGTGAGCGTCTCGGCTATGCTGGCATCTTCTTGTTCAACTTCGGGCAGAATATCTCGCACGGGAGTACTCCAGGTGAGCTTTTTGTCCTCGACAAGCCTGGCAATTCCAGCAACGATGAAAGATTTTGTAACGGAACCGATGCCGTAGGCGGTGTCGGAAGTAGTGGGTAGCTGATTACCAACGTCTCTGTAGCCGAAGTTATAAGTATGGATCACGTCGCCATTATGGATAACTCCGATAGAGGCACCAGGAACGCCAGATGATTTGCAGATCTCGTCCACCCCACTGTTGGCACGGGCTAGTCGTTCGTGCATGGTGAGATTCTCAGCATGTTTTGTTGAATATCCCTCGGCAGACGACGCCGCAAGAAGACTGGAAAAGGTTTTGAGCGTCATCGTGAATAGCTGTATTGAAGTACGTGGTAAAGACACAAGAGTTATGTTGGATTGTAAACCATTCTAGCAGGTCTGGCTGTGACTTTGATGGTGCCAGAGTTTTATCTCAGGTCTGTGCACTTAGGAGCACGAGGAGCTTTGGTAACAACAAAGGACACTGCGGAGAGCAGGACTGTACATTCGTGTCAAGTTTTCTCACTCACGTGTAGGCACCAACAAAGCGAGTACTAACGCAAGATAATTGGGCAGCTGACAGAAGCATGCGTACGATTTACTCATTGGTATGTGAATGATTGATAACCTGCATTGATATGACCTACATATGTCTTCCGTAGCACTGTACAATGGGATAACAAAACAAGTTCAAACCCGGATACTACCTATGCAGAGCCAAAAAGCAAGATAAGCGATTCTAGTTTCCACATGTAATATCAAGTGCTTTCCAGCAGTATAGGAGTGTCTTCCATTAATGCAGCCTCTTCTCCGCTTGCCAATCGAAGTCACGCCAGAGCTTAAGCCACCTTACTCTAAATACACCCAATATTAGAAACAGAGAGTGAAGAGAACAAGAGGTTATTTGCGTCAAGCCAACGCACATCCCAACACAAAAAGGCATCACAACATCACAGCATCACTCCACCGCATCTTTCACATCATCCCCCCTCTTCAAACAAATCGTATGCCCAACCACAAGCTTCCCACAATCCAACCCCGTATTCATCCCCAAAATCTCATCAACACTCATCCCCTCCGCCTGCGCAATATCCCAACAATTATCACCCTCCTGAATCGTCACGCTATGCTCACACGTGACAACCTCCAGCTTCTCCTCCGCCGGCTTGCGCCCAATGAACCAAAACAGCACAAGCAGCGACAGGCCAACCAGAACCCCAAAATTCAGCAGAGGCATCATGTCGTGTCGCCACGAAACCTTTGGCAGCGCTGCAGTCTGGCCCGCGAGGAACGGATCCGAGTCGCTGTCGTCGTCGCCATGGTCGGCTGGGCCGGATCCGACTCTCGTCAGGCGTCCGTATTGAGAGCCCGGCGCCGATTCCCAGTAGCTCCCGTCGGCGTCTTGAAAAGTATAGACTTGAGTGTCGGCATCGTATCCGACGCGGGTCATGCCCTCGGGGAGGCGCTCTTCGTCGGTGTCGTAGCGAGAGAATCGAGACATGGCGTTATCTCTGGGAGGTCGTAATCGCAGTAGAGCTGTTACTAGAGCTGGTTCTGTGTAGATAATTTGGTTGCCTGTATCAGTGTGCTGTAGGTACAAATTCAAAATAAGTCACTGTCGCTAAAACGAGAATCAAAATTTCATCTCTCCAGCTTCTTCATGATGATGCAAGAAGCAGCACGAGAGGGTCAGGCAATCAGACGTCACCAGGAGAGCGTGCGAGGCGAAGCAAAGCTGAAACAGTTTACATCAGCTTACGATCTGCAGATGGAGGGACGTACATACAGTGGGGAGACAGTGTACAGGTACCTGTACTCTGTGGCTGGGGCCGGTTGCCGCTTCGAGCTCCATTGCCAAAAACGGAAATTTTGATTAAAGAGACTTGGAATCAGAAAATAACATCATCGCTATTACACATAACATCTGGTCTTCGACTGAGTTCATGGTATAGGTAGTTTCATTCTGATTCAAAGAGTTGCCTAACTTAAATAGCAAATTCGCTAAAGATAAATTGTTATAACGGGGGCATCGTTATCAATACCAGAGTTCACATCTCCCACTCATCATCTTCCCCCGTCTCAGCCCCCCAATCCAGCCCTCCGTGCTCCTCTTCCATATGCTCATAGATTTGCCCCGCTGAACTTTCAACACCACAGGCATAACACCAGTGCACACCACAAGGACAAGTAATGTGATCGCACCCATACGTCTTCTCCGTCACCACGCCACACCCAGGACAGCATCGAATGCGCTTCTTCCCCACCACCAACTCAGGCTTGCACTCTTCGCACGTCCAGTCCACCAACTGGGCTGGCAACCCGGCAGCACACACCCTCTCGGCATACTGTTTCGCGAAGCCGCAGGTCTTACACCAGGCGTAGATCCACGAGCCGGCATCGTCCATGGCAGCGCGGAGACTGCCAATCTGGTGCAGGCGGTACTTGCTGATGGCCTTGGGGGCCGGACGCCGGCGGCAAAAGGGACAGTGTAGGGCGGGAATGTTGAGGATACTGCCGGGAGTGTTGATGCCATACCAGCTATCGCGACAGCTACCGCAGATGAGCTGATGGCAGCCTGAACGTCCACAAGCAGGGAGGGCATCGCTCTTTCGAATGCTAGAGAAGCAGAGGCTGCAAGTGGCTGATTCAGTCCGTCGTGAGCTCACCCAGTTCAACAGAGACGCTTTGATGTCATCAGGATTGCGCACTTGCTTTCCACGAATGGTGAAGCCGTCCTGATTGGCAGCAGGAAGAACCTCTACCTTGGTATCCAGGTCGTCAAGATTGCTGTTGGAGGCGATGTAAAAGACTGTACGACCATTGAAAGGATCCTTGATCGTCTTGTCCTCGTTCTTGAGAAGCCAGTCCCAGCTATTCTCGCTGCTCAGCTTTCGTGCAGTCGTCTCCTCCCCAACAACCGTCTTTTTGCCAGCAACGCATGCAGGACACTGGTAGGCCGCCATGTCGAGTTCATCAGGTCGATATTCTTCAGGCCAGATTATTCGACCCAAGCATTTAGAACATTCGACCGTTGGCGCCTGTCCAAGATCTTGTCGGACACCATCCTGCGCTTTCTTATAGCTCGGGCTAGCATGTCGACAATAGTAACATTTGGGACGTACCCGCAGTTCATTTTGGTTGTAGACGACGTACTGGGCTCTGCAAGAGGTCTGCGCACATTCGACCCAGTATGCCTCCGAATGCTCGGTCTGGTCCTTGGAGACATTGGCCTTCTTGCGCTCTTCATGGCCTTCTTCAACGGCGCACGCATGACAGGAGCACCCATTGCTCTCGATGTCGCACAAGCCGCAAACGCCTCGAGCCGCCATGACGGTAACAGAGCGAGGAAATTTGCACTTTTTGCAAATGACGAGCGGACCCAGAGCTACCTTGGTCTTTTCTGGAGTCCAGGTGATTTGTGCCTCGAGAGCAGTGTCCAAGTTTAGCTCCAGCATCTTGTAGTCCACCAGCGCCTTGAAAGTATCGCGATCCTTGGCCGAGAGAACTCTAGCCTCGTCCGAAGACCTGACCGTAACACCTTCGGCAACTCTCTTCTCGTAATCCTTGTCGGCATCTAGCAAGAGGTTGAGGCATCCCAAGTTCCACGTCTCCGGAACCTCCAACGTATTCCAATTGGCATTAAAGGCGATAAGTGCCTCGTCAGCCACATCGCGCAAAGGAACAATGCCCATGCGAAGAGCAAGGGCAGCAAGCAGCGAGGCAGGGCGAGCACCCAGCTTTGTACCCGGGAGGACAGCATGCAAGAGTATCTTCCAAAATTCTCGGCCATATTTCTCCTTTGCAAGAGCGAGAGGCACACATGGCACAGATACCTTGGAGCTCTTTGTTTTGATGTGATGGGGAAGCTCTTCCTTGGAGGCGACAAAAGTCAGACGGGTCAACACCTTGCCCAAACGCCGGAGAATCTTGTAGTCGCATGATCGTCCAATTTCAAGCAGTTCAGCTCGAGTGAAATCCTGCAGCCGTCGTCCATCACCGTCGGCATCTTCCACGAATCCAAAGTCTGCTGTAGGGTCCAAGAACAGCATCGGGAAGCGATCTTCAGGAGCAACAGCCTTGATGATATCTCTAATCTCATCGGCATAGTTGTAAGACTCAGCAAGCCACGCCTTCATACGCGCCTTTTCAGTGTCATCTGAGATCTTGTCCACATGAAAGCTAAACAGGTTAAGAAGCTGGTCTCTTTCAGGGTTCTGCCTGTCATTGCAGGCTGCTCGCCATAGGCTCCCGAAAATGGGGTTTAGAGATATTGCCGATACATTGGACTCGATAGTGAGTCGAAGCTGACGAAACGCCATGGACCTGTAATCCGGATCGTTGTTATACTTGTCGGCGAAGCTTTCAACCCTTGGGCCGCGTGCCTTGACCAGGCTTGGCACTTGACCAAGAGTCACAGCCTCAGTTTCGACGTTGTTGATACATTGAAGAACATATGGGGTCCGAGAAAAGTGACCTTTGCCAATGTACTTCCGCAGTACTGGATCCTCTTCGTCGCTGGCCGTCAATATATCCGCATGGGACTTGTACCGTGTCAGGTATCCCAATTTGGCCCCTGTATCGGTGGTCGTCTTGCCCAATCTCATCCACGTAAGCAAGATACCAATAGTCAACTGGGAGATCTTGTCAGGAGCCATGTCTTGTATCTCAAACAAGTTTCCTCCTGTGACTGTAGATAGATATAGAAAAGCCGAGTGTGTATTGATGTTGAGCTTTTGGATAACACTGAAAACAACGGCCTTTTTGCGTCCAGCAGCAAAGGTTTTTGCGCCCGATGTCCAGTCCACAAACAACTTCCCATTGTCTCCAAACATGTCGTTGCCGGCGAGTGCCGCCTTTTCCATGCCGTAGTTGGTGCCATCTGTCTCCTTGAAATGAGGGGGGGCATCTGCGTATAGCAAGATGATTGTCGTTGCTTCTGGCCTCATGACGGCGTATGCCTTGGCCAGGCCTGTCTTTGCAGCCTCGGGCCAGTCGCCGCCTCCAGTTGGCTGTATCTTGCGTGCCATCTCCAGCACATCATTCTGTGATACGACGTCCGAGCCCTGATAGTTGCCTGCGGGCGAGCACCAGCCTGAGAACTCGATGAGTGGAGAGTCGCAATAGTCGCGGTATGCCAAAACTCCCATCCGCTCGAAGCATCCTGTGAGTGCTGATACAGAAAGAATCTCAGGCAAAGATTTGTTCAGCGCCGAAAGAAAGTATCCCATCGATGCAGTGGCATCTGTGAGTAGCAAGAGATCGAACGACCCGCGGGCCGAATCGTTTGATGCTACCTGCGCCATTGTGAAGAGGATCCGTGGCCAAGATGTGAGATTGGAAGAGGGATGAGATGCTTCAACTGGTCCATTGCGACTGAATGCTGGTATATATACCAAATATCAGTCATCATGTATAGAGGTGAGTAAACAAAAAAAGAAAGCTTAATACATACCGGGAAGTGACTCTCAACAAGAGCCTCCGTTGACTCACGCCGCTCCGATGCAGAAACCGGCATTGATTGACTCAGTCCAAAATTTCCTATTCAAGAAAAAAAAAATCCATTACGAATATGATACCACAGTAGCCTGAGGCTCTTCCGCAGGCGCACAGCGTCTGGTGCTGAAGGAGGCGGTGCTGAAGCCCAGCCGCAAGCTAGCGGGACGCTGCCTAGCCGCGATCATTTATCGCGAACAATAGAGGATGAGATGGTAGCAATTTTTCGTATAGATGATGCCTGTTGAGATTTTGATATCAATTAGTTTGAATAGTAAGAGACTTTCAATAGACAATGCATTCCGCCTTGGTGGAGAAAACCATGCTCTCGCCGCAGCACACGGCGCAGAGCAATATATAAAAGCAGTAGTTTCAAAGTTGCAAGCGCCACTCATTACGAGAAGAAAGATTTGATATGCATAGTATAGCATAACCTACGACTAGAATGTCACCAGGTTTGACAATTGTTGATTAGGTTAAAGAGATGCTTTACAACTAGCATCAGCTTTGCAAACGACAGCAAGCCTCCGCTATTCCAATCAGAGGCCTCTTATCAAATGCTACCGTCACCCTCTCTCTAGAGTCTAATCCTGCTTTGACCGTGCCTCCGCAAGACGCTTCTTCAGATTAGAAATTCCAAAAAAGACACCAAATGCCCACTCTGCAAACTTGCTAGGAACCAAAGTCGTCAGCCACACCTTTGTCGACAATCCTCCCGCCCAGAACCAGTCCGGCGTCCCTCCAATCAGCCCCCCAAACCAGCCCTCTCCCCTAAGCGCAGCAGACACCAACTTCTTTGCAAACGTCTCAGTCGGCATGGTAGCGTTGTTCTGGCTAAACACCAGGCGCCTCTGGAAGTAGTCGTCGACGGGCCTGTACAGCGACGTGGTCGGCAGCGAGCGGTGGCCGTGGCTGGTGATTTGCGACTTGATGGTGCCGGCCATGGCGACCATGACGCGGACATTAAAGGGCTGCAGCTCGAGGCGCAGGATGCGCGACCAGCTGTTGATGGCGGCCTTGGACGAGGCGTAGACGGAGCCGAAGATGTAGGAGCTGACGGAGCTGGTGGAGGAGATGTTGACGACGAGGCCGCGCGCGGCGATGAGCTGCTCGGCAAAGGCCTGGACGGTGAACATGGGGCCAAAGACGTTTGTCTCGTACGTCTGGCGGACGTCGTCGATTTCGATGTCGAGGGCCGGGATGGTGTGAGTGCGGCCGCTGTCAGTCGCTGGTTAGTATATCAAGATGTATCATTAACAGTTGAACATCCACGCACGCATTGTTGACGAGAATGTCCAGTCGACCGCCGGTAATCTGGGCAACATCGTGCTTGGCGCGGTTGAGGCTGTCCTGGTTGGTGACATCCAGCTGGACGGCGCTCATGCCCAAGGATTCCAGCTCCCTGAGCACCTCTGGATTGCGGGCCGTAGCAATGACATGAAGTCCTGCAAAAACACATTAGCAAAGGATCAATCTCAAGTGAGTGGTGACCATGAGCTGCATTCGGTGCATGGATTGACTTACCTCTTCGATGGAACTCTCGAGCCAGCGCATTGCCAATGCCTCCCGGCGAGCAGCTATCACAAGCTTCATTAGACACATTCTCAAATCAATTATACAATCAGGCGCATACCCTGTAATGAGGACGTATTTCTGTTCTGAAGCCATCACGTCAAACTATTCAATGGCAATGAGATGGGGGAAAAAATGAGACGAGATAAATGCAAGAGAGAAGCCAAATGCGGGGATCGTTCGCATGCAGAGCTCCGGAGCTGGCTACAAATCGACCCGACGGCAAGCACATGCTAAAATTCCTAATTAGAGCCCGATATGGGCCCTTTGATAGCGTGAATTATTTTAGGTGTCAAAATGGAGCGACATGTTTGGTTAGGATTATTTGAAGTATACTGTATTTATGGCTTGCTTTAAGATAAAACTGTCTGTAAGCTGAAGCCATTAATCGCTTGTGAGAAGTGCCTGGCTACAGTCTAGCATATTAACTTGGCGACCAAGATTGACTTTTGCCAATAAGATGCTTAAATATTTGCATTGCCAAGATCTTTTCCAACCACTCAGTCCTAATAACGCGAGAAGATTACTATCGCAATACTTCCAACCTCGGCTCCATACATACAGGCCTCTCTGACGAACCTTGCCCCCGCGGCATCCGTAGGGCTGCGGATAAGGTTGCCAAGAATTGGTTGCCAAGAATTACCATCGCAGCTGATAGGATTGTTCCGGTACATATACGTCGCAAGGATGTTTTCATTCGATTGGCTTATAACAGTTTCTTTGCTTCTATCCAACCATTGAAATCAAGACCCAGCTAGGCTAATCCCATGCAATGCAATACACGACCCATTCATTCACTCAAAATGAAGAATAAATACACAAATAGACGAAATACACAACGCCTCCAGCCCATTTTTGCATCAGCCGGGTATTCCATTCTCCCAGAATAAAATGGTAAAAGACCCCTCTCTCGTGGCTAAATAGAAAACAACATGCTATCCATCCATCTAGCAATCATAACTCCCGGCTAAGAATGGTGAAACGGCAAGATGCAAATGAAAGAAGAATCAAATTAAATTTTAGGGCAAAGCTCATATCTCACTGCCGTCACCTCCCCTCCGGCCGTGGCACATACGGCACATCGCCTGGCACCTCCGCCGGCATCGCATGATGCTGATGCTGCGCGCCGTCCATTTCAAACACCATGCCCTCCGCATTATGATTAGTAGCATTAGGATTAGGATTAGGAGTACTGTCAGGCGGCAGCTCGACAATCGTGGGCCCCGGCGGCGCATACGGCCCCTGATACACGCCCTGGCTCGCATCATACGCCGCCGCCGAGTAGCGGTACGGATCCGGGCTCTGCAGCGACGACACCCACGACGCGTGCTTGACCTCTGCTGGGAAGCTGCCGTTTGACCCGGGCGAGGGCGTCGGCTGCAGCATCGGGTCGCTTGCGGAGATGGCCAGCGGCACGCTTTGGCGGCCGTCCTCGCCGTGGGGCAGCATTGGATGCAGTTCTTCGCTTTGCTGCTTGGATCTGCGCAGCAGGAAGTAGACGAGGCCGGCGATGGCCCCGACGCCGCCAAAGGACGCGCCGAGGGCGATGCCGATGGTGGCGCCTGTTGAGAGAGACCCGACGGGCGCGGCAGAGGCGGTGCTCGAGCTCGTGCTGGCGGTGGTGGTGCTCGGCGCTGCTGTTGTCGTAACATCAGTTGTCGTCGCCGTCGAAGCTGCTGTCGTCGAAGTCGCCGTCGTCGTCCAGGGCTTCCCACTCGCCGCCGCGTAAAACTGGTTCGGCGCAATCACCAGCGGCGTGTTGGACGTCGCACACGCAGACACCAGCGTCTGATAGACGGACACGGCATCGCTGGCATCACTCTTGCCAATACACTGCGCGGCCAGGATGATGAAGTTGTTCTCGTTGCCGCACAGACACTCGTTGAGGTCCGCGACGGTGGCGCCGCTGCACTTGGACGTGTCGCCGGCCTGGGTGAGGCACGGCTGTGCGCTAGACGGATAGAAGGAGAAGTCGGGGAAGACTGTGGCGACGGCGGCGGGAGTGAGGAGGGAGAGGATGAGGAGCGGCGTGGGAGTCCACCAGCGTCGGCGAGCCATTGCTGCGGCTTGACGTCTTTTTGATATCGTTTCTTTTTTTGTTGAAGATTCCGTTTCTTTTCTTTTCTTTTCTTGAAGTTTGCGCAGACTTTTCTTCAGCTGTTGTGTCGAATCTGCGTTGTCTTTTCTTGTTGTAATGTGCTTGGCGATTTGTCCCACCCCCCCTGTCGAGTCTATTCGCCGTCTGTACGCACGATAATGGTGTCGTTGGTTCGGCGTAGTATCAATGCCTGCTGCGAAAGCCCTCCAATTTCCCCTTTCTGCATACACCCTTTACGGTTCGTATCGGTCCAACTAGGAAAATAACGCGCGCAAGAAAAAAAAGAGAGGAGAACGAGGAGAAGAGAGGAGAACTCGTCTGAGTTATCAGCGAGAGCAGCGAATTGGGCGTTGGTCGTGTTTATTCCTGCCCAGGCACCGTGCATGCAAGAGGCGGTCGCACAGGTCGGCTAGATGCAGATCCAGAGTCGTACTATTATTACCAGAGACGTGTAGAGAGGGTGGTATCGCAGATGGAGCCGGTACAGGCACAGAGATTGAGCGTTGGGCGAGGAGTAGGCGAGAGTAGGATGGGAATGATATGAGAGATGAGAGTGAGTGAGTGAGTGAGTGAAGCGGCACGGTGAGAAAAAGAAGGAAAGAAAAACGTCTAAAACGACAGCAGAGCCGCAGCAGGGGCCACCGGAAAAGAAGTGCAAAACGAAAAGAATCAGCAGCGGATTTGGCTCGTGCTTTGGGCTCTCGCAGCATTAGCCACTGCTATTCTTATGTACGAGCATGCAGGCATCCCCAGCACCAGCAACGGCACTAAGGCCGCTCCCAACGCCCAAAAGTCCGGTTCAGTCTAATTCGTTCCTCCACGCCCATGTATGACGAGTGTTCCCACCAGCACGCATGCAGTCTACAGTTATGTGGCTGGGACTTGGAGAATCGAACCAGCCATGGATGGATTGGATCCGTGATGGCTTCTTCGCCTGGCCCTTTTGCCAATCACGCGCCGAGGCTGGATCAAGGTCCGAGGGGCTAAAGCAAATGAGCATTAACTCTCTTCCCTGGGAACTAAAGATACATAATAACCTTGGAAACACGGATAAGCACTTTCGCACCTGTTGCTGTAAGCGTGGGCGAGCAGAAACATAAACAGCCCAGCCGCAGGGATCGTCAGCCGCAGCCCCGACAGGGCGCAGGCTCACAAAGTACCGCTGCCACGAGCTAAAGTCTGAGAGATACAAAACATTGGGACTCGATAGAAAAGACGCGGAGGAGGCGCACTAGGGAAAAAAGGGGAGTGTCCAAATATAGCAATCCACAGCAGTTCTGTGGCACTTTAGTGATGTGTGTTTGGCTGCTGCCAACCAACAGCAGGAAACACGAGATGGAAAACAAGTTTCGCAGCGTTTCTCCCCTCTTTTTCCTCGATCCTTCGTTTCGATCAACAAATTTTCTTTCTTTTACTTTCTTTTCTTCTGTTTGTTTATTCATGCATTTTTGTTTATAATCGTTAGGTTCTAGACCGCATCACTACTTGGATTACTGATGGAGCACCGAAAAGGTAATTACCAGGACGACTTTTTCAACTCTTCAACTAGTACTCCGCAAGCTCCACGCAGTCTATAAATACATCTTGGTAATACAGAGTGGTTCCTCGCGGAAGCCAAGCATCCCGCCCAGCAACCAGTCAACGCAGATGATCGGCTTGTCCTCCGACCCTCCCACGCGACTAGCCTCCCACTTCCCATAGCTTTGTTCCGAAGAAAGTAAGCATTCTGATGTGATCCGGCATTTTGGGGCGTCCAAGCCCAGCCCAGCCCCTCGCCAATTTCCATCTTTAGCTACAGTAGGCCTACAAAGTGGGAGCGAAGATAAAAATTGTACAGGATGAATAATAGACATGCCGCTAGCATATAAGCAGACACTTCTTGCAAACTCACTTCTTCACGCGATGAAAACATGGCTTGTCAACTTTTTACACGCAGCCAAATTCGCAGTCTCAAAAAGCACGTGGAATCGTTGATCCCAAATTACAGGAGCACGGTTACTTTCTAGGCTTACCTTACTGGCAAGGGTTTCGGAACCTGGCACCTCATCTGTAGCTGGATACAGTACCCTTGCCACGTTATAGTGGAACTGTTTCTAGGGTATCATTGGGTACACAAGCACACAATTGATGACTTCATTTCATAAGAACAGACGCAATTTCATACAACATCACTCATATTCAACTATCTAGCGCCTTACCACTAACCACCGTTCATGTCGCGGTAGTAAAAGTGCTTCTGGTTGTTCAACTTCTTGCCATATGCGTACTCCGTCTTCCTCGCCCGGTACATGTTCAGGTCTCGGTTGCGCTGCTCATCCTTGCGGGCCACGCGCTTCTTCTCATCCGAAACGCCAGCCATGCCAATAGCACCGCGAGGCGCCATCTCACGTCTTCGGTTCTTGATGACGGCGACCTGGTTCTCGCTGTTGGGCTCGACTCCGTCCTCGTTCCGCGCCGCCTCAATGAGCAGCTGCTCTGCTCGCTCCGCCTCTGATGGGTGGTTGTATAGGTTCTGGCGGTAGTACTTGTTCAGTGAACGGTGGCCCACGGCTTTACCTGACGGCAGATGAAGCTCGTACTCGTCATAGTAGGCTGGGGAAGTATGCTTATGCGCTTTGGTTGACCGCTTGTGAGTGGGGCCGTCTGCGGATTCATCCTCGTCCAGATCGGAGCCTGAGCTGTCAGTCTCCCATCCATCTGCGTCATCGTCGTCTTCCAGCTCTTCACCGTCAGGACCGGTGGCCTTGGCCTCCCGGCGGGCGCCAAGCTTGGCTCCACCATTACCATCTTCAGTTGTTTCTGACTCATCATCATCCTCTCCATCTGAATAGGTGCTCCTGAAGTCGTAGTAGTCACCAATAGCGAGTTGATCGTATTCCGTAGAGTAGGGAATCTTGCAGTGGCCCTTGTCTCTCATGTGTGTCTGCACAGCAAAGATGTTGCTCTTGAACTTGCCGCAGCTGAGACACTCGTGGTCCTCGCCAACCCTCTTCTGCAAGTACTCGATGAGGCCCTCCAAGTCCACCAGATATGGCCGTTCGGGAATAAACATTCCGTGTGAGCGTTCCATGTGAGTAGCATTTAATTCAGGCGATGAAGACTCGTGGTTGCAGATTACGCATGTGTTCAGAGTCCATACTCGATCAGTTGACTGTACGGGAGTAGAAGAAGAGTCGGTGCCGGTGATGGTTTCGCTCTCAGGAGCAGTGTGGGGGTTAAGGGGTCTCTTTACAGGCGATGGTCGTTGCTCAGAAACCTTTGCTTTTTGCAGACCTGCAATCACCTTGTTGAACTCATGCTCTGCGTCAGAGTCCACATCCTCGTCAGCATCAGGAGCAGGCTCTCCGAGAGAAAATGTCGAGCTAATGACAGAGGTTGTTTCGTCATCGTGCTTCTTGGTTGGGTTGGCCTCGTTTTGCTTGTGCTTCTGGCTCAGCAGGTGATTTCGGTAGGCGTTTTCGCTGTAGTACGTCTTGCCGCATGGCTCGCAGGCACGTTCAAACAGGGCCTTGTCAGCTTCGGCAGAGGTCTCAGCACGAGCCTGAAGGACTTTTTCGGTGAAGACTTCAGCGGTGATGGGAGGCAGAGAGGCAACTCGTCGCTTCAGGTTGTATCGGCTAGAATATCAAGTTAGACAGAGGCCGTGAAAAGCAAAGCAGACACAAAGATGCATCTCCAGGGGCTAGGTTCGCACTCACTGCCAGTCGCTCTTCATGTGAGTCTTTTGGAGATCGATATTGCGGTAGGCGACCTGGCAAGAGTTGCATGTGTAAGGATGCGTACTCGGGGCCGCTTGCGCCACGGGCAGGGCGGACTGGACGCTCGCCATGATGGACGGCGCAAAGAAAAAAATGCGGCGAGTTTTAGAAAAGGGCCGGTCGTAGTGGTTTGATGGGAAGAAGAGAAGAGATCCGTAAGTTATACTGGGTGATGAAGCCCAATATCAAGATGAGACAGGGGCGTCAAGCCGAGCGCAGCGGTGCAGATCTGAAGAGTGCGTGACTCTTCTCGATTCCAGCAATGCGACGAAGAATTATTAATTCTGGTGGAAGTTTTTGAGTGGCGGGGTGTTTCTGACGTATTATCGAGCGAGCACGCCGTAGGTGGGTCGAGCCCTGCATCTTTTTGCGCTGCTAGCGAGAGTGACTTGCGGAACATGCCACGAGGGCGCCACCTCTGAGGTACCATCCGCTTACACGCCGCTGCGCATCTGCCGGCGAGCCGCCAACAGGCAGACGGCGCTGTTGAGTCACTATGAGCTTTAGCACTTTAGTAGTCTGTATTGCTTGATACCTAGATGCTTCAACGCTCCTTTCAGCTGCCGGCCGCTAAGGGTCAGTGGCGAGCAAAGCTGAAGTCTGCAAAAGGTTCTGGCCCAACAGCGCCTCTCGCTGCCAATAACGCTGCACACGGGCACATGTGCTGATACGCGGCACTCCCGGCGGCAACAAAGGAGCCTAACGCGCTGCAGCTCCAGCTCGTAACGGCCTGTGAGACGCTCTGCTAGGCGAATACCTGCACGGCCTCCTGCTTTTGTACCAGGGAGCGCTGGCCCGCAGGTAGCCGGTACATCGTCCGCCGTAATAGATTCCACAGACGGCAGCAGTATCAGTACTCGGATGCCTCCGGGACCGTGCTAGCACTCGCTGTACCGCCCAGCACCCACCCGTGCCGTCGTCACTTTCAGCCTTGCTCCAGTCATCTCCAACCCGTTTCCACCAGCACCGCCGCCACCACCGGCCGAACCCTCGCCATCTCATACCAGCGCGCATCCCTCGTATTCCATCAACGTCTCTGCCGCCGTCTTGATCGCCAGACTGCCGTCGATCTCATCCTCTATTCAACAAAAGCATGGGCTGCTGAGTTTGACGAAGCCTCCCTCCAGCGACAGCGGCTACCTCGTCCCAGCCATGAGCGCGCCGGCGCACAAGACGTCCTCCGCAAGGGGCCTCGAGCCCGGCCATGCCGCCGAAGCCCATCGCCTCCGAAGCCCCTCCGATGCCATCGGTGAGCTAGACCTGCTTGCCGGGCTCTGGCAGGTGGCTCCTTTCGCTCGTCTGCCTCCCGACGCACCGGCCGAGCTGAGCGACTATGTCCAAGATGTCGAGAATCCCCGTCGCGTCTATGCCATCCATCGGGCCAGTCGCCGTCATGACTTTCAGACTCTCGTCGACAAGTATGTTGTTGCCCCGTGATAGTATCTTGCGTCGCCGCGTGTCCGGAACCAGTCACTAACATGCCGTCTTTCTGCCATCTTTAGATACATCTTCCAGCTGAGATGTGGCTGCGGTTCGCCGAATTGCTCGACTGCCACCTGCTTCACATGTCGAAAGCGCCTCGCAGGCAAGGCGCCCATCCGCAGATATAATCCAACGAGTGCTAGGACACTGGCTGTGTATCTTGCGAGCCAAGATAGCCCCGAGGCCGGCTTGTGTCCATATCTTGGCTCGGCCTCTAGAGACGAGCATCCCGTGGCCAACAACCTCATCTTTGCCCACCAACCCTCGCCACCTCAGCACGGCGCCCGCAGGCCTTCGGATATCCAGACAACATCGCGGAGGAAGCCAAGCGTGGGTGTTGCTGCCAAGCCGCCTTTATCTCCCACGACAAAATCTCACTCATCGTCGCTTGATAAACAACGCTCGAATAACGAAAGTCAGAATGACGATGCTACCACACGACGCGGTCCCTTACCGGCTTCGAACATCAGCGTTTCGGAGAAGGTGGTACCAAAGGACTACAGATCGTTTGCAGTGGCTACATTTGGCACTGTCGCTTACAAGATGCTGGAATGGCTCACACCACAGGCTATTGACGCCATGACGAAGAAGATATCCGAGCTGGGTGGTGCTCAACAGGCCAGTGAAGATACTGCTGCTGCACCTGCTGCTGTAACTGCTGCCCCTTCACCTGAATCAACCAACAAACAACCTTCAAATTCCAAAACAGATGACTCCCATGTTCATAAGACCAAATCTCCATCACATACGGCACCTAAACAGAACAGGACTTCAAAGCCCTCGAGAACTTCTAGCCAAGATGTAGTCGAGCCGCTGCCCCCAGCGAAGGATGTGTCGTCCAAGCCCAAGAGACATTCCAAAAAGACGTTTCGATCCTCTCCAACCAAGTCGAACAACAGGAAAAGCTTGGAACCTCTTGCCATCTCAGCTGGGACCGAAGAGGTAAAGCCGAACTCACGACCTCCGAGCTTGAACGGCTTCTATCCCGAGAAACTGGCCCGTGCTGGCAAGACCTCGCCTGCTATAGTTACTCGTGGCGTTCCTGAAATGCCCTCCAAGCCTGCTTTCTTTGAAAACGTATCTGCTCCCCCTCCTACCACTACCAACCAAATACATGACGTTGAGTCAGGCTCCTCAGACACGGAGACGATTGGAGAAAGAGAAATGCCTAGCAACACCGCACCCACCATGCAAAAGGAGCCTGTCAACCCACAGTCTAAACCGAGGCCTGTGTCACCGATTCTAGAGGTCGAATTGTCATCTGCCAAGTTTCTGCTGCCTCAATCCTTAACCACCTTGAACGTTGAGCTGGTCGATTTCATCTGCGATATTTTCCAAGAAGATAGAACCAACGAAAGCCACTTCTTTGGGCCTCTGGAGTCCCATGCCTCGTATCCCAAACCACAAAATCCACCAAAGAAGCTGGCCAGACGACAGTCCACATCTCATGCCACTTCTCCAAGTCAGTGGAAGGCTTTCAACGAGCAAGCACTGTTTACTGTTTTGAGCGATCCTCACTCCCTTGTTCAGTCATTTTCCAAGGAAGGAAAACTCTTCGATTCGCATACACTATTCTACTGCATGCTGCGGATGACTCGGGCTGCGCCAAGCCTTGTTCTTCACAGTCTGTGGATGGCGGCGGAATCTCTGTTTACGGCACCAAAATCACTTCAAATCTCGCAACCCCGGTCTGGAAGGGCATTGCCTAGAAGCCGGAAGCCTCTGACTGACTTTGAAGCCGGCTGTGTGATGTCTGTCTGCCTACATGCTCTCGTTGCTGTTGCACCCTTCGTTGCGGATTCCAAGGTTCTATACGACATGTCGCGCATACGATCTACCGGCTTGGTTTTGGGCGGCAATGGTCTTTCCACCAGGCAGCCACAATCAATATGCCTAGAATATGAAGACGTCTTTTCAAATGACATTGCCGTCAGACTAGCTCGTCGTGTGTTCTCGGCTGTGTCTGCTCGTCGATCTCTAGCAAATCTCATGCGAATGGATGGCAGAAATAAGGCTGGTCAGCTTGATATACTTCAGCCGTTACTCAACCAGCTTGACCTTCTCAGTTCAGGGCCGCTCCGGATACTGGAGTTCACGCAAGCCGAACGTCTGCTACATGAGACTCGTGTGCCTACCCTCCTCCTCGACTGGGCTAGGACCGTTCTGCACCAAGAATGGGATGGGAATCCGGAGATTGTGAATAATGGCGCCTTTTATGGGGCGCTGTCTCTTATCTCCACTATGTGTAAGTCAACTCTGAGTAACACTCGCGACAGAATTATATATATGCTAACAATATGTAGACCAAAACAGAACTAGACTTTTACTCGGCGATATCCAATTCCGCGCCGATTACTTCTCTGAGCGCCTGGACTCTATGGAAATGCCAGTCTCTTGGTCGGAATCGACTTCGAAGCGAAATAGGGGTCATATACTTGATTATCCATACCTCTTCAGCCCGGAGTGCCTCGTTACTTTTTTCCGATCCATCAACTTCGCCAAGATGAGTCGCATGTTTGAAGAAAGCAGCTCACTCAAGACACGTATGAGCGCTATTGTCGACCCAGGGAGTCTTGTTGCGAACCCGCACCATAAAATTGTGTTGCAAGACATGCTCAAAGTCGCGTCGTCCAAGTATCTGATTCTGGATATCAGCCGAGAGAATGTACTGAGAGATGCTTTCGACCAGCTCTGGAGACGACAGCGTCGTGAGCTTTTACGCCCTCTCAAAGTTCATCTTGGCGAGCTGAGCGGAGAGGAAGGATTTGACTCGGGTGGTGTGCAGCAGGAGTTCTTCCGAATGGCAATTGCCGAGTTCATGGACCCCAAGTACGGCGCTTTCACAATTGATGACCGGACACGCATGGCATGGTTCGTCCCCGGCTCTGTTGTGGAAGAATGGAAGTTTGAGCTCATGGGTGTCCTTGTGTCCCTGGCAGTGTACAACGGTCTCACCCTTCCCGTCACATTTCCCAAGGCGCTGTACCGAAAGCTTCTAGGCGAGCCCGTCGAAGAGCTTTACCACATTGCAGACGGATGGCCTGCCCTAGCCAGCGGGCTTATGAGTCTTTTAGAATGGAATGAAGCAGACGGCGCAGTTGAGGACGTCTTCGCGCGCACTTACGAGTTCTCGGTACCCAATATAGGGGGTAATGTCACTCGAGAGATGACCAAGGATATGGTCCAATGGCCACAGAACCTCGATTGGAAGATGCGAATTGTTCTGCCGGAAGAATCGGTCGATGATACAGAGGCACCGCTAGTGACGAATGACAACCGCGACCAGTATGTGAGTGACTACATTCGCTATCTGACGGATATGTCAGTCAGACCGCAGTACGAAGCATTCGAGCGCGGCTTCAAGAGTTGCCTGTCAGACAAATCGCTCTCCCTACTAAGCCCCCAGATCTTGCAATCTGTCGTTGAAGGTGTGCAGGAAATTGACATTTCCGATCTCCGACGATATACCCGCTACGTAGGATGGGATGCATCTCACCACACTATTAGAGATTTTTGGTCGATTGTCAAGCGATACGACGACAGGATGAAGCGTAAGCTCCTTGAGTTTGTGACTGCGTCGGACCGTGTTCCCGTCGGAGGCATGCGCAATCTGCAGTTTGTGATTCAGCGGAACGGCGAGGGCGAGGGCAGTGGAAGTCGTCTACCGACAGCGTATACGTGTTATGGGACGTTACTTTTGCCGGAGTATAGAGACAAAGACTTGCTGAGGCAGCGGTTGGCGATGGCGCTGGAGAACGCGCAGGGATTTGGCTTTGCTTGAGCTGTCTTATATTCATGGCTCTCTGTGAACTTTTTTCATTCATTTCTATTATTCCCACAGAGAAGATCATTGGTTTCAAGTGGCACTTGAGCATTCTTTTTAGTCATTGCGTCTTTGGGTTTGGAAGCGATTGCTCTTGGTTCTTTTTGCCTGCCTTTTAGAATTGCGCTGGGAGCGATTTTTGGCGTTTGGGTCATATTGTGAAGCAAGCTTTAGCATACAATTTTTAACAAGTATTTATATACAGTATATCTGTTTCAAATAAACAAGCTACATTTCATGATTACTGACTAAATCTCCATCTACTCCCTCATTTGTCTGACATTCAGATTGATTCTCTTGTTCTGCATCCAACCCTTCCACTCATCAAACTCGCCATTCTCGCCACTTGCGGGCCAATCCGCCAGAAAGTCCGGACACGTGCCCTTCATGACTTTGGGGACGCCGTGCCATGCGTAGCGGGATTCTTTGGTCATGTAGATGGCGTCTCCGGAGCGTAGCCTCAGCAAGAGGTACTTTTTCTTGTCTTTGTCTTCACCATCTGCTGTTGTTACTTCTTCTTTTTCGTGAGCGCCGCGGCTGGGGGCTATCATAAAGAGACACTCGCAGCCGAAGCTGAGACTGACGAGGCCCTTGTCGACCTCTTCGCTGACGTCGCGGTGCATCATCATTGTGTCTCCCGGAGTGTAGAAGTTGACAATGGCAGCTTGAGCGAGGGTTTCAGGGAATAAGGTCGTTAAGAAGTTGGACAGGTCGGCGGGGAAAGAAGGTGGTGGTGCTTCGGGGTAGATGCGGTTCGTCCAGTCGTATTGGCCGCCGAGGGTGACCCAGTGGAGGCGGCGCTGGAGGGCTTGTTTGATGGTGAGGGGTTTGTGGACGGAAGGGTCTTTGGGGATGAATGAGGGAGGGGATTCGGGGGAGAGGGAGAAGAAGGATTTGGGGGAAGAATCTGAGGAGGAGGGTGATGATGATGAGTCCGAGGAAGATGAAGGATAGGGGAGGTCGTAGTGGAGGTGGAGGTTAGTTTGGTGGATGGGATTGCTGAGATCGCGGTGGATCATGGTGTTGAGGAGGTGAGTTTGGATGGAGGGGGGGATGAGAGAGGGGAGGATGAGGAGGCCTTTTGAAGAAGTTAGTGAGTTGATACAGATGAGAAATAGGTTGAGAGCGTCTATATACCAGGAAGCAGAGGGTGATATAAAATAGGGGCATCAGCGCCATCCGCATCCACAGCCGCATATTCAGGCCCCAAGTGGGAATACGCCTCTGAGATGGTAGACCGCGGGATGCTGCCTGTTTGAATGAAGCCGCTCTCTTCGAGGGGTAGACGGGGATCGTCGAGGGGGGTTTCTTCAAGGAGGATGGATTGGTCGAGGCGGGAGAAGTGTTTCCATTCGGCCTTCATTTGCTCGGAGGGCTGTTCGTGGGCGTCAAGGTCGAGGGCCATGGTGGGATAGTTGATGTTGGTGGATGTTTGACTATTGAATGATCCTTGAGGTTATGTTAAGAGTGGTGTATGAGTAAGTGAGTGAATGGTTGTTGGTGTAAGCATGAAGGACACAGCATGATATGATTCATGGGCTATTCTGAGAAATTTGATGGAGTTGGGTTAATGCACTGTGCTTGTTTTCGTTACACTGTACACGGTAGATCTCCGCGCCTTCAGCATAAGTTGCCAACGGTTGAGATTGAGAATAATTTATATACTCTTACTTTGGGTCCTAATATATCTCTTCTTTGTTAAAATACTTCTTGCTTGCTTATAGAAGCCGATGGATCAGATCGAAAAAGTATATGGTGTAAGGCGTGCAGCCTTCTATGACCACTGTGGCGGGCATCAGGTACCCTGCATCGACTGATTCAAGCGTTGTATAGTAAGATGTAGCCGTTGTTTAATCCAAATGAACATTATAATTAAATATAGCTTGTTTCTTCTTTCACATTTCACTCTTTTACAGATCGTTTCATCTGTATTCTCAATCACGGCACTTGCGTTGTTGTATTTGTCCAGTAGTTGAATTGTCGTTTGAATCAAGCAGAGATGGGCTGTCCATTTTATTGTGGGGTCATAGTGTGTTTACATCACTATCAAATCTCATCGCTCAAACTCAGCTCTAACATGCAAAACCTCATACATAAAAACTTCATAGCAATGCCTCTGTTAAGGCCACAAACCATCAAAGGCTTTTCAACGCCCCAAATATATCATGCCTGTTTCAGCACATCTCTGCCACGGTGGCCTCGTCTGCGACCAACCGCAAAGTCTTCTCGCAGCTCCATCATAGCCAGCAAAGATGAGATTTACAACAGCAACTCCATCAGCCATTCTCATCCTCCAGCACCACCACCACCACCACCTCGACAACAAACTCCCAAAAAGACAGACCCAGCCTCAAATATCTCAAAACCAACCACAACTCCAATTGAGATAAATAACGCTCCCACTCGCAAACGCTCCGCCCCTCCCAACACAAAACCCCACAAAGAAGCCCTCTTCACCAGCACCCTCATCCGCCAAAGCCCCAACTCATCCTCCCTCATAACAACAACCACAAAACCCCAAGACGCCCAAATCTCCGCCGCAGCATCCTTCTTCAACCAAAACTTCCAATTCCTCTACTCCGCCGAATCCCTCCGCCACCACCCCAAAAACGAGCACATTCCCGAGATCCTCATCCTCGGCGCCTCAAACGTCGGCAAGTCCTCCTTTCTCAACGCGCTTGTCGGCAAACTCGACGCCGCAAGAGTCAGTGCTCGTCCCGGTAAAACCACGCTAATGAATGCCTTTGCCGTGGGACCTCTTCCAAAAATACCAAAGGGCCATGTGAAGCAGGGCGAGAAGCTACCGCGGTATAGCCTCGTCTTGGTGGATACGCCAGGGTATGGGTTCAAGAGCCAGGCAAGCTGGGGAGATGCCGTGTGGAAGTACATCAAAGCGAGAAAGATGCTGCGCGGAGCGGTAGTGCTCATTTCGTCGGAGAAGAAGCTGATGGAGCAGGATAAGTGGCTGTTGAGGACGTTAGCGGAGGCGAATACACGGACGCTGGTGGTCTTGACAAAGGCTGATAAAGGAGGCGGCTCGTGGACTGAAAGGTGTGGTGAGATGGCTGAGTTGCTACGGGGGGAGCTTAGGAAGATATCACGATCGGCTGGCAATGGATGGAAAGAAGGATCAGGCTGGAATCCGGATATATACATCACAGCCGCCGGAATGGATCGTATGCCCAAGTTGGCGAGCGGAGGTGGCGTAGGAGGCGTCAGGACGAGCATCCTGGAGATGGCAGGCTTCGATCTCCAGGACAAAGAAGTGAAGAAGAAAGACGAGACGATTACGTATGGCGGCCCGGTTGTTTCATTCGATGACATCAAATGGAAGGAGACATGATAATGACACGCAACAAGATGTTAGGGGCATTAATATCTTTGTACAATTGACTATATGTAACTGTGAATAGGAGGCATGGCGATGTAGAGGATAAGGTATGAGGCACTAAAGTAGGATAATATGATAAAAAGAAAGACCAAGAAGAAAAAGAGAGTCCCGCTTTATAAATAACATTGGATACCATAGCCGCAGATCAACTCAAATAGCCAAAACATACGAATCCCGACTTTTTAGTCCCCCTTGATAGACCTGTTGGATTTGATGGATGCCGCCGTATCTGGACGGCTGCTCACAGACCCCCTCAGCTTCTTGGAACCGAACATGCTCTTGACTTTGCGCAATCTCGTCCATCTCTCCTTTTCCTTGATATCTCGCGTAGCGTCATCATCGTCCCCGTCAACACTCAAATCAACAGAGATTTGCGGAGTGTGGCCGCTGCCACCCGGTCGGGTTGGCGTTTTGTGAGGCGTGGATGAGCCTTTGGCAGTCAGCTTAGATGGCGACCTGGCCCGACCCTCGTACACCATCCGGAGATCTGATTCGTTTTTAATGGACTGCAGCAGCATCTTCCACGCCGGCATATCGGCGGATTCGCTGCTACTTTGGGTGGCGTGTCCCCTGCTCTGTGCGGCTGCATTCTTCCAGGGGCAGAAAAAGCGATGTTCGCGCTCGGGGTCGAGGTAATCCATCGGTGCGGGAACGATGATCTTGCCGCTTTCATCCACCTCTTTACTTTTGAACATCCATAGGCCCAATCTTCGCTGGCAGGTGTGGCATGACGCAGTATTTGCAACAGCGCCAATACGGGTATTGGTTAAGCCTTGCCAGCCAAACAGTGCAAGAGCGAGTGCTGCTCGATTGGGTGTATTTGAATCAGACTGCTCATTAGTGAAGAAATCTGGCGAGAGCTGGTCTACCACGTCATCCAAGACCAAGTCTTCTGGGAGGTGAAGGTTGAATTCATATGGGATAAATGGCTCTCGCGCGCAAAGCTCCACATATCGCTGCCTCAGAGCGTCGATGGCAGCTTTGGAGCTCATAAATGAGAGCCGAAGTAGGGAATCTTGCATGAGAGTTAGCAAATGCAGCTATGATATCAAGCCTCACAATAATCTTACCATCACATCCTCGTCTCTTCCAGAGGCAGTCTGACTGATGCGCGCTCACAATCAGCTCGGCATACTTGTCAACCAATGCAGCTTCTAAACAACTAGATTAGCTTTGTTCATTGCAAGATTCAAAATCCTCCAAAACATACCAACTTCGGCAGCTGTCAGTGCATCCAACTCTGTGTCTCCAGCCTCCTTCTTCAGCTTCACAACCAACTCTTTGTGGCACAGCAAGCACCGCACCCTTTCCTTCCCCTGGCACACCCATCCCCTCTTAGCCCACTCCACTTCATTGACTCTGTCCGGCTTGGGCATCCAGTCGGTGATTTCTTGAAACGTCGCTAGTCGCTTGAGCAGCTCCTCCCTGTCACCAGGAGAATACCTCGCAGAGCCATCTCTCCGAACTTTCGGAGTCGTGGCGTCAGACACTGTTCGCCTGATGGACGTGGCCAGACTTGAGAGGCTTGGAGAGACGGGGTTGTCTAAGCGTGGAGCTGTCGACTCTGGAAAGCCCAGACGGCGACGCTTCTGCAGCAGCGCTTCATAGTCCACGGCCTTTGTGCTCGCTGCTCGGTTTCCAAACATGGTTGCTGGCGACTCCTGATCGGTGCTAGCGCGTGGGCTGCTGAGTCCCTGGAGCAAGGCGTTGAACTTGCGTTTGGTAGAGTTCATGATAGACAAAGGAAATGGAGGCTGATGAGCCCGATGAGACTGAGGTGGATCGCTCTGCGCGTTTGGGTTGGATAAGCTCAGCAGGCGTATAGGCTAGGACGCATAGATGAGTAAAAAAGGGTTATGAAGACCCCTTGGCTGAGAGCAATAGAGACTTGAGCTTGGACTTGTGCTGCGCAGACCCAATATCCAGTCCGTTATCGAGGCTTAGCGAAATCACCGTCTCCTATCAAGCAAATCGATGGATATGAGAGCTCTTGGGCCCGGCTGCGAGCAAAACAAAAGGGTCCAGTTCCAAAAATAAAACAAAGAGAATCAAAAAGAGAAGAAGAAAGCGAAAGCTGACCGCGGTAGCAGAATTAAACGTCAGCGGGGAGGGTGGCTTTGCTGCCGTTGAAATTGAATATCAAAGAGCAAGCCAATTGCATCACCGGATCCTGCAGGCCGTTGCCAATGCCAACGCTGAATCCCTGTCGCGCGCGCTAAAAGCCGGAGCCCGGCGCCTGAGTTAATCCCGCCTCAGCCACCAGCGATAAGCGATAAGCCCTCCTTCTCACCGCCCTGCTTGTACCTTACCCTTTTGTCTTGGCGCCTGTTCCTGGGTGCGTGGCAGAAATATTTTTTTTTTTCTTGTAAACCCAGTTGGGATTTTCTGGTGAACGGCTAATGCGCTGCTAAATAATTTTTTTGGGCATATCCCGAGTCCACATCTGAACAACAGTTCAGGTTCCAGCAGATGCGATATTAGCATTGGGGCCTTTTTCTTTTCGCCTTGCACTCAATTCCTTCTCAATTGGGGCCCACTGTCAGGCTTGAAAGTTTGAAGAGCTAATTTTTCCCTCTTTATATCTATCCGCCTCTCACATGTCCAACGCCTCTAAACCACCTTCCTGGCTCTTTTCCAACAACACCAACAACAACCTTTCTCAAAGCAAAGACCAAAAGAGCAACTCTTCCAGCTCGGCCAATTCCTCAAACGACGACATGGCCAAGACGAAACCTTCTGCCGCCGACAAGGGCGCTGAGTCCGCCCAGCCCCCTGCCCAGCTCCTCGACCTTGTGGAGCAGTTCCTCTCCGACAACTCCTTCAGCAGCGCCCTCAGCGCCTTCAAGAAGCAGCGGTCAAAGAAGGGCTGGGGCGAGGCTTCTGAAAACACCAGCGGAAGCACTCTCGTTGCCGTCTTCAAGGCCTGGGATAACTCGGCCAAGGCCCCTGCAGACCGGGATGTCGACATGAACGACTCGAGCAGCTCCAGCTCCAGCTCTAGCGAGAGCAGCAGCAGCGAAAGCGAGAGCGAGAGTGAAAGCGAGAGCGAAAGCGAAGACGAGAAGCCTGCCCTGGGCAAGAAGAATCTGAAGCGCAAGGCGCCGCCCAGCTCGAGCTCTGACTCTAGCTCGTCTGACTCGGACTCGGACTCAAGCTCTGATTCGGACTCTGACGACGACAAGAAGCCTCAGGCTAAGAAGCAAAAGGTCGAGGCCAAGCCGGCCCCAAGCTCTGATTCCGACTCAGACTCGGACTCTGAGAGCGAGTCTTCCAGCTCGGAGGAGAGCTCCTCAGACGAGAGCTCCAGCTCAGAAGAAGACTCCAGCTCCGATGACAGCTCTGACAGCGAGTCTGAAGTGGACGCCAAAGAAGCCGCCAAAGAAGCCGCCAAAGAAGCCGCCAAAGTGCCCCTTCCCGACTCCGACTCCGACTCATCATCTTCATCCTCAGACTCGGACTCAGACTCAGACTCAGATTCCGACTCGGACAAGAAGCCCAAGGTCAATGGCGTAAACAAGATCAAGTCCGAGGCCAAGGAATCATCCGACTCTTCATCCTCTGCCACCATGGACTCCGTGCCTAACCCTCCCCTGCCCCCCAACCCATACGACCTCAAGAAGGAGAAGAAGAAGAACGAGCCCTTTTCTCGCATCGACAGGAACATCAAAGTGGACCCCAAGTTCGCCTCCAACGAGTATGTGTCCATTAGCTACTCCCAGCGGGCTCATGAAGACCTCATTGTCACAAAGGGCAAGGGCTTCACCAAGGAGAAGAACAAGAAGAAGAGGGGCAATTTCCGCGCGGGCGTGATTGACATTACTGAGAAGAAGGCCGTCTACTTTGACGACTAAGCGACGACTAAGCAGAAGGTCTGGAAAGGAAAAAAAAGAGAGAGAAGAAAAGATGTAGAGAAAGGAGAAAGAAATACAGTATATGGTGCGTAAAATATCCTAGGTGGACAGGTTAGCGTCTGGGGTTGCATCAACAGCCGGTGTTTAGGGCGGCCTTTTGTCATGTTTTGTCATGTTTCGTTTTATAAAAGTCGCTTTTTTCTTGTTTGCCTAGACTTTTTGAGATATTGCTTTTCTGTTGACGTTATGTGTTATATATAAATCTACTGGCTCTTAAAATCTAGAGCAATGTTCTTGCTTATTAGAAACGGGGTTAAAACGTGATAATGTGTAATATTAAAAAATGCCTTTAACTCTGCCAAATTTGCTCGCTTGCTCAATCTGAACGCATCTATGCAAATCAAATAATTGTCTTCCATCCATGCTCAAAATTTCAAATCCTTGTCATCATCAAGGTGGTATCTATCAAGCCATCATATATCCCATAAAATATCCAATTCAAAGCTCATTCTGTTTCGTAATTCCGCACGCTTATATTCCACCGCTATGCCAAACTCAAACAGGAAAGGGGATGCGGTGTAATGGTAAAAGAAGAAGTCGGCTTCAAATCAACAATGATAATAGTGAAAACAGAAAGGCAACCAAATTGATCAAACAAAGTCATACATCGCCATCATCTTGATTCATTGAATATTCTCCTCTTCAAAATGTAGAGCCATTAGCTCCTTGAATGCGGTGGAGGTTGCACCTCATCCAACGGCGCTTTCTGTTCCGCCGGGTCACTCACTCCAGAGAAAATCTCGTTTTTTCTCTTCACGGCCGGCCAGTCACGCTTTTCGGCCTTTGCATTCTCCAGCGCCTCGTTCAGCCATTGCTTCCATTGCGGCGTTCCGGGCGCTGCACCGCTTCGCTCGACCCATCCTATCGATTTTGTTTCGCGTATGGCGTACCACAGAGTGCGAGTGAAGCTGGGGTGCCCTTCACGCTCATCACTGGAGTTGGTGACGCCGCGTGCATTCTCACTGTCCTTCTGGGTGACGTCTTTGCAGTTGTAGCGTGAAAGATCCCAAAAATACTTCATGGGCAACATGCCGAGTCCCCAGTACAGGCCGTTGAGAACAATGTACGATCCTCCGATGAAGATTTGCGAGTTCCAGGTGCAGTTGCCGAGGAGCACAACTCCAAACATGAGGAGGATTGTGCCGAGCGCCATGCATAGCCTGTAGACCTTCTCGCCGACATAGTATTCGCATTCTTCCGTGCCAGAGTAGAGCTCGCGAGCCACATCTTCTGAACAGCGAACCAGGACAAAGGCTCCCTCACGGGTCCGAATCATGACGTCGCCGCTAGGCACTTTGTTAGTGTGGCGGCGCTGCATCAGAATCGGCCGCCAGGAAGAAGCATAGCCAATGACGGTGGAGACAAAGGAGACAAGGACGATGGCGAGGATGGCTGTGCCGTCTTGCCAAAAGATGGCTGCGATGAGGATGCCGATGCTGAGGAGGCATGAGAAGGCAGACAGAATGTGGAGAGGAGAGAAGAGTTTCGGTGGAACAATGGGCCGTCTTCCTTTGATCGCGATGGTTCTGGCGGAGAGCAGATCTTGCACCACCTCGGTGTTGGTTCGTCGGCGTATGATTCCAGGATGGGGATCGTGATGGTCGTGTCCATTGGCAACGCTGGAGTCAAAGTGGACTTTTGGGTCTGTTGGGTGCCTTGCGGAAGGGCGAGCTTTCTCGATGTCTCGGTCTGTGGAGGAAGTCATTCCCCGATGCTCCGTTTCGCTCTCTTTCTCTGCGTTTGGAGAAATGCCCTCGGAAGAGGGCTCTGTCTTACGAACCAACGACATGCACCTGGCGATAAATCCACGGCGATGAGGCTGATTTAGAGCCTCCAGTGGCAGCGCATCCGCCGCATGTCTGATGTCCAGCTCGACGAAATCGTAGGGCACCAGCTCCTCCAGGGGCAGGATGATGTTGGCGAAGAAGCCCACCGAATCCAGGACTGTGCCGCTCTCCACACCAGCCATCTTGGCGTGCGTCTCTGGCAAACGCGTGGGGCGAGATGGCTTCAGCAGGGCTTGAGGTGCGGGTAAAAGACGAGGCAGCATGCAGAGCATGGAGGCGGTGATGGTTTGCGCATGTTCACCGATGGCGGACTCGCCAATGACTGCGAGAAGAGAGACGACGTCGAGGCGCCACGAGTCTTTGTCGTTGGGGAACCATTTCCAGCCGGGATCGCCTGGGTTGGACATTTTTGAAATCTGTGCTGTAGTTGTTGTTATTGTTGTAATTGATAACGATGACAATGCCGATGCCGTGGTAGAGGGAGAAGAAAAGTATTCGCGGCAGCCAATCGAAGAGAAACGAGAGCAACGCAGGTAAAGCTAGGGACGATGAAGTCAATAAAAAATCACACGCTTCATTTTACTGTCGCGGATATATGCAAGAAGGAAAAATGGAAGAGGAAAAACAAGTGATTAAAAAAGAAGAAGAAAACAAGATTAGAAACAGGAATCCTGGACGAGGTGAGATGAGCGTAGCATCGTCCTGTATCTCTGGCGGCTCTGCACTCGACAGCGGTCCATGGACGCGGTTTAGAGGGGCCTGCAGCAGGGCTATGCTAGTGGGCTTAGTTGGGCGACCGCGAGCCACACTTTGATCGGTTGATCGGATAATTCTTTCCACCTGGTAGCAATGATATTTCCCTGTGCCTGTTTAAGCTAGAAAGTAAGATTAACTTACCGGTAACATCACCAACATCGACAATTATAAGAAGAAGAAAAGGCTGTGGTTTAATTCCATCGCTATGTCGATATAGTCTCAACTGGAGTAGAGTTGCTATTGATTAGTTTCTCCCCTACTCTAGACTACCCGCGCCAATCCGTCCCTTTTGGTGCCTAGTTGCCTTCCTCCACACCACTACATCGTCATTTTCAGCTCCCAACGCTGCCAATAGCCTCTAGAGCTCTGCTTAATCGCCAAGCCACCTTGCCTCTGTTGGGCTTGTGCAGCTGCGGGTGGCGATTTTAGTACGTAGAGCAACTGCTTCAGTGGGGGCTGTAACCTCTCGTCCATTCAAAATGGCTTCAATGTCTCAGTTGCTGACAACCGTTCGTGCAACCCACTCTTGTGCAGCGTCTCTCGCTTCTGCCCATCGGCCTAGGCCAAGCCACAGCGATTCCAAATCACAGACGCAGTTTCTGTCTTTATTCGCAGTTTTTCGGCTGACTGTTTGCGTAACATCTCTGAGAGGTATACGCAAGCTAGGCATATTACGTCCTTCTCCAAAGCCTTACGTACTGTAGATCCTACGACTCGTAGATGCACTTCTATGCAATACCCCGCTGGCTCACCGAAATGCCTATAGGACTGCCCCATATTGTCAATGCTCAGCCAGACTCATACGCGTACAGTACATTGGGCACAATGATATCCTAGCAATTTAAAAAGAGCACGAATCCAGCGACTTTCGTGCTGGGTATCCTCATCAACAAGGCTTTCTTCACCGCAAGACTGTAGAGCTATCCTGTCGATAGTAATCAGTAAAGGGACTTAAGTCTACTATCAAGTTGGACGCTTCGACAGCGATAGTCAGCTAGCCCACCTGTCAGCACCTTAGCCGCCCTACCAGCATGTCCCATGACTCCTGAGTTGCAAGTTCGTCTCAACAAATCCCCTGCCAGTAAGCCGCTTGGACATAATGTAACCTCCGGAAACTAACATCACGTTTTGTCCATCTTGAATTTTGACACATCGGCCTCCTATTTTATCTGCAGATTCTCTTTTCGGGCAGTATTCAAATATTTTCTCATCAAATGCAAACCACATGGCCAGTACCGGGCTCCAGTCCTGCTCTGCAAATGTGATTAGCGACAACCCGAACAACGAACACATAAAGTATCGACTGATTTCGAGTTGTCTCAGCGGTCAAGTCTCCTAGGAGCCTTCTCGCTATGCTATGGCGCCAACGTTCATTAGTACTAGGTATAGGCGTCTGGTCGATGCTATTACTGCAACATGTGCGAACCACAGCGCTTCTCTCTTCCTTTCGCCCTAAAACTTTCTTTGACCGCTCTTTACGTTACTATAGATAGATGGTACTCAGCGCACTAATTAAAATCTTCAGCCGGCCCGACTTTTATTAAAAATTTCAGCTCACAAACTAATCATAGATTCTCCAAGCTAGCCCTCGTCAACGCACAGCCCGGCATTTGTCGGCAGTTGCTAGATCACCAATCCTTGCAATATCTCTCTATAAAACAAAGCAGGTAATAGTATCTAACATATGAACGAGAAATTTAAAGCGTACATGTATGTATATAAAAGAAAAAGGCAACGCTACCCCGTCTCGTCCGTCTAATCAGCTGGGTATCGAGCAAACGCCACTCTTCCTGAACCTTCTTGAAGGTAAGACGGCCACACCAGCTAAAACGCCGCATTCAGGGAATGCAAAGTCCGCCAAAAGTAAAGAAACGCCAGAAGCATATAAACAAACAAACAAACAAACAAACAAAAGAAAGAGCAAACGAGCAAACGAACGATTGCAAGAGACGCAGTCACATCTTGGGTTTCTCTTCCACGGTATTAGTCGTTTCCCCTCCTCTCTGCTTGTCCCAAGCGATAACATTCATCAGGAAGTCGCTCCACAGCATCTTCCACTGCTTCAGTATTACCTCTCTCTCTTCATCATCCAGGCATGCGTGTTCGAGGCTCCACATGACAAGTTGCTTCCATCCATATAGCCCCATACTTTTCTTACCGACCATGACTTGGTAAAAGTCATGCGATAAAGTAGATCTTTGCTTTTGTTAGACTAAAATGCACTCCAAACATTAAATACGCAAGTAGTGTGTACTATACAATAAACTTACCTAAATAGTGCTCCGTTATCAGAATTAACGGTACAGTGTACATTATTCGCTAACAGCTGGTACATTGTATGTCCATTAACCCTTGGTGTAAGCCCCAGTATCTCATTCGAAATAGGGCACAGCTCGAGGCATATGCCCTTTGCTTTCATCTGCTGCATGATGTATGGATGGTTTGCCAGCGCAAATCCGTGCCCTATTCGCTTTGACCCTAGTAAAAGAGCGTCGACTAAATTTCCATCCGTCTTGTCGCCTAAATCCAGCGTCTCACCGCAGTGGAAGAGGAAAGGAATGTCGAGTTTTTCTTTGGCACATGTCTTTCTGAACTCAAGTAGCTGGGGAATAAAATCCTTGATTGGGGACCCTTTAGCTTCTTCTCCAACGAGATCATACCCTAGGAGAGAGTCAGTTGGTACAATTTCCAAGGCATGATGGGGGTGAGGCTCTCAGATGCTTACCTGCAATCCATTTTGGCCACATCTTCTTGAACCTTATGCACTCATCAAGGCCCTCTTTGACCTTTTCGGGCGAGAACGACCTTGGTGTGCAGTAGATAACTTTGAGACCCCCAAAGAATTTGTTTTCTTGAGATTTAGCTTTAATGAAAAACTCTACTTCTTCAATGATGATCTGCATGATGCCTTCGTTATCAATCGTCTCAATGCCATCATCGCTGGTAATGTAATTGCTCTTCATCATTGTCGGCCGTATCTCGGCATACTGAATGTTATCTCGGGCAAAGTCTTCGAGGCATCGGCGGGTATAGGATCGATATGCAGTCACATAGTTGAAGAGGCCTTTCATCATCCGTGTTCTCCCGTTAAATTTTTCCCAGGCACTGCATGTTAAAGAGAAAACGACATTAGCACAAAAACTTCAGAAAGAAATAACCTAGCTACACAAGATAAGGGGAAAGTAAAGGCTCACCCAGATGCTGTCTGTAAAGGACCATAAGCCTCTTGCTCATGAAAAGTGAGCTTATGTAGCAGCCACTTATGGGCTTTAGTTGTATCATCCGTACCAACATCTGCTCTAGTATAATAGGTCGAAAAGCGATTCAAAAACTCTGCGAATCTCATTGTTTTCCAGGCTTGGTAACAAGAAGAGAATAGGTCGCCAGGGTCCTCTTGATCGGGTCTCTTGATGGAGAACTGTATCTCGCACATGTCAAAGTTCTCAAACTTATTTTCACCCTCTTCTTTGCAGATAAGGGGGAGGTTACTCATTATAAACATGCGATCCATGCCTTTTGCAATGTCAAGTAGCACGTGTGGCGGTAGGCATGCATTGAAGTGGTTATGCAAATGAGCGCCCTTGGGCAACATGGAAGCTATTTTGAATAAGCCTGTCTTGCCAATCAAATCAACATTGGATAAGAAATGATCGCCTGCAAACCGCGGGTGCTGCTGGCCGTGATGTCCTTTTCGAGGCTCCTGCGCAGAGAAAAGATGCTCATCTTCTTCTCGCACCTTTTGAATAATCTTGTCAACATGGCGCTCTATGTGACTCGCTCGGGAACGAAACCGAGCATCAAACGACAGCTCATCTTCCCGAGAAACGACCTTTGCCCGCAGTTCTTCATAGTCGGTTGCATTTGTTACAGAGCCGAGAGTATTGGAGTTCAGGGGCAAGCCATAAATAACGCCTCTAGCCCGGTCCCCATCTCCTTTTCTCGGACGCCGTCGATCGATCTCAGAGTCGTGCGCTTTGATAATGTCAAGCGCAGCAGCCTTGTCACAGTCGCTATTGCTGTGCTGAGAGCAATTTTCATTCTCACTGCCAGTGGAATTCATGGTTTGTCGTTGTTTCTGTCGTAATCTCCTCCACCGAACACGGAAAAGCTTGAAGCGCATATACGAAGAAGATGAGCTCTGCATAGGCGGAGAGTGGCCGAAACAGGAACAATATAAAGATGAAGGGGGAGGGTTGGCGGCGAGGCTTGAAGTAAGGCTGAGCTCACCCATAGAGGAGTTTACTGGATTAGGCCGAGAGTAGCGTGTGCGTTAAATTATATTGATCCTCTTTGACGGGGTGTATGAGCGATGCCGAGGTGGGCAGCAGGCAGACAGACAGGCAGGTGATGAAACAGGCGCATTAACCTCCACCTTGGAATATGAGCCTTTGTTTGCTATTGCCGCCGCTCTGTTTGTGGCTTTTGCTATCGCTGAAAATGGTGCGAAGCATCAAGGCGCTTTGTCTTCACAGTGAGATGTATATATATTCTGAGCGTCAGTCAGCTTGGTCATCCACGGCTAAAAAAAAACGTAAAACATCTCCCAATCATGCAGCCAACATTGAAGCCTTCCTCCGGTAGGCAGCCCAAAGTCAGACCGTTATCGCGAGAGCCAGACAAAGTAGAAAAAAAAAAGAGATACGAGATGCGCCACCAACTAAGCAGGTCACAACAAAGACGGCGCTTGGCCGTGCCTCAATAGCGACCGTCTAGACCTGCCCCTAAAAGAGTCCTCCGGCCAGCGCGTGCGAAGCCACGACAGCAGCCCCGCATCCTCCTTAACCGCTGAAAGAGCGGGCATAATGATGGATCAAGTGCTGTGAAAGATGCAACCGCAAGCATCACACTCACCTAAGTCTAGTGTTGAGTCCTGGCGCGAAACAGTAGCGCAACAAAGCCGCGGTTCTTGGTAGTGCTGAAATGAGAGCGCAAGCCACGAGACAGGGCTTCGCTTATGCTCAGGTGAGGTTGTTTTCGGGCAGTGATTCTCGGTCACCGCTCTCTGTCAGGGCGAAAAGAGTCAGTCGGGGACAAGGACTGTCGTGTCACTGCGCTGGAGGCTTCAGCGATTAGCTTGCCGCATGCATGTGCTTGCGGGAGATCGAAGCGTGCGAGCAAGGGTCGCTGCCACGATGCCCAGCAGGGGTTGAAACAGGCGACGAGCTTCAGAAGCAGCGGCAGAAGCTGGCGATCATCAGGCGCTCTGGCGATGGCGATAGCGTGCCCGGAGAGGCTGTGTTGAGACTTTGATCAGTGCGGTGTTGGTGTTGTCGCAAAGTCGACGCCCAGGCGCAAATAGCACGAGAAGCAGCCAGCCAATGCCGTCTTCGTCGTGTGACGTCTTCTTTCCAACCAGGCATGTGCACGGGTACTCGGTACCTCCAGCCAACAACGCATGGATGCTGTATCCACCTACAAGTGCTCAGCGCTAGGCCCTGTTCGGGTCCTTGGGTCGCTAACCTCCAGGCCTCCAGCGCCAAAATCCCCTGGTGCCTTGCAGCTCCCTGGGCGCAAGACGGGCTTCTATGGGTCTCTAGTACTTCGGCCGTCCTTCTAGAGCACATCAGCCTTGCGAAGAGCCTTGACCAAAAGGGTAAGCCGCGTGCCATCATAGCCACTATATATGTCCACAAAGGTGCCTCTTATGCATTGTTTCTACTATTTCGTGACTGTTTAACCTGAATTGTTAATCGCCGACACAGGGTCCTCAAATTAGGTGAATCTTGAGGCAGCTTTTGCTACATACACCTAGTATCAGAGCTCTGATTTAGATTGAGGAAGGAAGGAATGAATTGATGTACCAAAAGATAAAAACATTCACAAGGAGTTATAAGTTTTCCGAATATACATGTAAATAGTGACATCGTGCTATTCCATTCTTCTGAGGGTTTTGCATAAAGGAGGTGACCCCATAGTTAACTCCTTTTACAATGCCACTTCTAGCTAACTATGGAACTGTTGCAAAAGACCTGTTTTACACACGATTCTTGTTCCAATTACCCAAGGTCCCTGTTTTTTGACCCCATTGCATGCCTAATTTGACTGCATGTTGGCTGTGAATGGATATCCCACAGGCAGCCGTGGATATTAATGACAACCCCCTATCTGACTTGTACATATTTGGGGCGTCCAACATTGAATATCCATGTCAATACCGGTTTTTCGGAGCAGCCACTTAACTTAGGCAATATCTCCCCGCCACAACTCTAATTTGATGTAGTAGGAAGTCAATTTGGCTGCTCCTTAGCCCCATCTTCACCGCCCTGCTCACCGTCATTCAAGTCCTCGCTAAAGAGTATCTAGCCATCCTTCACCATTTAAGCCTACACAGCTATCGTATGATTGTCCTACAAGGCAGAATTGCCCATAGCTTTAACCGGTTGATGTGTTGATGTGTTGTCATTTACACTTCATCACCCCACTTCGTGTTGCATGATGGCCCTTTCTGTATACCAGAGGGGATGGCGATGCCTTCACGAGACCACATCCTATGATTGATACGTGGACACTTGCTTAACCAAATATTGATCAAATCCTTCCCTTGTTGAGCAAAGCCACTCTGTAAAAGCCATCTTAGCCTCATGGCGCTTGGCACCTGCTGGCTAGTGATATATGCCTTACCCCTTACTTGGGCGTTGTCACAACACGCATCAAGTTTGCCAACGCATATTCTCTCGCCCAACGTTACCTCACCACTCGCCATTTACCATTCACTAACATCATGGTAATCTACTCCACCACGTTACTGCATTCCTTCGCGCGACTTACTCTTGAACTGCTAGTACTTTTCCAGTTAATATCCTCCATATCTGCCTAACTTCCACCTTTGGGAGCGAATCAGCAGCTGCCATCTCATCATTCACCAACATCTCACATGATCAAAAATAAGATTATCAATATGGCAATATGATAAAACGTCTGAAGGATAAAATAACAGTATAATCTGGTTTTAAATGCAAAAAGAAAACGCCCGAGGGGGGGGTCGAACCCCCAACCTTGCGGTTAAAAGCCGCACGCTCTAGCCAATTGAGCTACCCGGGCTGCTCTTAGGGTTGACGCTCATCCGAAGTTTTACCATTATATTGGTTTACTGTAACTCCGCGTTTTACACCGACTGCTTTTATCACCCACATCTTGCCGTTGGCGAAGAGCGCTGATCTCTGATTTCTAGAGACGAAGCACCATTACACACTATCTTTTATATGTAAGTTATTTGCCTTTGGAAATGTATCCCCTTTTTTTTCTTCTAAGGGCATCCGCAATAGACCATTGGATGTACAAGCTGGAGTTTGTAAAAGTGAAACCTGCCTTTACTTCGCCTCGAAGCTATATCTTGATGTCAGCGTTGTAATATATTTCTAAGTGGAGCTTGCTAAGGGGACATGTGAGGAACCCTATCGGAACCAAAGTACCTTGTACCTGCCGTACAGGTAAGGATAGTATTGGCAGGAGAGTACATGTATCTATGATCGATTCCTATAATCGCTAAAAGGCCCGAGTATCGTTCTCGTTGTAAAGAGTCCTCTAGCATATTAAATCCAAAGAGCCGCATCAGAGAGTACCCTCTTCCGATTGACTGCCCACAGCATTTTTCTGCAACGACAAGCTTGTATACGGTATAAGAATGCTATTATTTGATACGTCGTTTCTTATTTTTATGAATCTGGCGATTATATTATGAGGGCTACCCTGCTATGCTATCTGGGGCCTGTTAGTATATCATAACCTTGCGGATGGGATAAATGCTAACTATAAACTTAGCTTCGCCAAATCTATGCGTTGCTAAGACAGGATGCCAACCATCCGCGGCGGCTTCTTCGTATAGCAGACAAAGTCCTGTCTCCAGTATCAGGAAGAAGAAAAAGCACCCGCTCCTATTGTTTCGTGCCTTCTGATACAGTTGAGCATGCGTCTGAAGCTACCACTGGGAGATGGTGGTTGTTCTCTGCAGGTTCGAGGGAACTTGAAGGAGCGGGGCTGTCAAATCTGCCGTCGAAGATGTGATTTGTCCTGCTCTTTGCTGTGCACACTCTCTCAACATCCTCGACACATTGTACACCATCGTGTATGGGGGTAGGGTTGGTCGTTGCAGCACCAGACGCGAGCTGACAGCGGTTCCTATCAGAAAAGTCCTCCGGTCGGGGGTGGGCACATATGTCTAACCGGGTTAACATAATTAGCTCGTTGAGTATGATAAACTCGAACTTGAGCTTGATGCTATAGACAACGGGTTTGTATGTTGTTTGTATATCAAAATTATTCGTAAACTGGGTTAAAATGAGGCTGATATCAAGAAGCACGGTGATGACGAGTAGGATGATCAAATGGCGTATCATCCTTTTCCCCTCGCGTCCTTTCATATCCATAAGGGGTTTGAGCCAATGCGTTGCCTCCCACACGTACAAACCTGAGATGATGGACTCTTGGATGGAGAAGCCGATTAGCTGAATCCTCTCATAGATATTGAAGACTTCGATGAACTGTGTAGAGTGTGTGATGTTACTGGCGAGAAAGAGGATCGATACCGGAAGATGTAGCACAAAGACATTGGTGATGATCAGAATTAGTACCCATCTGATCTTCCGCCGGTCGCGCACGACGAGATATAGGCGCGAGTACATCACGAAAGATTGGCCAGTGACCATGGTCCACCAGCCGATGAGCGTGAAGACGCACATTAAAACGTTTGGCGCGAGGGCAAAGTAACGCAAAAACACAGCAATCGAGTGGATGAGTATTCCGAGCGCAGCAACCACCAGGCTCCAGAAGTAAAAGTTCTTCCTGCGCTTGAACTTGCTGAAGATCCAAATCAAAATCTCAATGCTGTTGAATATGGCGACGGCGAAGAAGCCCGCAATCACCATGGCCACTGCCAGCGGCACAACAATTGGCCCTGTCTCCCCAGACATGCTCGTGAGTGTCTTCGGCCGACGTCTTGAAAAGACTCAGCGGAAGTGGAATCGCTGCTGATGAGATCTGGCCGCCATTCTCTGGGAAAGTGACCGACGGCGTGGATTTGGCAATTGGAAAATGCCGTCTCCCCTCGCCTTCACCAAACTCTCCTTTAAAAATCGAATATATGCCATTAGCCAAGCTGAATCCCTATGATATTAGCGGCATTGGCGTATCCGAGAGTGTGGAACCTAAAGCTTCGCAGGAAAGATCATTGGCCATACAATGCTAGAGAAGCAAGCAAGGTGGTTCTTTGAGCTTTGCTTCTTGATATCTCATTGGTTCTATAGAAATGACCGTTCGTACTTCTCACCAAGACCAAATCAGCTTCGATCTAGTTGACATTTGTGAGTCGATCGGAGTGCCACAAAACTCTCTTTGGAGCTAGGCACAAAATAGGGCAGTCGCCACAACTTCGCAACTGACACACCGTATATTTTTTTTTATATGCCACTAGAATTACGTATCTTTCGCAATACTCGTTCGAGAGATGGTCCATTTCGAAGCATAAATAAGAGCTTATAGTCGTTATTATCGATGGGGAAATGCACAGTGAGGCCGTTTATCCTTCTCGTTAAAAAAAAGTCTGGCTAGTATAGCGCAAATTCATTTAACAGTATAAGCGTAAGAATTGGATATGGTTGCGGTTGAAATTCTATGGATTAGGCACCTGAGGTATTTTCCTCGTTCCCATAGTATAGTTACAGATATCAAGGGTTGTATGACTGTCTAATGACGCTCGGCCACTCATGCAGGCAATTATCCTAAAACACTTGATGTGCGCTGTGATTGATGGTTGAGTTCTACTCTAGCTTTATTTTAGTCTAGCTTGTGTAATTAAAGAATAGGTTTCGTGACATAATGCTGATGCCCCAAGATGATGATTATTTATTTAACATTTGACTGACAGATCCCAGACTTCAGTTCTGGATAATGTTAGGCCTAGTTTAACAATATATGTGGCGCCTTGATGCTTCCACCGCAAGAAGCCACACTCAGCCGCAAATTGGTGCGAAAAGACGCTTCTTGTGATGATTCCAGAAGCTTTACGTTGTTTCGGTTTCTGCAGCACTGTATGCAGGCACGCACTCTTCGCATAATATACTAATGTCAAAGTGATATGTGCCGGAGCAAAAGATGGACTCTTATCAGTGCTCGGGCATTTATATTAGTGATCAAAATCATAATCGATCGGCATAGTGTTTTCTCTTTCAGTAAATCTTCTCTGAAGTTCCTCTATATCTTTGAATAAGTAAGGAAGACCAGAGAATTTTGAGTAATGAGTAGGGGATTAGCTCGTGAGTACCTTTATCCGCGTTTTAAGGGCAGTTGCATGCGAGAAAGGATCCATATAAGCAAGAATCTTGTTTTGTATCTACTGCGGGAATGAGAGTTATCACCCATATTTGTTGATACTCTGTGTTATCCTTAAGCTATTACGGATTTCTTATTATAGTATAGGAGCGATATGCTAGATTATTTCTTAGGCCTCTACATTACAAGTTATACTACGCATCGGTGTCGACAGCGCGCCTTAGCAAGTGAAACACTCCATGCTAAATGGTGGGATAAAAGCTACAACGGAGATATTGTCGAGATCAGGAGTTATCGGGGAAAGGCATAATCTTCCCGGAGAGCTGGTCCGCGCCGCCAAAGGGGAGCTCGAAATCAAAGCAAGAATATCAACTTAGCCTTAGAGGCGGGCAGAAAACAGCGCACCAGCTCCGTTTGATACTACCAACAGACAAGGAGAGGTTAGCGCCAAGAGCAAGATCCTCAAGAAGGGGAAGCAAACGCTTTATACCCTGTAACCCTAGTCATCCCATAATGGCGGAATTTGCCTATTCTAAAAGATCTTACCCGGGCAAACGCGATTACGATGAAAGACCTTCTCGTCTACTATAACGCTATTTTAAGCGCTATCAAGGAAGAAATTGATGGAAACGACCTGAGAACCCCATCTTCAGACAAATAGGAACCATTTTCAAAGGTCACAAACCCATGGGACAACAGAGAATAGAAACGAGCACCTAGTACGCTCTTGGCTGGGTCAAAGGCTTCCTCCCAGGATGTCCTGGCATGCAATCGCTAAACAATGGTTTGCTGCGTAATGTACCTCTCATCGGAAAAGGCACCAGACCTCAGGTCTTTTTCGCGCACTCCAGCTCAGTGGCAGGGTCTCTTTCGACCGTAATTTTGCTTCCAGAGACGTGCATTGCAGTTGTTGTTCTCGTCAACAGCAAGCCTACCTGCGACAGCTCTGATTTCATTACTATTATGATATTAGAAAGACTTCTTGGAGGCTGTGGGGGCCACGACTTCGCAGAATTGACCAGAGAGGCCTTGGACAAAGCTTCTCGTCGATATTCGGAGCAGAAAGCGGAACTGGAATCTTCGAGAGTTCTACATACGTCCCCTAAGCCACTGAACGAGCACCGGGGAAGATACTCTTGGAAGTCCAAGTCTCTTTTTGTTGATGTTTTCGTCGAAGACGACAAGCTGAAATTCCAAGTCATGGGGCGATCTGATCAGATATATGGCCTGGAGCATTACCACTACGACACATTTGCCTGGCTAATGACAGATGATGAGGAAGCAGAAAGAGCTCGCTATGTTCAAGCGATTGGGGCTTACAAGTTTGTCTTTCAGACTGACGACATCGACCGTGTAACAGGCTTCAAGTGGGTGGAAATGGGGGGTGGCCCAGGGTTATTTCAGAAAGACTAGGAAGAAAAGACTGCGTTGTCTCTAATTGAGACAATAAAAACAAAGAAGCTCCAGATATTCTTAAGCAGCTCCCCTTTCTGTGTAGTCACACATCGTCTTGCGAGCGAGCGGACATGCTGCAGTCCGTAAAGGCTCCTTGGCGGGACGGCGTACGTACATGTCGACAGAACTGGGGGATATGAGCATAGGTACACACTTCGGCAAGAGAAGTGGTCATTTCCTACTTATATGATTGGACACAGTTCTAGGCACCGCATTTCCCCGCCAAGCTGAACGATACTAGTAGGTAGATAGTATTCTTACCTCGTTTACTAACATGTACTGAGAGACATCCATTTGACTGCACATCTGCGCGTAAACCGACGTGCCAACTCAACTGCCATCTTAGTTGTAGCTCAACGCGCTTCTATTTGCCATGGGGGTACAGGCTGTCTAAGTCTTCAAGCTGGGCATCGAGGCCCAGTTTGAGCGCCTGACAGACACAGAGAAGCGATATTCGCACCACATGGCTCGGTGAGCACCAAGACCTGCAACACAGTCGAGCAAAGTGACATGCTCAACATCCAATCTAGCGCTGCATGGCTTGGAGCAAGAATCATTCTCCGACAAGTTTCTCCAGAAGCCTCCTCGATTTACGACTTCGTCATTGAGCTCCATCGCAGCTGTTCAGGTGATTGGAATTCGCTCATTGGGAACGAAGTCAACAGCGTTGAGCTCCAAGCCTTGTTGACATATATGGCGACGTTTCTGTCCAATGTTGGGAATTATTATGTACGTCTCAAGTGGCTAAATTACTGCAACTACATACATTGCTGAACCCTATAGGGCTCCGGGGATCAAAAGTTTATCCCCAGTGTGGACAAGTCGCTTCTGCACAAGCTGGCAACAAGATCCACTGTATTAGAGGAACTGTATCAGAACATGTCCAGGGATGTAGACAAAATGCCACCTTTCCACCTCGATTTCCCAAGCGACACTGCCCATAGCAGCTACTACCCCTTGGGGATATCGTTAGTGAAGCTGATGCAAACGCCGTGTCCAAGATTCTAGAGCAGAATAACATCTTTCGGAAAACACAAGACTTGAAAAGACCAAGGATGGATTTGACGTCCTCATTGCGTCGGTTGAAAGTGGTATCGCTGCTCAGTTTCCTCTGCCGAGTGGCCAGGAAGGGCATGTGAGACTTGTCAAGGGAGACCATTCATCTGACCTACAACGCATCTGCGCTGAGTTGAAAGAAGCATATAGATATGCAGCCAATGAATTACAGAGAAGTGTCATTAGTGCGTATATCGAAAGCTTTGAAACGGGCAGTCTAGATGCGTACCGCAAATCGCAACGCCTCTGGGTCCGGGATAAAGCACCGAGGGTGGAGAATATCTTTGGGTTTGTTGAGCCTTACCGTGATCCGCAGGGCGTTCGAGCAGAATTTGAGGCCTTGGTTGCTATTGCAGATGATAAAGAGACTTTGCTTCTTACTAAACTAGTTGACAATTCGGCAAGATTTATTCGCTGGCTGCCTTGGGCAACGCCTAAGAATGATGGTAAAGGACCGTTTGAGAAGAGTCTATTTGAGCCGCCGGACTGTTCGAGCATTCATGGTGAGTGGTGACATGTCAAATCGTGAAGCTGAGAACTAAAACCCTATAGCTCTGGCGTACTGTTCGAGCATCATCTTCCCAGGGATAAACTTGCCTAATGTCAGTTCTTATGCCTAACTCGTTTGATATTGCCACTCGTCGCGGTTTTTTACCAAGACCTAATCCTTGAACATAGTATAATGACATTCGCCAAGAGGACGGGTTCAAGAATGTCATCATCTCGAATCGCATGATCGCTGAGAGCCAAGCAATACAGTACCCTTTGGTAGAAGAGTCCGAGGCAGAACAATTTAAAAAACATAGATTTCATGCCTACTACTGGTGGGTCGTGCTCCATGAGCTGCTGGGCCATGGCACAGGGCAGATGATGGTTGAGAACGCCGATGGTGTGTTCAACTTTGATGCAAAGAGCCCGCCTATTAATCCTCTCGATGGAAAACCCATTTCAATCTGATACAAGCCAGGTCAGACTTGGACTGGTCAGTTTGGCGATTTAGCAACTACAGTTGACGAATGCAGGGCTGAATTCGTTGGCGCCTACCTGATGGATGACTCAGAGCTTCTTGCCCTATTTGGCTTCACGGATAGTTCTGAGATTTGCGCTGAGGACTGTACGTCGGCATCATTTGTAATCATGAGAAAGTAGCAGCACTAACGCGAAATTTATAGTAACGTACAATCTTTACTTACAGCTAGGCGTTGACGGGCTACGGGGACTATCGAATTATAATGTGCAAAGCAATGTGAGCTGTCATTGGGACTTGATCAAGCACAGGGGCATTTTGTTGACACATCGAATGGCAGAACTGGGGCCAAGCTCATAGCCGGGTAAGTATAGTCGTAGGATATTATTTCCTGTGTGATTGACCAATAGCTGCACAGGCACACTTTGCTATATTGAAGTGCTTGCTTCAAGATGGCGGCGGCGTCATAACTGTCGCCCACAACAAGCTCGAGCACAGTTTAAAAGTGCGAGTGGACCGATCCAAGATTCGGACTCACGGGAAGCCTGCGTTGGGCAACATGCTTTTGCATCTGCACATGTTTCGATGTACAGCCGATACCAAAGGCTGTCGAACTTACTACGAGAAGCTATCGAGCGTTAATGGCGAGTATATTGAGTGGAGGGAGACTGTGCTCGCCACTAAACCTCCTCCGCTTATTTTTACCCAGGCTAACACCTTTCTTGGTGGTGACACTGTCACCTTGAAGGAGTATGAACCCACGGCAGAAGGCGTGATTGCAAGCTGGGCAGAAAGACAGATTTGAACAAGGGACAAGTTATCCAGCACCTCAATTCTATTATCCAGCGCTCTATCTATAAGACCTATATGTGTATGTAGGCTATTAGATACTGCTGCTACTACTAGACTGCATGTGCTGTTGCTACCGCTACTACTATTGCTATTTTTTCTCTCTTTTGTATTTAGCAGTTGTGTACTATAATACGTGGACCAGCTGCTTTGTTAAGTCACAGCTGAGGCTTTGGATGGTAAATATGGGGTACTGGATAACTTCTCCCTTGAACAATGAAACGCAGTTTACCATCATGAGTACACAGGATGAAGAAGAACCTTCTGAGGAGTGTGGGGCAGAAACCATTATTACATTCTCGCATGCTATAAGTACTAATTGACTAAGAACTTTGAGTTTCATTTAAACCTTCCCGATGTCTTTAATCAGCAATAACGGACAGAGCTGACTTCCAATCAAGGTCTATCATCTCTTCTGTTTTGCCTCTCCGAATAATACTTGTTTGAGTACCACTTGCTTATTTCCTATTAGGTCAACTAAAACAGCTATGCATGAAGTCTTGATTAAGTAAACAATATGTGTATCTGAATGCATACAGAGTGTCAACACTGAGGTTAAACCAGCCATGCGTGAATCACAATGCAATCGTTCATTGGCAGTTAAAGTGGTGTAGGCGATTGATAAGAAAAACACAGCCGTCGACATTGATGTTAATAGTATTCGCAGATATGAAACTATGTTGTTTATAGCTTGGTAGACTGCAAAAAGCTTGCATTTGGTGATTTGCTAAATGAAAAACGGCAGAATCCTAATAAACACACATTGGTCGGCCGAATGGAAACGAGCATGTGCTCAGCGACACCATTTCTGCCAAAGACAGCCTTGTCGAACCGCGTAGCAGTGTGGACACCCATTATTTCCGCGGCAGTTGGCAATTGTGCCACAGAATTGAAAGCAATTCGAGCGACGCTTCTCCAATCCGACAGAATCCTCGGATCTCGCCTCGGGATGCGGTCCTGGGCCAGCGCCGCATGGGCCTCGCTCTGCCAAAGATCTGTCGCCTTGGGAGTCTGATCCAAGGATTTCATCGGCAGCAGCCTTTTCTTGGTCAAAGTACTGCTGTGCATTGGAGCTTGGAGCAAAGAGCTCGGTTCGGGTAAGGTCGTTGGAAGGGTGTTGATAGACGTCGATGGTGACCGTGCCGTTGTTCAAGTACATGTCGAGAAAATGGTCGTCCAACAATTCCAAATCTTTGACAAACGAGTCATATCGATCGATATCATTTGTGTGAATGGCGTCTCGTGGGGATAGTGCCATGGCGCTGATAACCAAAAGCGTGAGAGCTTGAAAGAGAGTGAACAGCATAGTATATACCTATGTAGATATAGGTGGCCGTAGATAAAACGCAACTTAAGTTCACGTGATGTGTGCGAGAGTGAAGTGTTGGTTGTTTGGCAGTTATTCCTGCAGAAATAGGACGCTACTTATAATTCATCGGCTCCTCTTCTACTCATACTTCCCCCGTCCTAGCCATCTGTAATCTTTTTTTTTTGAAATACAGACAGCACAGTCTTCGTTGGCCATGAAGAGTGTTTGACGTGAACTGGTTACTTTATTCTTCCTATTTGGGAGAAACTCGTGATCTCCCTCGGACGTCGCACGGACTATTAGCACATGCTTTCTGATCCGATTTCTGATCCTGTTACTGTGTCTTGACTCCTGATTCCTTCTCGTACGTCTGTGCCGTAGGTAGGATTTGACTACACCAACAATTATTGGGCAAGATTCTCCTGTGAAAGCGCTCGGCTCATTATCGTTCAGGGTTAGGCATCGGCAGAGCTCAGTCACGCCTCCTCACGGTTGCCACTTGACGATCAACCAACCATTTGTACAACCAATCGGATGTTGGGCGATCTATTGTCAGACAAGGCTTGCCATCCAGTGTGCTGGCAGCCTCCGATCGCCGCCGAAAAAGTTCCTAGATCGGCGAATGGCTGTGAATTCTCTGACAGGAGGAGATTATGATGCAATAGTCCCTCAAAAACAGAGAGTTGAAGGAAGCAACTATAATAGTAAAACTTGAGAGCGTTCAAACTTGGTTATGCATGAAATGATCTGCGATGCTTCTTCAATCAACACATGTTTGTGTTAGTCCGATGTTTCACGAACAACGAATGGATTTCATGCACCTTGAAGAATGCAGGCGGGATCTGATTCCTGAGCACAGATAGGGCCGATGCTGAAGACAGATTGGCCACATATGTCGCAGCGAAACAACCGTCGTATTACGCGTTGCGATGCCTGTAATTCTAACCGTTGGGACTCTCTTTTTTGTGTTTGGGTGGCTAGATACCAGTATATGCACTGTTGTCTTGGGTTGGATGATTGAAGTTGTACTTGAATGGAACACCGGGTACTCCTCCTTTGAATTGTCTCTCCGCTAGCCAGGTTTCTGGATAAAGGCGTGCGCAAGTTCATTTCTTTGTTTCAATCAGAGTTGTTCTTTGTATCGATTTTCACCCGTGAGATAACCACGCAGGAGTGGAACCGTATGCTGCGATATTTGGAAAATACGTTCGAAATACTGCGCATACTAGGAGCTCTGAAGAATGGGTGTGGCGACCTATTACAGTGTTTAGTGATGTCCGAAAGATGTTGAGGGCTTCTGCTCAAATCTTCGGTATGTGCTCAAATGCACGACGGCATTATACTGAGTAAGTAGTATCTTGTCAACGAGCGACGTTATTCCAGCCTCGTGGAATGACGGCACCTAAGACGGTAGATTGCACATGTGCCGACTTATTTGGCAGTGGGGGCCGGAGTAACTCGCGACAGAATGTCAAGGTTCGAAATAGATGTAGTGCGAATGCTAGCGGAGTAAGGACCTTGTCCTCCAATTCGCTGCAGCTTCGTTGCCGAGCTTCATGAACGAGCAGCTCTAACGCAACCAACCAATTAAGCGACCTCGAATTTTCCAATCAAGAGTTGAGTTTTAGGTACCTCAGCAATGCTCTTGAGCCGAAGCCACCACCTGACAATGTCGAACCAAACCAAGCTGAGATACACGCAATACTTCCAAGCTAATGGTGCTATCAAAGTCTTCTAGCATTCTAGCAGTGGTAGGTCGGCAGCGGTTTTGAGCAAAAGTGCCGCAAACATAGACAGAACCTCAACGTCAACCTCGTTCCACCCGAATATGAGTCTTGCTCTGTTGGTTAAGAGAACTTCCTGCAAAATCCATAGACTGTTGAATCATCAGCATCCGAACAACATCCCCAGAGTCTGTCTATCTTGGCGAGGGATGGAGGAGATAAACTCTGTAGCAGAATCAGCATTGACAGACAAGCTCGCTGGCGGTATCCTATATCGCACTCTATCTAAGGTCTGAACTGCGACATAAATAGCCTCGTCGCTGCTATCAAGCTGAATGATGATTCACGATGACTGGTGATAGATTGAAGATATAAGCACAATTTGCTGGTTTCACTCTTCATCATTCATCCGATAACTACATCTGCAGATAGCCATGTACTCGCCATCGCAAGATATGTAGTTTTTCAACCTGTCATATTGACTATAAGAAGAATATTGCTCATCCACTGGGCTACCCTGGGTATAGGAGAGGGCGACGAAGCTCAGTGTGGCGGAAAGCAAATCAGTCCCTATGCTCAACTTGATGTCCGTATCTGTATTAGCAGGGTTCAGTGTTAATATACGAATAGAATATGAAACTTGCAATGGAAATGGAAAATGACGAAAATTGGGGGTTATTTTATGGGCGTTTACACATATCGTCATTTCCTCCTTATACATAGCTGCTGGTGATCCCTATAGCAATTTCTCGCTGCAAGTGAAGCCTCAATAGCCAAAGGTTTTGAGTAGAGCATAGCCTAGTCTTTCCCAAGCTTGCTACAGTAGGTATACAGTACCTTCACGCTTGGTCTTTTTCTCTCATCTTGGCTGTCTCCCGGCATGTTGCAAACCTAGCACGTTTCGCTTTATCCCAACATGTCTGTGAGTCGATTTGGGCAACTTCGAGGCTGGATGTGCGTGCTCGGGTGCAACTCGCCTTGCGGGCACGCCGCGGTGTTGGGCACTACATGTAGGTTTGTTCGCATTGGAAGATGTGGCCCCAGTTTTTGAGTAAAGCCACATTGGCAGGCTGAGTTGTTATCGTACTGCAAACGATCGTGATTGGTCTGGAAGTGATGCTGCTTCCTATAAGCCTGACCCAGGTATCTCTGCCGTATCTCTGGAGTGTACATATTTAAATTGCTGGTTGCTAAGCCCTGCCCAACCCCGCTCAATCCAGCCCAATCTGGCCCAATGCCTGTGCACAGCAGCATCAAGATAGTTAGCCTTCTTGATTTCTTTCCTAAATCTTCTGACTATCACGCTTTTTCGACGTTTACAAGCAATTGCCATTCTTTTCTATACGCGAAGCAAACTTTAAGCCTGTTTTTACCTGGGTGTTCAAGATCTATACAAACCTTGGACTTCTTAAACTACCCCATCCAATCTATCCTCGCAAGGTCCCAGCCTACAAATGAAAATGTCGAACCCTGACAACTATACGGTTGGATGGATCTGCGCCATAGCTACCGAATATGTTGCTGCACGGGCTTTTCTCGATGAGAAACACGACGGACCGGAATACGTTTCCCCGAATGATAATAACGATTACACACTGGGCCGGGTCGGCAACCATAATGTCGTTATTGCTGTATTGCCTGACGGCGAGTACGGCACGGCTTCTGCAGCAATGACTGCCAGGGATATGCTGCATAGTTTTCCTAATATTCGAATCGGTCTTATGGTTGGCATTGGCGGCGGTGCGCCAAGTAGAAAGCATGATATTCGCTTAGGCGATATTGTTGTTAGTTCTCCCCGCGATAAAGAGAGCGGTGTATTCCAATACGACTTTGGCAAAACAATACAAAGCCAAAGCTTTCAACACACGCGGTTCCTAAACCAGCCACCGACAGCTTTGCGAGCAGCGATAAATGGGCTAAAAGCTGAATATGAGGAAGACGGCCACCAACTTGATGAAGCTATAACTACTCTTCTTGCGAAGAAGCCAAGATTGCAAAAAGAGTATAGGCGACCAGACGCAAGTAGCGACAAGCTTTATAAAAGCGACGTTATCCATGTGCACCCAGCCGATGAAATGGGTTGTGCAGCAGTTTGCGGAAATGAGCCATCGAGTTCTGTACCCCGGGCTGAACGGGCAGAAAGCGATGATAACCCTGCTATTCATTATGGCATAATTGCTTCAGGAGATCAGTTAATGAAAGATGCAATAATAAGAGACCGACTCGCAGCGGAAAAGGATGTCTTATGCTTTGAAATGGAGGCGGCAGGGTTAATGAACCACTTTCCGTGCCTTGTTATCCGTGGTATTTGCGACTACTCAGACTCGCATAAGAACAAGCAGTGGCAAGGATATGCGGCTATGGCAGCAGCAGCCTATGCAAAAGACCTTCTCCGTCGCATAGTTCCAAATAAGATCGAAGCTGAAAAGAAGATCAGCCTTCTATCCGGTAATTCTGAGGCCTCGAAATTATACTTCAGCATATATTAATTTTATATATAGGTATTAATGTAATTACTCAAGAGCACCGGGATATTGCAAAAGAACAACTTAAATTCCAGAGAGACCTGGCTACAGAAAGGCTATCTGAAAAAGAACAAAAATGCCACCAGCTATTTCGTCTCACAGCTAGCGGCCAGGATGGCGCCACGTATGAATGGTACAAGGGCCGAGTGGAAGAAAGGGTTGAAGACACATGCCTTTGGTTTCTTAACCATGAGCATTTCCGACTATGGTTAAAACAAGAGGCAGGCCCCCTGCTGGTTACAGCGGATCCGGGTTGTGGAAAGTCAGTGTTAGCCAAGTACCTTATCGACCATGAGCTGCCACGATTAGGATCGGAAACTATCTGCTACTTCTTCTTCAAAGATCAGGACCAGAACACATGCCGTCAAGCACTTTGCGCACTACTCCACCAGCTCTTCTCTCAGAGGCCGTCTCTAATTAAGCATGCTATGCTGCAATTTTATAAAGATGGGAAAGATTTAATTAACTTTACTGAGTCGCTCTGGAAGATTCTACAAAGCGCTAGTAAAGATTCTGAGGCTGGATCTATCACTATAGTCCTTGATGCCTTAGATGAATGCGCTGAATCCCAGCTCGAGGATTTAGTGCGAAACATAAAGAGCCAGTTCCAAAGCAATAGTGACTCTTTAAGTCCTGGCAAATTAAAATATCTTCTATTATGCCGGCCCTACGAGCAAATTATATGCAACTTCCGCAGTTTATTAGATGTTTTCCCGAAGATCCATATACCAGGAGAAGAACAGTCTGAGACAATCAGCCATGAGGTGAATTCAGTTATAAGGCACCGGGTCATTCAATTATCCAAGATAAAGCGTCTCTCACCATTAATCACCGACCACCTAGAAAGGAAACTAAAAGAGACTCCTCAGCGCACTTATCTCTGGTTGTATCTTATATTCAATAACTTAGAGAATGAAATCTTCAAGAAGACACCACGAGCAGTTGAAGACCTCATCAAAACACTCCCGAAAAGCGTTAATGAAGCATATAATCAAATTCTCAACAAGTCTAAGCAACCTCTAGTGGCAAAGAAGGCCTTAAGCGTTATCTTAGCAGCCAGCCGACCACTTACAATATCAGAAATGAATGTTGCTATGAGCATAGATGAAGCGGCACAAACCTTTTACGACCTTGACTTGGAAAATGAAGCTGACTTTGAGTTACGGCTCAGGTCTTTATGTGGATTATTTATCTCAGTACATCATGGCAGGATTTCTTTTCTTCATCAAACCGCTCGAGAATTTCTACTCACGCCCGCAGCTGCTGTCCCATCAAGACTCATATGGCACCACTCTATCACCACTCAAGATGCGCAGACTCTCCTTGCAAAGCTTTGTATAGTCTATCTTGACCTATTCAACCCTGACACTAGGCCTCCACCAGATACAGAGGGAGGATCCAATTACTCTGTTGAACGCGCTTTTTTGAAATACTCAGCTATATATTGGAGCACTCACTTCCGCAAAGCTTGCGTTGATGAGAACGATGCTGTTATATATTCTGCAATGAGAATTTGCAATCCAGATTTGAAAAGCTTCTCGGTATGGTATGGCATCTATGAGGAGCATACATTCCAAAGCCCCGCCAGAAATGCTACAAATCTTATAGTAGCATCGTATCTTGGCCATAATGCCGTCGTAAAGTTGTTACTCGATAAAGGAGCGGAAACAGAGGCAAAGGACGCGTATGATTGCACGCCGCTAGTGTGGGCCTCCTATTGCGGGCATGAGGCTACAGTCAAGCTACTACTTGATAAAGGAGCAGAAACCAAGGCAAAGGATGCCTATGGCCGGACACCGCTATGGATGGCCGTTGACGGTGGTCGGACGCCGCCATGGGCGGCTGCTCACGGCGACGACAGCAATTTTGCTCTGAAAAATTACGAGATGCAGCTAATGCTGCTTGAGCAGCAGAATAAGAAACGCCTGTTGATGCCTCGCCAGGACCACGGCGACGACAGCAATTTTAGTCTGAAAAAGTACCAGATGCAGCTAATGCTGCTTGAGCAGCAGAATAAGAAACGCCTGTTGATGCCTCGCCAGGACCACGGCGACGACAGCAATTTTAGTCTGAAAAAGTACCAGATGCAGCTAATGCTGCTTGAGCAGCAGAATAAGAAACGCCTGTTGATGCCTCGCCAGGACCACGGCGAAATGGATGGAATACTCAGCAGTAACCGGGCAGGAACAGACGATAAGCGCGGGCATGAAGCTGTAGCCAAGCTGATGCTTGATAATGGAGCATATATTGAAGTAAAGGATAATAGTGGTAGGACACCGCTATTAATCGCCGCTGAGCGCGGGCACGAAGCTATAGCTAATCTACTACTTGATAAAGGAGCAGAGATTGAGGCAAGGGATAGCCGTGGTCAGACACCATTATCATACGCCGCTGAGCGCGGGCATACAGCTATATTTAAGCTGCTGCTTGATAAAGGAGCAGAGATGGAGGCAAATGATGAAAACGGTCGGACGCCACTATCATTTGCTATTAAAAACAGGCATGAAGCTATAATCAAGCTATTGCTTGATAAAGGAGCAATGAAGCCCTAAATAGTTATAAAATATTGCCTTTTGTAGACTGTGGTGCATCTAGTCTGCTACCAAACCACAAAAACTCTTTGTTTCTTGGCTCTAGCTGCCTAGAACCTTTTTTTATAATAGTTAGCGAATTATTGCTCTGTGTTCTTTGCTGTTTCTGACACGCATGGGAGTCATATCGGCACCAGAAACATGATCCTGGCAGTTCTTCTCTAAGAAACACAGTTTTAATAAAGAGCCTCGTCCAATCTGCCAAGGTTACCCCGCACATGTGACCATTCATGGGTGATCAGGTATTCTGAAGCTCAAACACAACTGCATACATTTCTCTCCTGCATGGCTCACCATGGTCCGCGACTATAAGAGTCCGTGCAAATCCTTCAATGTTGCTGCAAATCACTTCGACCAACTGTTTCCTTTTATGTTGCTGATTTATTTGAGCTAGCCAGCTTGATAGGAATGTCACGTCAGTCCCGGATGCCTCTAATTCTGCGATTCTGCTCTCGGACTTGGATCAAAATACATGTAATTAGCGCCAACCCTCCACGCAGTCATCACTTCCTCCAGCAACAGGAAGGCTACTTGCGTCTTTTTCATACGTCCAAGCTCTTTCAATCATTTCACTCAGCGCCAAGAATGGACATCCCGCTTTTAATCCTCTGCGTTGCAACCAGATACCGATGGTGAGCCCTATGTAGACAGAACACCAGCGTATCGTCAATATCAACGACGATCGCAGCTTCCTCTAGGAGCTAGAACGGTAAGGAAGCTGGAGACACGAAATTTGACCAGCGTCTTGGGGATCTGACTAGAAAGGTCGTTGAGAAGGGATTCTACCATCACGATTACTCTGAAATAGATGGGACGGAAGAGGAAGTCGGCCGCGCCATTCAAGAACCCGCCGTTCCCCGCGAAAAGCTCTTCATCACCAATAAGGTCGATCAAAGCATCAACAATATCCCTGCAGCAATTGAGAAGAGTCTCGAGATATTACAAACCAACTATTTCCACTTGTGTGTTTATGTATCGAATCGTCAAATTGACTTTGCGGCAGAAGAACTAGTCGCAGTTATCTAATTCATACCCCATTCTTTGCCAAGTTGGATACCGACTACCAGCGTGCATGGAAGTCAATGGGAAGTGATTAAAGAGGCTGATTAAGCCATATCAATAGCTATAAGCAACTACTTGCACCCTGGTGTCGAGGCTACGCTGTTCCGCGCGACAATTCCACCTGCTTTTAATCATATCGAGTTCCATCCCTATCTGCAGTGCGGAAACAATTACTTGTCGTGACTGCGTGAGAATGGTTTGCAAGTGGGCTCGTTCAAAGGCCTGGCACCCGCACTCAGGGCTCCTAATGGACCACTGCGTGAGCCCTTGGCTCGCATTGCCAAAAGGCATGATACTACTGAGGTAGCTCTTTTGGTCAACTGGACCATACAGAAAAGTAGTGGCTGTAGCCACGAACACAAAGCCTGAAAGGCTGGACGAGTATGCCCAGGCTTTAAGATCTCGCTTACTCAAGATGAAGTACAAGAGATAACAGATGTAAGCGCGACGTATCACTTTCGCACATCTTGGTCGGAGTATTATGAAACAGATGATGGATCATAAAAGAGAGGATATTGTTGCTGCTGCTACTGAGTAATTTAAATTTCTTTTCCTATATGAGCTACCTGAATGAACTTCAATATGCTATAGCTAGAGTGGAGTGTTCAATAGTTTTTCTTTGATAGACCAGTGTTTATGATTCACTTTGTCTGTATATTTTTATCTTGCAGTCTTCAAAACTGTTCATGTTCCGTTGCATATATACCTGGTGAAGAGTTCTACGCATATGGAGCCCAAAGCAAATTCTTCAGAAGTGTTAGCAGATTATAACAGAAGAAGAGGAAAAATTAACATATATCAAAATTTTAGCTCACTTTGCTTTTCTTCTCCCTTTGCACGTCCCAAAACTTTTTATATCTCTCAATGGCCCCTCGGCCGTCTTCTTCCAACAGTATCTGTAGCCACACTTCATCAGGCTGTTCTTGCAAGTCGCAGTCAGGTGTCGCGCCGGCTTCAAGAAGAACTTCAACGATGTCCCAATGGCCGCCGACAATAGCTCCATTCAGTGCACTCATATACTTTCCGCCGCGTACATCAGCGTTGGCTTTTCTCTCCAACAACATCTTCACAGACAAAGCCTGGCCTGAATACGCGGCTGCTTGGAGAGCTGAGCTAAATATTCCGCCCTGTACATTTACGTCGATGCCAGGGACTCGTTCAAGGAGATACTTTGTTTTGCGAGACATGCAATTGATACTCGCACAGCATGAACCTGAATGACTGGCCTTTCTGTGTGCCTCGTCGGGCTTGATCGCGCATGCCACATGGAGCGCGGAGCCCAGCCTCTCGCTCACGATGCTGGTATCAATACCATGCTCGATCAAGATATGAAAGCTTCTGCGCCAATGTTCGTCCTCAGTAGATATTTCATCTTCATAAATCGGGATACCTTGATTGAGTGACGGCCAAAATTGTCCAGATCTATCAATATCTCTAGGTGCGAATTCCCCCATAATAGAATGCAGGGCTGTGCCGTACTCTCTGTGTATATGATTGACATCCATGCCGTGGTTTAGGAGAGGCAGAAGTGCTTTATCACCATCATGAAAAGAGGCTGCATAGCGTACAGCCTTATGCCAGGCAGTATAATCCTGGAAATGAATATCTGCCCCGTGTTCAAGCAGCAGTTGCACCAGCTTGGAGTGGCCCCAGCTGCAGGCCGCCGAGAGCGCGGTCCCATAATTTGCTCCTTGAGCATTCACATCAGCTTTGTGATCAAGCAGCAACTGCGCTACAGGCACTGAGCCTTGCGAGAAGAAATAATCGCTGTCTGGAGTTCTCTTCCAGACACCAGTGTCGCGCTGGTCCTCGCCTTCTTGGCACGCAGCCATGAGCGCTGTTCCGTATTTACCCCCTTGTGCATTGACGTTGGCGCCGTGATTTAACAGCATCTGCACGCGCTCCACATCTTTAAAGTAAACACCACAGGCAATCATCAGGGCAGTTCCATGCTCTTCACTTTGTGCGTTTACATCAGCACCACAGTCCAGTAGCAGCTGAATACACTCGCTACTATTCATCGCGTCGTCCTCGTCATTGACGCCACAGGCAATCATGAGCGCCGATCCGTTCATGCCACCGCTTGCATTGACGTCTGCACTGCGTTCGAGAAGCAAGCAGAGCACTTCTACGTCAGTATCCTGGCAAGCAGCCTGCAGAGCCGATCCCCATTCTCCGCCTTGTTGATTGATCTCGGCACCTCGGTCTAAAAGCAGCTCTAGGAGCTGGACTTTGTTCTGCAGTGAAAATGTATCGCCGCTGCTTTCCATCTCCACAGTAGCTTCATTCCATGTAGGAGTTTCTCTCCGTGCAGCAGCTTGGAGCGGTGTACCGAAGCGACTGCCGCCCTCTGCGTTGACATCAGCCCCGTGATCAAGAAGAAATTGAACGGCCTCCGGCGTCCCCTGATTACAGGCAAGTTGCAGCGCAGTTCCCCAGTTGTCGCCGCCCGGTTGGTCAACTTGGGCGCCGTGATCAAGGAGCAGCTGCATGACGGGGATTGCCTGTTCGGAATATCGTGATGCTGCTGCCGCCGCGTGCAGTGCCGTGCCGTACTCGCCTCCTCGAGCGCTCACATCAGCACCATGCTTGATCAACAATGAAATTATGTCTACCACTGAGTTTGCATTTTGCTTTTCGCGTAGTACAGTGTAGCACAAAGCCTGTAATGCTGTGGCATACTCCCCGCCTCGAATATTGGGGTCCGCGCCGTGGTCAAATAGCGTTTCAATGTTGCTAAGTAATGAGTTGGGACGCATTTCATGTGAAGTGCATGCTACGTGAAGCGGCGTGCCGAAGTTTTCACTCAAAACATTGACACTAGCTCCCTTTGCTAGAAGTAGGCTAATTCTCTCATAACCTTGATACTGTTCAGCATCTATTGCCAAGTGAAGCGCCGTCTGTTGATTTTCATCTTGTGCATCTACGTTGAGGCCGAGATCAAGGAGAAACTCGAAGCTGTTCCTGTCGTAGCTCTTTACCAATGGAAGTAAGTAGGAGTAAGGGCTGGTATTGGCCCCCCCATGTTGTATCAAGAGCTCAAGGACACCAAGATGGCAGCCACTCAAAGCGGCATGTAGTGCTGAACGCCATTTATGTTTGCCGTAGTACACATTGACCGCGGCGCCGGCTTCGAGAAAGAGTTGCACTATGTCTGTGTTTCCCCCATAAGCTGCATATTGGAGCCCAAAATCCAAGTCTTCTTGCGTCAAGTACGTATGTACACCAAACTCCTGGGAGATCAATGTCTCGGTCAGCTGAAGAAAACCACGCTGAGCTGTATAGCAATATGGCTTATTCAGCATGTATAAATCCGGAGAGCCATAGATGTGATTATAATTCAGTAGAGTGAGTATATGTAGGCTCTGGCTGCGTATTGCAAGCGCAAGTATCACCTCGTGTGAGAGCTTGGCCGACCATGACGCGCGTGGTATCTCCTCAAGATGGAGTCCCCAGTTACCTGCCACGTACTCAAACAAGGGATAAAACTTTTCCACCGTCCATCGGTCGATTTCAGTCCATCTTCCAATTATGGTGCCCACGTGTGTGAGGTAGGCGAGACATGAACGCACAATATGTGCATTCGCGTTGATTTCCGTGAAAGAGAAGGCTGAGACTGGCCTTTGTTCTATTCTGCCAGAAGTCAAATACTCTTTGACGGAAAAATGGACTAGGCGAGCTCGAGTGATGCCGAGGAAGTCTTTCGAAGTTATCACCAGGCCAGAGAAATATTTTAATACATCTTCAGAAGAAAAAGGTCGCATATCCTCGTCAAAAGCATTATTATCGTCGGGACTGATAATGAATATTTCTGAAAGTTCTACAACAGTTAGGGCTCGTCTTGCGAATGCAAGCCACTTTAATGAGTTTATCACTCGATTTTGAAATTTGGTATTGATTCTGTCAAGAATCCGATCATATGTTGCATCAAGACCGACAGGAAGGTCTAAGAGAGCCGCGCGGATCTCAGCTGGCGATGATAATTCTTGGATTGTTTTAAGCTGAAATCGCACATATTGAAACCTTAACGCGGGCTGTCAATACCATCACTGTATTAGACGAATACAAAAATTTAATAACTTACATGCTATCTGCCTTTTTAATAAGTGACTGTTGTACTTCTTCCTTTATGTCATCTCTCCAACGCTTAAAATTATCAGTCGCCAGAGTTGTGTTGATATATTGGCGGATATCTTTATTCACAATCTCCTGTCGGGTTAATAAGTCGATCTCGCGTCTTGCCGGTAGAGATAAAAGGGTACGCATTTTGAGATCAATATCTTGTTCTTTGCGGCTTGTTAAGAACACATGGAGGCTTTCTGGTGCCTTTGAAAAAATGTTGGTCAAAGTCTTTAATAAGGTTTCTCTTCGTCCGCCAAGTAGCGGGCATTCATCTAGACCGTCAATGACGATATAGACAGCAGAGAACCTTAATATAGAATCTAACAGCGTTTCTTCCAGCGTTTTAAGATCAGGACGTTCGCCTTTTATTTTATAGTCTTGAAGATGTTTAATCAATTGTATATCAAGCTGTTGAGAACAGATCTGTTTGATTAATGAAGCCAGCATTGCATTTGTTGTTTGTGTTTTAATGTCGCTGAAGCTGTAATAGAAGTAGGCGAGGGAAATTGAATGCATTGATGAATATTGTTCTTTTAGATAACTGATAACTGAAGAGGTCAGAACGGATTTTCCCGAGCCGGCTATAACGAATTTAGTTTCGACTCTAACAACATAGGTGTTAATATACAGGGCAAGAATGCTTGACCTACCTTTCCCATGAAGCCAAAGTAACGAGCGAGCAGTTGTCCTCCAAGTGTTAAATTCCTCACTATGCTTGATAAGCCACTCATTGGTGCCATCCTGATGTCTTTCGCGTGCAGTGTTGTACAATGACGAATGATCAATATCAGAGAGCCACTTCAATAGTTCCTCGCACTCCTTTCTAGATTCCGCATTCTCAGTTGCTAGACGTTCCTCAAGACGCTGCATATCCCGCCAAAGCCACTCAACTGCGAGGAAACATTGCTCTCGTTCGCGAATATCGTTTAATAATTGATCCCAGCCATTCCAGTTGACAGCATCAAGAGTGTGTCGAAGGGCTGAGTTGTTTGAGTAGTAGCAGCAGCTTTTAGCCTGGAATTTCAAGATTTGCCTGTAGAGTCGCTCTAAAGAAGCTTTATATTCGTGATGCGATTGCTGGAACTCCTCATGGCCCTCGGTTCGTAACTCATAGCGCTTGATGTAAAGTTCCTCTCTCACCTGGCTCTGCGCGACAAGAGACGAGACGTATTCTAGTCCTTGTGCTAGGGCAATATTCTGAGTTGAAATATTCATGAATAACTTAATACAGAAAATTAGTAATGATCTCTGCTCAGCCTTGTATGACAATCACACACCGGTAGCAAAAAGCTAACACCGGCCCAAGCTATTGAGGCAGGCGGGCTGGCGCTCACAGCTTGGCTGATGAAGCCATTAGCCGCCTTCATAACATTTACAAGAACATTTGAAACATCCTCAGCTGTTATTTCGGAGCTGCCGAACTTGAGCTTGGTCTTGTTGACGTCGTCCATCTTGCTCTGAAGTATCGCCCACATCCGTTCTTGTATATTCGCTTTTGATTGAAGGGTTTCGCTTAAACCGGCGACAACGCTTCCTTGTAGCTTAATCTCATATTCTTTAATAAGTGTGGCGTCTTCTTCTCGCAGTGTTTCGTATGCCACATTCCAGAGTTGTCGAATAGGGACACTTTCCAGCCGGACCTGGAGATCCTCGGATCGTTTAAAGGAGGCGTTGATGTTTGTTTGATCGATGGTTGAGTCATTGGTGTTGTGAGGTACGCTGAGATGTGCTCCTTCTTGGTTACTTTGGCTTAATTGGGCATCAGCAGAATTTGCCACATCGGGTTGTTGTGTGGATAGAGGGGGCGACTGCTTTCTCTTCCACCTTCCAAACCACTTTTTGGATCTCATAGTTGTGTTGGTTGCGTTGGCTGTGAATATTTCTGTAACCGCTTCTCAACTGCTTGTTGTCGCTTCAGAAGAAGAGGAGTAGGGAATGATGGTTGGAGCCTTGGCAGCCTGATGATGTCTAAGATCGGGTACCTATTTCACCACTGCAGGCGGGTAATAGGGACCACAGCTGCAATGCTCATTGGATACCTTCCAGGCTGTGCAAATTGTACTCAACCTAACCAAAGTCTACCAAAAAAAGGGAATTCTCAAACAATCAACACACATGTCTCAGTGTTACACACCGCCTACAATAACGCTACATATAGCATCTTATCCGGCACCCTGGTAGTTATGGCGCAGGCTACTGCTGCTACCGCTGCTTTTAAATGTACCTATTTTTACACATTAAAATTACGAATTATATATTATAATTACATGTTTATATATACTAACATGATAATACATATTTTACAAATATAGCTATAGCTAAGGTGTTGGATAATAGACCTAGGGTACTAGATTAATTCTTCTATAAAATAGACCTTATCTTTTTACCTTGTATATACATTTTTGGTTCGAGGCGCTCGTCTTCCTTTGCACCCTGTGTGTATGTAAATAACAGAATAGGATCTAAATGCCCGCGACTATCTAAACAGCCAATTACATACAGCTGTTATATCATCTACTAATCTACGCGCTCTGTATTGAAGGTTATTATATGCATAATATGAATACATGTACGTCTTAGTTGTTAATTTTGTTAGATGTTTACACCTTGCAGCAGGTACTATTAACTGTCTGTAGGTATATTTTTTCTTATTGCTTTTTCTAATTTAGGTATAAAGTACATTTATCATAGTGTATTACTTTTTACTGGCGGTTGTTGTATGGTAAAGAACATGGAAGTTCAACTGCCTTGAAGTTAGCGCCTTTTTGTTAGTGCGTGCTAATGCGGTCAAGGTTCCATGTTATTTGCTCATGCTTGGATTGGATAGATCTCCTCCCTGGATGAAATACTACTGAGTAGGTCAAGACCCTGTCTTGTACTTCCATATCACCCGCCGAGCTACAATCCTTTGCTCAGCTTCTGACGATTGAATTGATATGATATGGGACGCCTCAGTCGTGGATGTCTGCGCTGCCGGCAGCGTCGTGTCCGCTGCGATGAGGGGCGGCCGTCTTGTCAGCGCTGCATCCACCGCAACGAGATTTGCGAGGGATACCGCGATGAATCGTCACTCATATTCCGCCACGAGACGGAAAAGGTGATTGAATACTCGCGCGCAGTGCAAAAAGTGACTCCACCGAGTTACAAGGATCCATCGCATTCTCTCCCGCGGAAACGAAGCAGATCTGCCAATGCCAGCTCAGCTTCTCGACGGTCGTCGTCTTTCTCATCGTCACTCGCTCCAGAGGAAGCTTCGGTCATCACCTTGCGCAATCCCCAGCCGTGGCTCAAGGAGCTGCCGGCACCATTCCAGCAGCCTCTAGAAGAACAGGCTGTAGATCAGTTCATAGATAAATATGTCTTGTATCCCTGCAATCAGACGTCTTCTCCCGGCTTCTTGGAGCATCTGCCTTGCATGTTTAAAGAGGTCAACGTTGAGGGCCGGTACGCGCTTCGCTGGGCTGTTCAGGCGGCAGCATATGCAGACGCCGTCTCACAAAATCAAGAGCGCAATGCACTTACAAGTAAAGCTCTACAATGTTACGGCATGGCACTCAAGGCTTTAGGAGAGTCACTCTCTACACCAGGCAAAGAACCGGATGACTATGATCTAATGACAGTAGTTGTGCTGGATATTTTTGAGGTGAGTATATGATATAAGACATGCATACAGTCTCCGTCTTTACTGATGTTTCAGACATTATATACTCCCAACGAAGTCAGCAAAGGATCGCACGTCCAGGGAATGGCGCAACTGCTTCGTTTGCGTGGTAGTAATCTGGTCTACAACGCGCGCGGCTGGAGTCTTTTTCGACTTGCACACCATCGAATTGTAAGGACTAAACATGGATTTCACATTGAACTGTGCCCATTAACAACACGAAGCAAAAACACCGATTAGCATATCATGTGTTGCAAATCCCCGAAACGTCAACCTTGCTCAACGAGTTGAATGGCAGCGAGCCCTCGGTCCGCCTCGAGAAGAATGCCGACGACATCCTTGAGACATGCAAGCGGGCGCGGACCCTGTTAGGCCTTATCACTGCAGGTGGGCTACCGGCATCGACTGTTGTCGACATGATCAAGGAGTTACATTCCTCCGATCAAGAAGCAGTCAGTTGGCGGCAGACATCACAGTGGTCTTTTACCAGCATAGCCGTCTCGGAACGGCCAGATCTCGCTTCAGCAGCGCAAGGCATCACGGAAACTATTCAGCTGCATTCGGATGTATGGATGGCCTACGAGTGGAACTATCACAGGACAGCGCGCATCATCTTTCTACAGCAACTACTGCAATGCTCCAGAGCCGCTCTAGAGACCCCAGATCTAGAAGAGGCCTATGAGCAGACGCTTCACAATACCATCGCAGAGTGCATTTTGACGATTCATTGGCTAGCCGACGAGTTTCTTGCTACCGTCCCTCAGTCTCTCGGGGATGTTAATCAGATGGGTCGGCTCCATGATAGCAACGACGGCCCGCCTCGCTGCCGTGCCATCGGCGGATATCTGCTTCTATGGCCGACCCGTACCGTCAAGGCGGAAACATCTGCAGTAAGCGTAGAGCAAAAAGAGCGCGCGCAGAGGGTGTATGAAAAGATTCGCGAATGTACCGGAATGAGAGATCTTCTAGGCGATAATAGTGTCATCTGATATCCCACGCTCACCTCTATCTAATCACGAAGAGTGTGCGTGCCTATCTAAGTACAAAACATAAGGCCAACATCAATGTGTGGCCCGATATGAAACGACCTTATAACATCTCATCTCTTGACGGCAACCTCATCCAGCTCTGTCCCATCCGCCAACTTGACCTTCTCTGCACTTAGCGTCACAAAGCAAATCCGGCATATCTCGTCCGTCCTGTTAATCCATTGGTGACTCACGCCCCCTTGGATGAGGAACTCTCCCGCTTTGACAGTTCTCTCCTCTCCGCTCTCGAGCTTCATGACGATCTCGCCGCTAATCACGACGCCATAGTCCAGACTCAACGTCCGGTGCATCGGTACGGTGAAGTGAGGTGCGATGTTGCTGATGCAAAAAATGGCGCCGCTGGGCGGGCAGCGTGGGATCATGTTTGGGTAGTTTTGTGCAGGCTCCGTGTTGTTGACGGGCACCGCGTTGCGCACGTCAAATACGGCAAAGGACGAACCAGCCGGCCCCATGGGGTGGAATAAGGGGACTTCACTGTCGGAACCAAAAATGGCGGCTCCTGCTGCGTCGTGCGTCGTGGTGACTATGCGAGGGTTGGAGCTGGGAGAAGACATGGCGAAGATGATGGTCGAAGTGCTTGAATGCGTGTATAATGAAGGCTCTTGTCAACTTTGGTTACGTCGGCCTGTTGTTGGGCAGACTTGAGCTACTGAATAGACAGTGAGCTTAAATATTTCAGTAGTTGAACCTCCCAGCGTTTCTTGGGCTGAAAGTAGAGATATCTAGAGCCCAATGCTATCGCAGGATGAAAATTGATGCGTTGAGAGTGAGGAGCGGCTGGTTTGCTGTATTGGCAGGGGGGAATTGGTGCTGAACCAAAATCATCTTTTGTTGTCGGAACTTTAGCTCACTTATATAGACAAAATATGTCTCCATCATGCCAAATTCAGTATTTTTTCAGTCTACCGAAAGTAAACGTCGAAAGCAAAGCTCGCCATCGTGTTCGCAGTACTATCTGGATCTGGAAATCTGGACGAGACGGCTCCACGTCCGAAGCTCGCGCCGCTAACCGCAGACGGAAAGTTGGACGATGGATGGGCCAAGGATGCATCGCCCGTCAGATGACGTTGACAGCTTGTGCCGCTTATTATAACCCTGCATATAAGAGGCGGAATTTACACTTAAAAAAGGGCTTGAAACTAGCTATTTTTCTGTAAGCCACAAAGATAGTTCAAACACTACGGCGATGCAGTAAACAAAAGGACACATTATCAAGCATCTTGTCTGGTGTAACAAGCATCCGACAAAGCAAGCCTTCTTCAAACGATTCTCAGTCTTATAGAAAACTTTGCTAGCAATCTTTGAATGATGGCAAGTCATTTCAAAAGCCCAGTGAGAAATTCTTACTATTCCCGAACCCTCTTTGTTGAAGTTAATTCATCTTTCTCAACACTCTCCTTGAACAGTGGTTCACCAAGCAATGTGTTATTGACCCAGCCATTGAAAGAAATTGCTTCAAATGGAATTTCGTTGATTCGAAGCTCATACTTCATTCCGCGATCTCAATCTAATCAAAGTCTCCCGGTTAAGTATATATGTGCTTAGTGATGATAGGGCAAAGGCTCACAAGTTGCTTGAAGTTTTCACAAAATTTCGTTCGAACCGAGTTTTCAAGATCATACGTACTCCAGCTACCTTTCATATGCTGAAGAGTAATTCGGACAAAGGACATCGTAACTTCGCCTCCTGAGTAAAAAGAGCCTTTCGCAATTGGAATAAAAGTAGCCAGCTGACGACAAAAATTGTTAACCATCGTGGGACGAAACTGATTATGAAGTCAAGAACAGTCAATTATCGTAGAATGTCGTGGATATTGCGTGGCATAAACATCCGTTATACCCTTAGCGATGGCATCTCGATCAGCCTGCGACCATACGCCTTCGGGGTGGTAAATGCGGTTCCAAGGCATGATGATACAAAGGATTTTTACAATTTTCTGTACTTGACGCTGTATCTAAAATGATATGAGAAGTAGAGGGGAATGAGTAGTAGAATTTCATTGTAGTTTATGAACCGTTGAGCGGTGTCGACTGCCTTTTATACTTCACGCAACTGAGAGAGTATACTGCCATATAAACTCTCATATGACTCATTACACCAGTCATTCACGGCATCTCCGGGTTGAAACTCTGCAATTTTTCTCACAGATGGTGGAGATCAACATACACCAACAATGAAAGCTATTAGCGTAGTAACAGTTCCATCGGTGTATTCGGCTGCAGTTCTTAGCAACCCTATCGCAGAAACGCCTTCAACTCAAATTTCAGGTGACACAACAACATCTGCTGGCTCTAAAATATCTGTCTTTAGTCACAAGTACCAGGTTTAAAGATTCCGTTCAAGTTCAGACCGAGACACGAGGTCAAGTTTCAAAGGTGCAACCAATGCTAGCATTTACGTTACCTCGGTATCTACACTCGCTCTTGTATCCGGAAGCCCAATCTCACTCCGACGCAATTGATACATTGACCTCTCATGCCCTATTGATCCCCTGCCTTCCCAATTGCTACACCTATATGTCGTCATATTACGTCAAATACAACTGCAGCTATGGACAAGCGAATTATGTTTTGACTCAATGTCTTAAAGATGCGCTCAAGACCTTTTTTTTTTGTCATTGACATAGAGCATATAGAGAAGCAGGTCGGATATCTTGGTCAGCATTCAGGCTATTTGGTTACCTCGATGAATTGATTATCTTATCACAGGGTATCAAAACGGTATGTATGCTTGGTAATATTATGGAGCGCTCCGCCTGAAGCGCGATTGCTTTATGGGGATGTCAAGGACTATTGTTGCTTTGTAAGGAAGTGTGAAGTCTTCCGAAAAGGCAGGACACGAGTAATATAGCCAATCATTCGTCCAGTCAAAACATTGGTCATCACTGCACTTCTCTTGAACATATCTGGATGACAATTTTAAGAAGCTGCATAGATTCCGCTAAAGATTTTATCACTCTCAAGCGTAGCCTCACAACATCATTGGATACTTCATTTTATAGCTTCGCACCAATTTGGAAGACTATGAGCATATTTATTGTCACATACTTGGCTTTTTTCCTTTGCGTCAGCCTGCATAGGTAACATGATAACTACTCCTATCTGCTTCATGTTATTCCGAAGCTCAGTGCGGTTTTTGATACATAGTTTGCGTAATTCACAACTATCTCGTAAGGTATCTCAAATCCCAGTTCGCCTTAGTTTTCTCAGGATGATATTCCTTCCCTGCCCATGGATTTCCACAAACGTGCAAATGCGCATAGGGCGTCCCGTCAAACATGACCCAAGCCCCTTCATTGCGGACCGTGTTTGGCAACCCATCCCGCTTCGAGTCAAATGGCCAAATGATCATGTAATGTGGCCCAATTGGGATTGCTGGGCTTGTGACGTCCGAGACACTAACACTGCTGTGTTGATTTGCACCACACAGCATGTAAATCATTCCTGGTGCAGTATTGGTTGGCTTTTCCTTGCCTGCATAAGCGTCTTTGATCCATTGGAGACCTTGTGCGTCACAGCACATGGGCACGTTTCCAATGTGGTTTTCGTTGCCCGGGAAACATGTCCAACCATTCGTTCCTTCGCGTAAGATCGTTATCTTGCGATCATGAGTCCATTCGGCTACAGTGGCGTCTTTGGTGACCTGAATAGGGCCAGATGCGAGAGCTCTGTTGATCTTGCAAGAAGTGGCTTCCTCTGCTTCGCTTAGACGAACATTGGGCTTTGCCGGGTCTGGTACACAGCACTGGAAAGCGCTAGCATATACAAATGATGACATACTGAACAGTAACGTGAAGTTCAATGTCGGGGAGAAGACTTTAGAAAGAAGTATAAAATTTATAAACAAGTATATTTATAATTTACAGAATTGGGCTATATATACTTGTGCGTGTGTTTTTGTATATATATATATATATATATGTCTATACGTTTGCTACTTTGACAATGATTGAGACGCCTAATATGATAACACCAGGACAGCGAGCAAGGAACCTCAAACAAAGTCCAACGTTGTCCCTGTTCTCCGCCTCCCAGCCGGGTCGGTCGGCATATCCTGCCAATCAAACGCAGAATCCATGACGCAAGCGTAGCAAATCTTGGCTATGAAATTCTGCTATCTTCAGAATTAAGACGCTTGAGGGTTCGATCGTGGATCGCACTCAGATCATTGCGTCATTTTACCTCGGCTTCAAGATATCATTGCGAAGTAGTATAAGCTTTAGTTCTGAAAATAGGAATCTATTCCAATTTAATTCTTCAGGCAAAGCAGAATTGACACCACAGCTGTCAATGATGCAGATGATCTCAGCCTGAATTGCGCCGCTGTAAATATCCTTCAACAGTATAGGAGCATAACACCTTCGATGCATTGCGCACCCCGTTGCATCTGAATGCTTACCAATGATGCCCAAAATTGGTAAGTTTAGTGGTAAAGATCGCTCGTTGATTAGTTTCGGTCTTCAGTGTGCTAGTACTATTGGGTCGAGATTGGTCATGCTACCGAGGTATGGCATGCAACGTATATGGATTCAAGCGTAAGTCTAACATCATAGTGGCCGCTACCTTTGTCACCTGTGTAAACCGTCTCATTTTTGGCGAAAGGAAAACGCACCAGCTACTGCAGCTCATTAGTTTGGCTTTTACTGTAAAAGGGATCAATCTATTGGTCATCACCCATCACGTCTCCTAATTTGTTGAGAGAAATGCGACGAGTACTATCGGTTTGAAACCTACACTAACTCAAGGGACCCAAGTGAAGTGATTCGTCAGACACGCTGAATTCAATGTATATGTACCCTACAAGAAAGCTTGGCTGTATCAACGACCAGAACCTAGCAAAGTCTGCGTAGGGTGGCACTCACTTGAGAAACGTACTATCTTCGCAATATTGTATGAAGCCTTTCCAGGAATGGAGCATGGAAAACGACTTTTCATCCATTTCATCGACTGGGAACGAATAAAGTCCAACATGGGATTGATCCAAGCCAGGCATTCTAAAACATGAATCGCAGTCGGATAGGCTTAAGAACTTGCATTTAAATCAAAGGCCATTGACACTGTAGAGGGAATTGAATAGTTATCACCCGCTGATCCTTACCAATAGGAAAGCTGCAGACTGAAGTGGGAGATGCTGACCAAGCAAGACAACTTCCCCCCCTCCCCACCCCCCCGGCTTGAGTGTCGCTCACCGACGCCCTCAATGACCAAGGCATGTTGTGAGAGTTTCCAGCTTTTTTTTTTCTCCTTGGAGAAAAAAACAACAGGGCTAATTATTGCCAAAATTTGCTTTCGTTACCTCGGCATGTGTGACTCGGTTGTTATCCAGTGAGTTGACTAGTTACTGACACAGCTATAAATTGTGGTATCCCCCTATTGTGTTGATATGGATCTCTTCCTATCTCTACTGTGGTCAGGTAAAACTTCTTTTCGACTCTATTCTAAATTCTCGTACGCTTTGATGAACAGCTACCTTAGTGCCAGCTGCATAAGCTCAACATGGTCGTCGGCAAACCACGCGGTATGCTCAAGTGGCGGGAGCATCTCTTGGATCCAGAAATTCGGTTTCCAAATGAGTCGAGTGACTACCGACAGGCACGAGAAGTCTTACTGGCGAAAGAGTGAGAGCTTCGTTTGTTGACGGAATCTGTTGCGGCCCAACGCCGCGCGTTGCCTCCATGCGGTCTTGTCAAAGAGGACTACGTTTTCGAATCGGCAACAGACGGTAGCAAAGTGCGATTGTCAGATATGTTTGACGGAGATAAAAAGTCGCTTGTCGTCTATAATATGATGTTCCCACGTTGGTGTGGAGCTGAGCGAGTGGCGGTCCCAGAAGGCAGTATTGCTGAGCTTCCCCTGGACGAGTAACCATGTCCTTCATGTACATCGCTTGTAGACGGGCTTGAGGGATCTGCTTTTCATTTATCGAGCAGAAAAAATCTTGTGGTTGTAACCAAGACAAGTCCTGATCGTCTTGGTACCTTCGCGAAAGAGAAAGGTTGGCGCAATATTCGACTATTATCCTTACGGAAAAACAGCTTCAATCGCGACTATCATTCCGAAACAGACGAAGGTGTTCAGCGCGCAGTTCTTCATGTCTTCACCCGGCATGACGATGGCATCGGTCATCACAGGACTAGTGAAATGACTTTCAAGAGCGGTGAGACCAGCTCGCTGGATCCGATCTGGTCTATCTACGGGGTCTTGGATGTTACTCCTGAGGGACGAGGAGACAGGGCAGCTTTTCCGAATTTTACAGTATTAGGCTAGTAGGTGGCACTTGATGTCCCAGCACTTCCGTAGACTCCAGGAACAGTGAAGAGCACAAACTCGGCAAATTAACAGCAATCAGAACTCCCAACTACCAATAGTATGGATTTTGGGGGTTTTATGGAAAAATAGACGTCACGTTCCAGGACTGGCTGCTCATCGCTTAGCCTACTGCTTTGTCAAGTCGTCCGATAAATGCTGCGTGCTGACTTCATGTTCGTTTTGCGAGAAAGCGGCTGTCCTCACGATGACTTTTGCTTGCACAGTACAAGACGCTAGAAGATCAAGTGAAAATGTTAAGCAAAGAATTGGCTTTGCTTGAATCGAGATTGGAAAAGGCGCAGTCTATTACTGGCAAGCATATGACCGACTTTGAGAGCAAAGTTACTGGAATAGTGGAAGGCTAAGATACGGCATCTTCTTTCGTAGAGGTTATCAATCACGTGTTTGTCATACACTGTAAAGGCAGCCACGGGACACTAGCACAAGTATAACGTTCTCCGTAACCTTTTGACCAAGGATTCACGATAACAACCATTGGACTAATGTGAATGTTTGCTTGAAAGCTCGTAGAAGATGTCACCAAGTGGTAGAACTTGGTTCATTGTACTATAATGTAAATTGAGTATTAAAAACTAGCAATCTATATCATTTAAATGAGGTAAGAAGTGAACTTATATGTCCAGTTGGTGTGGACGAGATGAAAGAGAGCCTTTGATCAACCCAAGGATCGATACATTGTCCACCGATCCCCTATTGTATTGGTGAAATAGGTCTCAAATCCCTTCTGTAAGAGGCAGATCGTCATAGTTGTCCAAGTATTTTATACTCGGCATAGATAGCTTCCAACTTCCTGGAAGCCTTCATTACCAACACATGTATGACACCAAAACACATTGTCTGGATCAACAGTCTTCTTGATCTCGCTCAATCTCTTATAATTAGAGCCCCAGAAGGCTTTCTGGAAATTAGGCTCATTCCAATAGGCCTGTATTCTTAGTTAGTGCTTCGCTCATCAAACACAGAGAGAGTAGAAAAGCCATGCCTCATTAAGATAAGCTCCCGAGTCCGGTGCCAATTTGCGAAAAGCTTCAACTTGGACATTATTTATGTTATGTTCAACAGCGCTTCGCTCAATTTTATTGAGTGGCGACCACTCTTGCGAAGTGACTGAAAGGTGTCAGAGTCTTAAAGTCATACTGCCGGGACAACAATATGGAACTGGACTTACCCGCGTGAATCAAAGCTTTTCTCCATGCGGGGTTGATGGCATTACCGCCACCCCTTGGTTTGGCATCCCAAACGCCTGCTCCAGCGACCATGTATAATCTCCCTCCAGCGGGTCCCAGGAAGTCGACTAGAGCATCTCCAAATGCATTTTCTTTCAGTGTATCTGGCGGCAGAAGCCATGATCCGACTACCTTGTCCACACCAGCCCCGTTATCATCCGCAAATTTGAGGAACATGCTGTGAAAGTTGGGAAAGACAGTTGAGGCCACCTTCGTCGTTATCTGATCGGGGTAAGTCTTGTTAATTTGTCGCACATAGGGTTCAAGCAAACTCTCCAATGTACTTGATGAAGGAGGATCGTATATCGCGAAGACTGCTTCAAGGGTTGCCTTGTCCCCTCCGAGTCCTGCGGCGCTGGTATTGGGATATAGATAGGTGAATGCCGCGACACTCGAGTTGGCCAGAGTGGGGTATTGTGCTATCATATAAGCTACACTCTCCCAATACGCCGTTGAGTTTGGTGCTGTCTCGATGGTAAAGTCATATACCGCTATGGGCTTGGATGGAACCGTACGAACAGTCACCTTGGTCAAGACTCCAAAAGTGCCCCCGCCGCCCTGAAAATGTTAGGAATCTTCGTAGTGATGGAAGGAGTGTTGAGAGTTAAAGAAGAATTACTTACACCTCGAACTGCCCAGAACAGGTCGGTATTCTGACACTCGTTCGCAGTGATTACTTCTCCTTGGGGGGTTACCATCTCTACCTCATAAACCTGATCGGATCCGAGCCCGAATATGTTGGATATGGGGCTGTGACCACCGCCAGTGAGGTACCCGCCCATAGTCACTTCGGGCCCCATCCCATCAACGATGGTCAGGTTGTATTGATCCAAGTGAGAGTATATATCACTGACATATGATGCGGCCCCCGCAGTCACAGCTGTTGTTTTAATCGTATTTTTACAACCCTTTGGCTTAAACTCGCTGTGTAGTTTGTATCCTCCGAACATATATCTGGTCCAGATGGAAAGAGAATAGGGTGCTGTGGATCTGTTTGCTGAATCAGATATGCACCTCATCTTAGCAGAATCATTCTCTTACCGCTTCAGATAGTCATGTCCTGATGCTTTGATGTTCAGTCTCACTTTATGCTTTCTAGCAAAGTTAATAGTTTGCTTTATATCGTTTGCAGTCGTTGCATTCACAACGTAAACTGGATATCCCAGCCCACTGCACGGAGCATCTGCTGTTGGCAGACAGGAGTCGTTGTTCATATTGTTCCACGCCGTACTAATAGGATCGTCCTGATGAAAGGCGAACGAGCTCCACGATTTTTGGATGTCTGCGCAAGAGGCGTTGGATGCAGGATCAGAGGAGTGGCAGGCTAGTGCTGGTGGCAGCGGGTGTAGCAAACGCCCGGATAGGGTCTCGTTGAGGTGATTCCATTCGGAGATGCTAGGCCAAGATACATCATTCGGAGTCGATTTGCAAGTCGTAGTGGCAGCATCTGCATGGCGCAGTGATGAAAGATGAAGGAGTGTTTGGAAGACTGGCAGCAGCCTCGAGTGATGGACAATCATCTTCCTATGAGACAACTTTAAGGAGAGAAGAGCGAAAAGATAAAAATTTGAGTGTTTTGAGTATAAGAATAAAAACAATTGCAAGTTCAGGCAGAATAATACTGCAACATCAGACGCATACGTCGCGAGTCTTATATACACTTGTATGTGGAGGCTTGGGCCGATCTGCGCTTCCGTACTGCGGATTCCGCAGTTTTCGCAGTTCAGCGTCCCGGCCCTAAGCCCGCGCCCCTTTCCCATCTTACGACGCGCAAGCAAGGGTTTCGCCTCTTCACAGCTTCAATAAGAGGTTATTTCATTCGTGCATTAAATTGATAATAATTTGTTTTGACTGGAATTGTACAAGCAAAGTGACGGAGGCCGGTGGCGAGACTTCAATCTTGTTCACCAGGGCAGGTGAGCCCGGGCAAGTTTACCATGAATCTATCTTGTTTGGCTATAGGCAATGGCTAGGGACTGCAACTATTCTCAAATTATATCTAATTGCTCGTCTCCAATTTGATTGAGGTTGATATAATTATCCCACTCTTCCCACCACTGCGTGTTCAGGTCCGTCAGAGCCCATGGGATTTGCTCAGTCTGCTCAGCATCATCGTTTCTAGAGCCGTATTGCCGAGCCTCGCTTCTCAGGTTTCGTATCGCTGTTTCTGGGAGCCTCTCGGTAAAGGTTTCGGTAACCGTTTTCCATTGCTGCATTGCCAACGGCCTCCCCGTTTTCGAGTCAATGTTCCTTTGGCGACATGCGTGAAAGATTGCGTCAAACATAACAGACGCCCCTAGCTTGTTTCTTACAGTCAACTCACTCATGCCGACAGGAACTCCTTGTTTCAGAGTATCAATAAGGGCCTCGATGTGGATGGCAGCGCGCGTGAGTTCTCTACGCTCCGGAAATGAATGGAAGATTTTATGTGATTCTATAATTAAGCCCATCGCTTTGTTTCTCTGAGTCGGTGTGATTGCCATAAAGGTGGCCATAAATCTGAAGAGGAACGTCGTCGCGTTGAAAAGAGACGTGAAATAAGGCTCCGGTATGGTTCTCAGTAGGTCATTGAGATTCAGCTCCGCTAAACGGTCCTGTCCAAGTTTCGTGAAGTGAGTGATGAGACTTGAAGCAGCGTCGAATGCTTTCAAAAGGATCGTTTGACGATAAATCCTCCAATGCATATCTTGATCAGAATCTGCAACTGCTGGTTTGGTAAAGGTTAGAGCAAAGACGTGCAACTTGGAATTGCACCACTCAGTCTCCAATTCTGGTCTCCACGAGTCACGATTAGCCTGTTTGAGTTTGTGCAGCTGTTCGTTGAATATCTCGGTGGTTGAGAAGTGTAGAGCGTGGTCATCTATGTTGCTGAGAGTGTCAAGCGCGGAGACCGTAATCTTGAGGATTGTGATTAAGACCTTCCACCAGGAAGGAACTTGATTCGATGTGTTATTAAGAGCTTCGCCAATGGACTTCATGTGCTGCTGCGATATTGGTGAAGGAAAGCCAGAAATTGTAGCAACTCTGCGCGAGCTGTTAGTAGTTGTGCATCACGTATATATCTCCACCATTACTCACGAAATTCCCACCTGGAAGCAGCCTAGCCATGTCCAAGCATGGTCCACCTCATCTACTACACTCTCAGGCACGAGGCCGAAGCCAGGCCACATGTTTTGCCGTCTATCGGAAGGCAAGGGACTATTGCACTGTAGTTGCACTGCTGCATGGACAGCAAGGCCTACATAGTTCCAAGCTGGATTGTGGAAATATTGAGATTGAGGAAAGGGCCACAAACAAAGAAGAAGTAAGGCATGAATCGTTTCAATTCGCTGAATGGCCTTCCTAAGTATGGGCGACAGGAGTTCCTCGTGGCTGGCAGCTACTTCGTTGTAAACAGCCGTATGGCGGTCATGCTCTCGGCTGGCAATGAGCACAATAGTCCAAAAAAGCAACGGTGATCGGGCAAGCAAATCGGACAGTGAGGTAACCGGTTGCAAAAATATCGCGTAAGGGTAATAGTGCAAGCCGAAGCTCCGAGTTGAGTTAATACAATATAACGATTGAATTGAGGGTCGGCAATACATACTATTGGAATAATTCAGTGGCAGTTTGAGCATCAAGGGTAAGAGTGTTCAAAGCGTAAGAACAGGCTGAGTCGCTGTCTGTAATGTTGAACCATAGCGAAGCTTGGCCCCGGACAGGCCTCACAGACGCTGTAGTATTGCCATCCGATACATACTGAGAAGATGTGACTGTTTCCGTAATAGATGGCCTGGCATAAGAAGCACCTTCGATAGAGCGCAAAGCGTGTAATTCTTGACTAATTTCTTCTGTAATTCTATTTTAGTGAGAATAGCGTCATCAGCGCTGGAGAGCAGCGCTTTAACCAACCTCCTTGTCGGTATGCGCCTAAAATTGGCATCAAATCGACAGTCCAGCTGCTTTAACCTGCACCGAGAACATTGGCCATTTCGGATCTTTCGTGCATCGCAAGCAACCTTGGCCTGGCGACAGGAAGTGCAACTTTTAGCGCGGCCTGTAGATTGCAAGTTTGTTGGAAGCTGTGATTTAGCCAATCTAGATTTGTCCATCGAGATTATAAGGAAGCGAGCTTCTAACAAAGTTTAGTTGGCTCTATAGGAGGCTGTACAAGTTGCGGTCAGATTCAAGATTTTGGAACAAATACCTGGAGCTAAATATGTAAGATTCATTCCCTGCTATATTAGTGGCTTACATAACGCGAATTGTAGATTCTGAAAGTGTACCGGAGCGAGAGGGCGCCAGGAAAGCTTAATCTATGAAACAGCGAGGTTGTTATGAGCTATACTCCACTTTCAGAGTAAAACTGCTGCCGTAGCAGTCACGATATTTGGTTCTTATTTTCTGTTACGGCAAGAATTGATTAACCTCTCTTTGTGTCAGTGGATCAGCATCTAGTCGTCAAGAACCCACGCCGCCCTAATCGGCCTCACTGGCTAGCAACCTTCTCTCTCATCGAATTCAAAGCACTGCCCGCTCTCAGCCACCTCAACTGCCCCTCGCTATATGTGTGCTTCAAATTGCAATCCCATATGTCCCCCGTTTTCGTCTGTACGTGCATTACCACAGTCGAAGCCGGTTTCAACTCGCCTTCCTCAATACCCCTGAAAGTGATCCGATCACCTTCCTGTATACGATCATAGTCCGCAGGCTCAGCAAAACTAAGAGGCAGCATGCCCTGTTTCTTCAGATTTGTCTCGTGAATACGGGCAAACGAGCGCGCAATGATAGTTAACCCGCCAAGGTAACGTGGTTCCAAGGCAGCGTGTTCGCGAGATGAGCCTTCACCGTAGTTCCAGTCCCCGATGATGCACCAGGGTGTGCTGCGGCGTTGCAAATCGCGCGCGACTTCGTGGATGAGCTCCACATTGCCGTCCAGCGGATGGATGGTGTGGCCAAGCATCGTAGATGTGGAGGGGAGGAAAGCATTGCTCGTTGCGAGAAGCATATTATGGCTGATGTTTTCGAGGTGGCCGCGGTAATTATACCACGGACCAGCTGGGGATATATGATCGGTTGTGCATTTGCCTTTGACTTTGACGAGGATGGGCATGTCGGTCGTGGCGCCCGGTTGCCATGGCTTGAATGGCTGAAGAAGCTGGAGACGATCAGAGTTCGGATTGATATCGACTTGAAGATGAGCGGAATTCTCTTGAGGTGGCTGATAAAGGTCTTGACCGGCTGTGAATTTAGATGGTAGCTCGATGCTTGTTGGCGCTGTGAAGCGGAACTCTTGTTGTGAGCCATTGACAGGCAGTGCATCTGTTGCGGGATTGAAGTCGATGCGACCTGCGTAAGCAAAGGCTGTGACCAATTCCGGCGATGTCACAAAAGAGCATGTCTCCGGATTCCCATCGTGACGGCCTACAAAGTTTCGGTTGAAACTCGAAACGACAGTGTTGCGCTCGTGACCTTTGACATCGACATCAGTTCGGTCCCATTGCCCCACGCAAGGACCGCAAGTAGTGCTGAGCACAACTGCTCCAGCATCGCGTAGCGTTTGCAAAATGCCCTCGGCCTCGGCTGTAGCTCGAATGTTTTCACTGCCGGGAGCTACCATAAATGGTGTCTTGATGCGGTGGATGCCAGCAACTTTTGCCTGCTTCACTAGCTGCTGTGTCTTGTATAGATCTTCATAAGAGGAATTCGTGCAGCTTCCGACCATAGCGTGACTGATTCTAACAGGCCAGTCGCTTTGCCTGACTGCATCCTTCAGCTGAGAAAGAGGATGCGAAAGATCCGGTGTGAAAGGTCCGTTGATGTGTGGCTCTAGAGTGTCCAGGTCTATCTCAATGATGTCGTCGTAGTGTTTCTCTGCACCCTCGTCAGGCCGAAGAAGGACGTCTTTGTATGAGTTTGCTAGCTGCGCAATGCCGGATCGCTTAGTCGTTGAGAGGTATCGAGCCATGGAATCCGTGAAGGGGAATATGCATGATGTTGAGCCAATCTCGGCGGACATGTTGCACACAGTTGCCATCGCAGTAGCACCCAACGTCTCTGTTCCAGGCCCAAAGAACTCAAATACTTTGCCCTTGCCTCCCGAGACTGTAGTGATACCAGCTAGCTTGCAGATAACATCCTTTGAGGATGCCCAGCCATGGAGCCTGCCAGTAAGCCGAACTCCAACTACCTTGGGACACATGAGTTCCCAGGGCATGCCTGCCATGGCGTCCACGGCATCAGATCCGCCGACACCAATGCCAAGCATACCAAGTCCTCCAGCATTTGGCGTATGCGAGTCAGTGCCGATGATGAGGCCGCCGGGGAAGGCATAATTCTCAAAGATGGTGACGTGAATGATACCTGCACCGGGCTTCCACCAGCCGATGCCGTACTTCTTTCCAGCACTGCTCAAAAATTTGTATACTTCTTTGTGCTGTATTAGTCCGCGCTTCAAATCCTCATCAGCACCGTCGCGCGAGACGATTAGGTGATCACTGTGTATGGTAGTTGGTATCTCGACCTTGGGCAGCCCAGCACTTATGAACTGCAGCAAAGCCATAGTTGCTGTAGCATCGTGACAAGCCACTCGATCGGGCCTCAGTTGCAACAACGTCTCACCTCGTCGTATCTCATTCAGATTCCATTGAGCCTGAGTGGTGTCAATCAGGTGACTGTACAGGATCTTCTCAGTCAGAGTGAGTGGGTGATCCGAACCCGCCTTGACCTTTTCCAATTGTACAATGCGTCTATCATAGTCTAAGAGCGTATCTGGATTCAAAGGGCTAATCGGAATCCGAGATGCGACAGATGCTAGCCGGCGTAAATGTGGAAAGCGTCTTATAGCACGCAAGCGAGGGTGTGCTGCCCAAAGGGCACGAGTCTTATTGGAGAACATTAAAAGTGGCCGCTCGGCGGGTATGACCACAGAGGAGTACAACAACATTGAAGACAAGGAGTCATGGGAGATATGAATGAAACACAGAACCATACAAAAGAAATTACGATCGCAAGAGCGTCACAGAGCAACGTTGTTTGTAGCTTTCGGTGGGCCGGAGTGCTCCGGGCCTCTAGTGGATGACTCCGGCGCACTATAACTGCATGTGGAGTAAGTCGACCGACGTTAGGTCCGGGCCTCGTGATTCTGCTCTTCGAGGCGAAGAAGAAAGAGTATCTTTCTCTGAAATAGACACGACATCCTCCAAGCTGACTTTTAAATAGAGGATAACGAAGATTGGAAGTACAGTTTCAAGCCTAAAAGTGCATCTAATGATAATTTACCTAGCCAGACCCCATCCGTCGCAGAGTTAAAGACAGTTGTTGCAAACGTTCTTAATACTACATAATTATCTGAATAAGCGGCTGCTTAGACTGGCCATATTCATTTAAAGTTGCTCGAAGTATATTTATACACCCTCTAATAGCGCTTCAAACTAAATGCTCCGCACATTTGGGCTAAAGGGCACTGTTTTTAGTATTAATTGCACTTGGATAGCAAATGAAATAATGAATTTAGTTACCGCCATATATAAGAAGAATCTAAATTTAGTCTTTGCAACGATCAAGTAGCCAAGCCCAAGGAAAAGACAGTATTCGAGAGCTATATGACCAATTCAAGCACAAAGACAAATTGGCAAAATTGCATATAGAAGAACCCTCTTGCCCTCATCGGTTTGTTATAAGATAGTCCAAGAAACAAAGTGTAGAAAAAAAGTGTAGAGAAGAAAGCAAGAGACGGGATAAGGCCGACTATACTGCAGAGGCTGGAGACGATGGAAATGATGCTGGATATCGAGCTAGATAATGCGGCGCAAGCGAGTATGTCCCTACGTATTGGGAAATAAAAAGTAAAGTTAAGTGGCAACAAAGCCAGGATAGATACAGTCGATAAGTGAATTACATATGTGTCTCAACTCATCGTCGTTGTCGTCGTCACAATCAAAAATAGAATTTATACATGCCTACGTAACGATCAAAATGAATATGCTTTGACCACGTCTTTTCGCTTATCTTCACTCTTTCTTCACGCAACCACATAATCAAGGCTAGTAATTTCACCAGTGAGCGTGATTCAGCGTGCATAACTCCATTATAAGCTGCCAATAAGAATACACCAGCCATCACAATAGCAACAGCTGCAACAATATGATGAATGAGGTCATTTTGAACCCATAAATAAGTCCTTATTTATGACCACTAGGTGAACCCCAAAGGTAACCTCAACAGCAATTGAATAGTAGCACGGCTAATCAACACAACTGTGCTACAAACGCCCAGGCCGCCATACAGTCCCTCATGAGCTATTTATCAATTTGAGATTCAATACCGATTCAAAAACAATAAACACAGGCCTTATATGCACATGTGCACAAAGCAAACATCGGCATTGACTTGCCTAGTACAAACACCAAAGACTTGTACATCTCGAAGTCTCCAGCCTTGCTTCTTGTATAAAGTTGACCATTTCCCCCATCCTGTTTCTTGTCACTCACAATCTTGCGTCCTCAGGCGATTACAACAATTGCCCAAGATGCAGCTTCCAATGCTTTTCGCACTTCTCCCCTTGGCCTCGGCCATCCCACTGGTCCAGACCATTACGGATGGCGTGAGTCAACACCTCTAACATTCCAATCCCACAGCCTTCACATACATGTCCAATAGAACTAAAACTACGAGTAGTGCGAACCAAGCACAGTCACTGTTACTGTTACTGTTTCATCCACCGTCAGTACCGGTACCAGCGCGCCTCAGAGCGATTACCCTCCGCCGGTCTACGACTGCATATGGCCTTATGACAACGTATGTCAGAAATGCTCATTATTCTATCCTCACTATGCTTGCGTACATGCTAACCTCACGAGCAGTGTAACCCTTTTCTAAATAGACCACCGCCGCCACCCACCACCATTGCCAGTACCAGCACCAGCGCCAGCGCTATCAGTACTCCTAGCATTGACCCCAGTTGCCCGTATGGTCTACCTTTTGTACGTCGGAAACGCGTATTACTTTATCCTTATCTCTCGCAAAGCTAACTCAAAAGCAGTGCTGGCCTACTTAACTGTTCTCTTATCTTAAGCAAATGACAAGAACAATTTGCAATAATAAGTAGGGAATTATGTTATATTATATACACTTAATACATAACATAACAAATATGTTTTAACTCTTTATTTCCTTAAAGTATTAAAGAATAATTGTATAATGTTTTATTTTAACAAAATAATTCTAAAAATTTAAAATTTGTTACATAAGTATGTAAAAAGCAATTGCAAATATTAAACTTATACCTCGCACTAAGGATACCACGGAGCTGAACAACACCAAAATACATTTGCAACCACGCGACTTGATCATGAGAAGCACCGACACTATAAGGTAGAGCAGCGTTCTAGAAAGGGTTCCAAGCCGTGTCGTTCTGCAAGAATTCAGCGATGAAGGCCTCGACGGTATTGTCCAGAGCCTCCGTATTCAGTTCGGAAACAGCGCTGCCAAAATCCTGCTGGTTGAATTGCAACGACTGATCCCCGCGGTTATCCAAAGCAGTCCAATACGTTGTCCCATGATTGGTGGTGGCATCGTTACGAGGAGAATCACTAGAATTTGGTGGAAGAGCTGCATTGAATCCCCAAAAACTATCCATATCTCTTGAATGAGTGCTCGTCGCTAGTGTGAGCGACTCATCATTCGCTGATTCTCTGTCAAATTGTTGTGGAACATTCCGCACGAGTCGCCAATTAGGGCTACCAGTATTTCTATGCGTTTGCAATGGAGTTTTAGATTGATCAAGCTTCTTCAATAATGCGTCCATAGCTCGGCCAAACGTCTCTTTGCCTCTTTTGACTGACGGCCACCATTCCCCGCCGACGCTGAGAAGATTTGTGCAGGTTCTCAGGTCAGTCATTGCCTTAGAGATTGGCACAGAGTTTTGGACAGAGCTCGACGTCCAGAGACAATAGATCATGGTTGCTCCTGAGGAGAAGACTCCTTGTACGTTGCGCCAGCTTTGGAAAAGACCATCTACGTTGTACAAGCTATTGTAGATGTTGATGCGGGAGGCTGCACACTGGTAACATATAAGCAGAGCTTCTTCTCTAGGATGTGGTACCATCTGAGAGGGCTGATATAACAAAATCATAGCCGCGAAGAATTGACTGTGTGCTGTCAATTCGTACTGGCGCATGTATAATTGACAATTTTCATCACTCATATCCTGCGGAAGCACATTCGACAGGGAGCTGATTTCGTGGCGCCAGTCCTGCAAACGCTGCCGAATCGCGTTTTGAGTTGCTTGGTGGTCAGCAGGCCAAGAATAAGCGCTGATCTGGCTGGGAAGATGGTAGAATAACATTTTTATTTCTGAGATGATGGAATCCAGTCTGAAGCGATGAATCGCGAACGCAACGATGGCGGGAATCGATAGCTCAGTAAACAGGCTCGAAGATGCCAAAGCCGCAGCATCAGCTTGAACATCCCGGAGGCTAGGGAGCTGAACATCGAATGTCTCATCTCGGATGCCCAGTGGGCGCCCCTGAATGGTGGCCACAGACCTTAAAGATGGTCAGTGAAAGTTTGTCTTTTGAAACACAAAAGAGGGGATTACCTGTCTAAATGATATACGCTAAAGAAGACCATTTTACGAGTCAGAGCTGCGGCGGCAGAAATGCCATCGCCGTCTGCGGGCATCCGGTGTAGTCCTAGATCGATACACTGTGCCATTGCTGTGTATGTGAGTGTCCATATGTTCACCTCTGTTGGACTGAGCAGACTGTGCACGGCTAGGAGCAGGATAGCCTGCACAGAGGCCACCGATGTGTCTGAAAAGCAGTAATGAGCAACAGAGATTGCCGCCCGGTAAAACTGGTCTGGCGCAAAGTCGTACATTCTTTGACGGGTCCGTATGGTAGCCGCCAGCGTGAAAACCATAAAGACATGAAATGTCGCCGTGAAGATGGATATGACGGTACAGTCTACACCTCGCGAAAGGGCAAACTCTCCATTGAAGCCAATCTCTGCGGAAGGCTCTGCATCAGCGCACTGATACAAGGCTTCGATAGCCGCAACGGTGGAGCCTGGGTGCAAGAAGGGGTGCTCAGCGTGAATGTTGCGAAGATATGTTTCCAGCAGAATGTGAGCGTCTTCACGAGCGGGTAGCGTCTACGCAATGTAAGCTACGCGACTTCTCTATGATCACTGGAAGTTTACCTTGCGCAAGATGTCATAAACTAGCCTACTGGCTTCTTTCTGACGCTTTGCATAAGCGAAAGAGCCCGACTTCCCATCAAAGCCAGGTTGAGAGAGCGACTTAAAGGGATTTCTTGTTGGAGCCTGGGTTGTCGTCTCAGGCAAGCCTAAGCCGATGAGCGATGTGAATAGCCGCCCTGAAGAACTGCCCAGATAGTGAAGCTGTCTGGAGTCCGAGCCCAAGCTCAATAAGCCAAGATCCAAGGCGACAGACCGCGCTTCGGTTGTAAAAGGCTGCTCATGTAGCTGTGTTTGCTCTTGAGTGACGTCAAAAGTCCGTTTCGAAAGCGACGCTGTGTCTTCTGCTTCCACTGACTTTGTTTCGAGCGTCGTCGGGGGATCTACAACTTTATGCAGCCCAAGATCTACCTTTGGACCATCATCGAGATTCACATGCGGAGCATGGCGACGAAGCTGCCCTTCAAGCCATTCGATGCGAGCGCGAGCATTTGCGGTAAAATCGCGAGGGATGGCAATGGAGTTGTTTCGTCCGTCGACATCAAGACAGGCTTCGCCAGCCTTTTGGCAGTTGCTGCAGGCTGGAATGCTGCCATCACACTTGATTCTCTTCGCGCGGCATCGCCGGCACGCGATGCGGACCTTGGAAGTCATCCCATGTTACGCGCAGATTGAGACTGGATAGACAGCACAGCAATCGGAAATGGGTGGTATTGAATGGTGCAAGTCATGGCATGAACAAGTTAGAGAGAGAGGATGCACGATTATAGTGAGTGGGGGTTTGGCGTTATGTAATCCACCCCAAGAACTATCTCCAGCTGCAACCTTCCAAAATGCTCTCTAAAGAGCCTTTGCTCATAAGTTTGCCTGCGACACTCTGCATCTGTGTCTTGAAGTGGCCAAATGGCATCGTGAAGGAGACGTCGATGACACCAACCAAAGACATGGGCCTGGCCGCCAGGCTGGTTGTTGTATCGATGGCTTGTTATATTATCGCGTCTTGACAAAGGCGGTATATATAGGATACTTGGCTAAAAACAATGAATGTCAATGCATGGGTTTGGGGATACAAACAGCTACGGCCGACTTGAATGGTGTGGCTTTCGACTTGCTTGACAACTACTTAAATGTGATGTTGATCATAAACAGTGAGCACTTGCCAACATATCGCATGCTTACACTTCGAAATTTGGGGTTTTCCATGCCCAACTGAAGTCTTTATACAGCAATTCTGACTGCTACACTGGCGTCTCCGCACCAAGTCCATATTCCAAAGGCATCCATTATCCAAGACACACTTCTCAGATGTTAGCCCTAGCCAGCTGTGATCTGGTCACGGTGGATTTAGCGCCATGGTGGCTCCGGACCTGCGTTTGTGGAACCCGGAGTGCTCCGGCCCCATTACTCCCTTCTGCGGTACATGTCCACTCACGATTCTCATCGTTCTATGGCCGCATTATTGACGGAATCTGGGCTTGGAGTTCCATGTCTACTTCCAGTCTCAGTCTAACATGTCAATTACTATCAGCAGTTGCAGCACAGCCTAGAGTGGAACTTATATCTTGAGAGTCATCTGACTTGATGGCCGCTTGTCTAAAGGTCAATCATCTAGAAGGCCAATCTTTACAGTTTGGACTACCGGCACCATGGATGAAGCCCACAACACAGTCATAGAGGGACAGGAAACCTTGTTCCCAAATGGCGGATGGGATGTACACCACCACATCTTTGAGCGTACGTGCAATTCTCCTCAAACTTGATCCGTCCTAACTTATCGTAGCTTCTAGGTTTCCCTACGCCCCTGATAGACATCTTACACCGCCGGTCGCATCCATCAAAGCATACTTGAAGTGGAAAGCAGATCTGGGCCTTACACACTCAGTCCTTACTCACGGACTGTCGTATGGAAATGACTGCACATCCCTCCAATCATACGTGCCAGAGTTGGGCAAAAGCTGCACTTTGGGAATCGGCGTCATAGACCCAGCAACTACAACCCCTGTCGAACTCCGACAGATGAGAGAAGCCGCAATTCGTGGCATTCGGGTCAATATCTACAAGTATAACGCCATGCACAACGTCGAGCGCCAGAAAGTGGCGCTGAGAGAGCATGCCGCAGTCGTGAAACGCCATTGCCCTGGTTGGAGCATGGCCTTCGCCCATACACATCTAGAATTTTGGTGCGAATTAACACCAGTCGTGGAGAAAATTGCTGCAAGCGGTATCCCCATCGTCACTGATCACTTTGCTCTCCTTAAAGCCGCTAGCACATTGCCAGAGGAGTACAAGGGCGACATCACTTTACAACCTGGTTTCGCGGATGTTGTATCGCTTGTACGGTCTGGCGCTCTGTACGTCAAAATCAGCGCACCGTATCGGATTAGTGACTTGGCGCCTGACTACGCAGACGTGCGCCCTTTGGTCACTGCATTAGTAGAAGCGAATGCGCGGCAGATACTATGGGGTAGCGACTGGCCTCATACGCCGAGGATGAGGGTCAGGTCAAGGGAGGAGGCGCTTCAGGAAACTCCTTATCTGAAGATTGATGACCGGGCATGGCTAAGACAGCTAAAGAGCTGGTTAAAAGAGGAGCAGTGGCATTTGATCATGGTGAAGAACCCGCAGAGGCTTTACGGCGGGCAGTAGTCAGTGGAACATGATGCATACAATATGGCGAGTTGAACAGAGGAGTGATTGTTTGTTAATTCAAGGATAGATGGAATGGTATTATGGATATTAGGATAGAGCACGCCGCTTGCTTTAGAGATGCTGGTGATGCTCTCAGCAATACTCGACGGCTCCGTTGACACGAGCGGCGAGGGATTCAAATATCACGAGGCTGGACTCCCGCTTCGAGATTTGTATAGTATGAGACTTTGACTAGTTGAACAACGACTTGCATGGTTCCTGTACTGTCACCAAAAGGAAAGAAAATAATACTACCATAGTTTCAAGAGCGGCCGACGAGCCAGCAGAAATTGCGGACATCTCGATTCAATCACCACGTACAGAAATTACCGGCATGTTCATTTTTGAGGCTTTTGATGCCTAAATGTTTATTCGTAAACTATCTGTTGGTATTTTCTTTACACAGGTAATCAGCGCACAGGGATACCACTATCACATTGCACAGTACGAGTGCTCTCTCTCTAACCGATATGTTAACCTCCCTCCTGTAATCCTAAATGATCACAGCCACAATAGTTGGAGATTAGCGTTAATAAGCCCGAATCCATGCGTGCTTCTCTTTCTTCTCCAGGCGTCTTTTAACCGTCTGAATATGAGCTCGGACCGTCTCGGCCGCCATAGTTGGAGACATTAAAGTCACTTCAAACTCAAGTTCATAGTCATTCCGGAAACGGAAGACCTGTTCCTTATTGCATCTGTCACGTATTTTCTCGAGCTCGTCCGCCTTTGCGTTGTTTGCCACAGAATCCTTGGCATCCTCTCTGGCTTTTTTGCAAGACAATTCGAGATCGTAGTTGATGATAATTGAGATGACCGGCGAGTGGCTCGAGACAGCGGCAAACTCGTAGTCCGCGGCAAGAAAGCTCTTACTCTCCTGGCTGTAATCCTGATCGACTATGATCCATGTTGTCTCGCTGGCGGACTCCTCGCTGTAGATAGATCGTAAGTTCCTTCGTCGCTGTGATTCATCAGAACGTTAATCCATCAAGTCAAGACGAAGGGAAAGTGTGGTTTTCTTGCAGGGAGCTATGCGACTTACCAGCGCGGTACGAAAGGACCAGTACTCTTCTGCACTTCGGGCAGCCGCTTTTGCAGGGCCGACATTCAGGCTATCATCGATGAGCTTTGAGTTTGGGATCAACTTGCTATTTGATAGGTGTCAGTCCGGTGTACGAATGGGAGATATTGCAGGCAATTCATAGACTTACCACAGCTCCTTCGCCACGGCATGATTACAACCGGCATATTTGCCGTGAATATAGACGATTGGCACCATAGTTGGCTAGAAGTCGCAAGGGCTGCTTGCGATTGTGTGTCGGTATTGCGTGTGTTCCGATGGAAAGTGCGTCGTGGTGGGAAGGCAATGTGTCTGAAAATATTGAGTGAAGAGATGGTAATGAGAAAAGAATTATCCGGAGGGAACGGGGAAGGGTTTGCTTTTTATATGATGGGCAATGAGCTGCGTTAGAGTTTACTGATAAAAAGGTCAAATAGGTAGATAAGTAGCTCACGACAGCTGGTACGTATGATATTGACTTTGTGGAAGATGAGGCGTTTGAGGGTGGCTTGTCCATCTCCCGGGTGGCTTCAGTTCAAGTTTAGTATACACCGAGAAACTCTGAGCACGGGCAATAACGCCGTATGCATAAGTCTCTATAATACCTACCTTAGCCATCTAATTACGGTTTTCCCGAGCATCAATGTTAGAGCGTCTGGTATCGAAGCGCCACAGCATCAATAAAATCACGTAACACTATAGGTAGGTAGTTATATGTTTAATTATCAATACTCTGCTGTAATACAAGGTCGATGCCCTCTAGAAGCTTTCAAGAGGGCAAGCAAAGCAGCTCTTTTTCTTGTTTCCCATTGTCCTGGTTGTATTTCTTCTCCTTCTTCTCCTTCTTCTCCTTCTTTCCCAAATAACCTAAGACCTAAGGACCGGATTATTACATAGAGTCCTAATAAAACAATAAGTGCAATATAAATGTAATTAAGTATATATATTACCCTTTTATGTATATTATATAAGCTATGTGATTTTATACAACAAATTCCGTTTACCCAAATTCCCGACAACTTTCCAATCGGCATGCTCAGGTATGGATAACAGTGAAAGCGGGCTGCAGGCAGCCGGCCATGGGAGCCGAGCTGAGTTGAATAACGTCGTTCCCGCCGGGGCACCAATTGAGGACGGTATCGACACCATTCTCGCTCTGGCAAGTAAAAGAACCAGAGGGGACGGACGGGTTCTGGACTGTGCAGTGAATGAAACCCCTGGACGGATTCGAGACGAAGGAAATTGCGTCACCGCTGCCGGTTTCAGCGGAAACGAGGTAGTTGCTTGTGAGAACGGCCGATGCCACTCTACCGCATCCATTGATAGTGAGGGGTGCATGGCTATTAGTCGAGTCAATGATCTGGAGGCCGGCGCCCCCCGCAGCCCAAGTTCTTCCATTCGCTAGATCCTGGACGTAAAACTTAGGGCCGATTATTGTCGGCTGCGCGGCGATGGTAATAGTGGTAGTCGAGCTGGACACGACGTTGACGGTCGTGGCTGATGTCGGGATAACGGTCTGGCTGGCCCACGAGGTGACCGTGTTGGTGACCTGGGGAAGGGTCACTGTAGACTCGGGAATTCCATCGCAGGAGCACGCGGACGAGTAGGCAGAAATGCCACCGCAGGCTGAGGCGTATGTGGGAATTCCTGACACGGGTGTAGCTGTGGTAGTAGCCTTAGTGGTGGTGGTGGTGGTAGTAGTAGCAGCGGCAGTGGAAGACGTGCTGGTGGAGGAAGAGGCCGGAGGTTTGGCCGGGCAGGCGCGCACACCACGGGCCTGGTGAGCCTCGGGGTGAACCGGCGGAGCATTGAGCTCCTCGGCGGTGACCTCTCGCTCGTCCGCGCGAGGGACGACGCTGACTACTGCCGCCGTGCACACGCTTGTTGTTACAGTCACGGGCACAACACTGACATCGGTGGCGGTGCTGTAGACGGGGTCCCCAGTCAAGGTACTGGTGAGGGTAATGGTCGCGGTGCTGGAGAACGTTTTGTCAGGCTCCAGGCTTTTTCTCTTATCGAGGTAGGGATAAGGCACTCACGCTGCAGAGAGCGTGACGGTCTTGCGGAAGTAGGAGGAGCAGTCAGCCGAGCCTCGCGCATTGCCCCCAGGGACCGCGCTGGCGATGACCTAGAATTCCCTTATTAGCTTCAGATACTCCACCTACTCTTCCTTCATCCCGATAAGTCGTCCTTGACTTACAGCACGGAGACAGTTGTTGTGAGAGCAATCTCTCCTCTCGTTGAACTCGGGATAAGCATTGGCAGATGCGGCCAGGAGACTAGCAACAACGAGAAACCCAGCAGTATACATCTTGAAGTTAGCTTTCTGCCTTTTTTAAAATGTATAAAAAAGAGTGACTTCGTTCCGAGGGATACAGAGTGCTGACCAAACGAGGAATTCGAGGTGAAAGCAATCCTGACAAACCTGAAGGAGCCCATGGCAGCGGGAGGAAGTACCAGATTTATTTATCCTCAGCCTTCAGTGTCCCATCTAGTTGATCCAGCACCCTATTCTAAACGACGGCCAACAAACATACGAAAGCTGTGGCAGTGGATACAAACTATCGAAACCAGGTTATTAAGAGTACTCATACGTATGTCGAGGAAGCAATAGTCCAGTCCTTACAGTGGGTATTCCTAGGGTTGCCATGCAAGCTGTGTGGCAAAAGAAATTAACCCCTGCAACTTGCAAGGATCACTTGCGCGGATGATCGCAGTCATGCGGTGGACAAATTATATCGCCGCCTATCGCATACAAATTTATAGCAGCAGACCGGCGGTGTTTTTTTGTCCCCCCCTTGGCAGTGAACAATGCAATTGTGTGGCTTGTTCTCAGCTAGTGGAGCACCCAAGTTTAATTGGGGAATGGTGCAGGTGAAGAACTCAGCTGAAAAGGCTTGGTCTTTGCCAAGAAAATAATTAGCCAGGGGCACAACTTCATCCCATTATTGAATAGGAGCTCTGTATATCTTACGGATCTATTCCGAATAATTGCCTTTTACGTTTATACAGCTTTATTATACCCGAAAATCCTAATGACAGCTATAATCTCGTTCTTTTAACGCACCCCATGGCGCCTTTCTATAAGCAAAAGCAAAAGCTATGGACTTCAGCTGGACTTAGCACTACCTTTACTATCCCTCTTACTCTTATTGATCCCTTACTGGAAAATGTCCTTTAATATCTCTGTATTTAGCAACTGGATGCATTAAGCCTTATAGCTATTACACTGCAGAAAGTTAATACAAATAAGAAGATTAGCAATTTAAAGGAAGTGGAAATCCTATAGTTCTTGGTAAAATTAATTAGTGTTTTTCTTAATGGCTTTAGGATTCCTTTTAAAAAGCTACAAGAGCAGCTCGCAAAGGGCGTCTATCCACCAGGTGGGAACTCATGGGCGGCGGCGCATGTTAGCCTCGGCGAACAGCGGGTACTAAGGCTTGCGAAAAAGAGAGCCGAGGAGTCACTACAGGTAGTGGAGAGCGGGAGCGGGAATGAGACAAGTTTGTTATCGCCGCTATCTCGATGCGCAAATTGTGGAAAGGATTCTGTGCCACGGATGCTGTGCGAGAGATGCAAAGGGGTCAAGTATTGCGGGCGGGCGTGCCAGGTTGCTCATCACAAGGAGCATAAGGGAACATGTCAAGCTACAGCTAAGAAGACATGAATATAGAAGAGCTCGATATTTTCACGAGAGACTAGAGTAAATACATCAACATAAATATGACAGCCTCTGAGCCATTCAGAAACTACAATGCGCTGATAACAGCGTTGTATGCAGCCTTTGGCTGGTAGTTGGCGTCAAAGAGGAGCGGGTTCGAAGAAGCTCTCCAGCTATCGACATCGCGAACACCCCAGGTTGTAATACCCACACAGTTCGACACTGCAAGGCATCCCTGAACGACCGCGACGTAGTCTGCGGAGGGAGCACTGGCAATATCGAGTTCAGTAAGGGCGACCTCTGGAGCAGCAGCGCTCAGCGCCTTGAGAGCAGCGGCGTTCTTGGATCCTCCACCAGCACTAAGATGGCCCTGGCTGCCGATTCCGTCAATAGGGATGCCTTGAGAGCGCCACTTCTGGACATAAGAGATCATGCCCTTGGTCTTGGCATAGTTCGGGTCGTCAAGGTTGTAGTCATTGATGTACAGCTTCGCGGTAGGGTCCTAAGATTATCGTCAGAACCTTAATTCTCTTCATAGCCAGGTGGAAAGGAGCACTTACGGCACTCTTTGCGGCCTGGAAAGCGATGCGAACAAAGTCCTCGCCGAGAACGTTGTAGAAGACTGACTGACGGAGAGTTCCATCTTCATTGAAAATCTCATTGACAACATCCTATCGCAGACCATGTGTTAGCACCGTCCTAATAAGCAAGCAATTTGTTGTGTCAGATTCCTACCCAGGCGTAAAGCTTTCCCTTATAACGGCCCGCAACGTTGGCAATGTGGTTCTGCAAGACCGACGTCAAGGTATTCTTATCGGTGATGCTCGACACCCAAGATGGCAGCTGTGAGTGCCAGAGGAGGTTGTGGCCGCGAATCAACAGGCCGTGCTGCTGGGCGTAGTTGACCAGGTAGTCTGCGCCTGCAAAGTTGAACTGGCCGCGTGAAGGCTCAGTGGCATCCCATTTCATGCTGTTTTCAGGAGTGACTTGGCCGAACTGTGTTGGCAGGAATGATGACATGCCACTTTTGGACAGAGTACCCTGATCAGTAGCAGTACCCCAGTACTTCTTACCATGAGCCTTGAGCTTGGTGTTCAGGGATGAGGACTGTCTCTCCTCGATAGGAGAGGCGACAGCGCCACTGAGCGTCAAGACCACGGAAAAGAGTGTTGTGTACAACATGATGGCGAAATAAAGTCTCACAGAAAGTCAAGTAGAAGGACGAGCAAAGATTGATGCACAAGATAACTGATTCTCAGAACATATCTTTATCACAGGTAAAGGCCAGTTTATATACATACTCCTGAGCTCCTGAAGCTTTAACCCATCGTCGGTGCTTAATTTTCCTAATCCGGTAATTCACGGAACATACCCGGTGTCTTAATCTAATAACTGCTATTCTCCTGTTACATTTTCTCTATACGAAGCGAACATTAGAGCCGGAGACCTGCCATGCCAGCGGTTAATTATTTGGCGAGGCTATTTTCTTGTCTCAGTACAGAAAAGGGTATTATTATTTGGAAAAAAGGTATACACAAGGGACTATGAACTACGAGTTATCAAATACCAACCATTCAACTTTGATTGCCTATTCTCCACCAAACAAGCGCACTGCGATGTACAAAAGGGCACTGCAGCTAAATGCGATGCAACAGATCCTTAGATGTCAGAGAAACAAAAAATAAATTAGGCGTAATATGCATAATGTTAAAAAGAAATAGGCTAAAAGCGCGCGGTCCCTACATATTACAACCATAAGTGCATTCTCCCAATTGGGGCGGATCAGGTTGTCAATAACAAACTCCGGTGGACTTCAAGCTGGACGGCCCGCTCATTTGGGTAGTTTGTCTTATGCGGCCCAATCAGGAGGAGAGATGCTGCCAGCCCTAGCTGTCATCTTCATCCCGTTCTCCGAAGACGTTTATTAGTATTCCACATAATTGTGGTATGATAATTGATAAAACTGATTCCCTGGATAAGTCATTAGCCGTATAATAAGGGTGGTTGAGCTAATACCACGTTGAGCAAACTGATTCCCGCTGTCCAATATCCAGTTTGTCACGTTCACGGTTAGCTTCAATTTATCGCTTTTATCCTCAGCGGTGCCTGTCGGCGCGTGCCGGTGCCAAGCCCGGGGGTGTCAAACGCGGGGAAGACTATACAAGTGCCGGTCAAGTAATGCCAATTTTCCTACTGGTCAATGGCATATGTACCGGCAGGGTGGCAAGGTAATAGTTGCTAAAAACAACGTGCATGAGTTTCACCAACAGGCCAAGGAAAATTGCATGTACTACACATGTAATTTGGTTACAAATGGAGGCGTACGTTAGGGATCTGCAAGGATGTATTGTCTTACTAAGAAGGATATCCGGAAGAATACTTGAGTCTTTCCGTTTGTGATTGCACATTACGTGAAACTTATTAATGATGGAAGAGCGGTTTCAGCAGGGTAGCTTTGAAGGAGACAATTCGTGTTACCGGGTGTTTGTATAGCCTTCTGATGGTCAACGACTCGAGCCTGATCTGGATAAGAACGTAGGAGCTTCCAAAGGCTAAATTGGCTGGGAGAATGGGAAAACCTAATTGCGACTCTCTTCAGCTACAGATCATTACGTATTTGGGGGGACTCTAGTCTCTTAGTTATCCTCTTTGACCTTGAATTATGTAGGAGTGTTTCCCACTCAAGTTGCTCTATACTAATGATGAGTAAATTGAGAGTGGAATGTTCACTTTTAGGCTAAATGGCGAGTGTTCCTACGATGATTTAGGTCAGTGGTTCGAATTTCCATTTAGTTGAACACATATCAAGCAAAGTCAAGGCTTTGGGCTGAATAGAGGATGCGGTTATAAGCAGAAGACTTGGCATAGGGACATCTGCTTCACTCGTCAAAACGCCATAACATCACGCCTTAGATTACTTACACCACAACTGAACAGTTACATAATGCAGTCACGCTTGAGCCTTGCGCTTTTGTTTGCGGTACCGGCCGCTTTGGTCACCGGACAATCTTGTCCTCCCGTTCATATCTTCGGTGCACGAGGTACCACCATTCCCCAAAGCAATGGCTATGACCTCCTCCTCCCTCTGGTGAACCAGCTGAAATCCACGTACGCGGGCGCCACGTCCGAGGCCATTGTCTATCCAGCCTGTGGCGGGCAAAGTTCCTGCGGAGGAATTGCATATGGCGACTCAGCAAGGCAGGGAACTGCTGCCGTGGCGACGGCTGTGAACAATTTCCACAACAATTGTCCGAATACTAAGTTGGTGTTGATGGGATACTCACAGGTACGCTGGATTATACCTCGAAGAAATGAGTTGTTGCCTACGCTTTCTCTAATTAATGCAGGGTGGACAAATCATTGACAACGCCCTATGTGGAGGACCTGATCCCAACGCCGGAATCACTAGTACATCTATTCCCATTTCTGCGAGCGCAGCGCAAATGGTCAAGGCGGCTATTTTCATGGGAGACCCTCGATTCGAGTACGGGGCCTCTTACGAGATTGGAACTTGCAAGCTTGGAGGCGTACGTGTATTCCACAAACATGATCCTTTACACAGTTCGTTGGCTGACTTATTCTGCAATAGTTTGCTGCACGTCCAAAGGGCTACACATGCAGCAATGGACCTAAAATTCAGTCGTATTGTGATTCTCCCGATCCTTATTGCTGCCAAGGCAATGATGCGAGCGCTCACGCGGCGTACGTCAATGTCTATGGGCAGAGCGCGATTTCCTTTATTAAGGCCAAGTTGAACTCTTAGATAGATCAGCGCTTGATCTATGTTCATCAGTAATGGGATTTACACACAATGCAGTGTATTGTTTCAGTGGTAAATGAGAGAGCATTAATCTTTAATGTTGCAATATGGCAAGGAAGAGTTATCCAGCACCCCAATCGTAAGAGTTGATTTGAAGAGACATCACGTTTCATCACAAGCCGAACCGTGGCCTATCATCTTCGGATTTCATGTATTAAGGTTACTATTATCCTATATGTCCAGCTCAATATGAACATAGAACGTCGGCAGACGATCCTATATGCACATGAAGCTTCCCACTCTGTTGCCATAGCTGAGAGTCCCCGTGCCGGGGTTTTGCAATGGCATCGAAGAAGCGGGATAGCCACAGTGCGCATCGCTGAAAAAGTTAGGCTTTATCTCGCAATTCTGTGAATCTGAAGAATGACTTACACGTAGAATATGCAAGAGCCCACGTTGGGACCGGCAGATCCGACTGTCTTCATGCTAGGGTAACGTTTCAGCAATATATTCCCACCATGTTAAATGAGCTCTGACTCACTGGGCTTCATCCAGGGTTTGGCAGCCGTAGCTGGACCAGTTGTAGTTGTTGCAAGTGCCACCCCAGTTCTGCGCACTGCACAGGTAGATCTACGAGAAGTTTAAAATGAGATAAGCTTATGGATTTTTCGTTTAGAGCAAAGAGAACTCACAGTGCCGCTACTAGAAGCGCTTATGGCCGGGTTTGTGCACACGAAGCTGCCAACGTTGCTGTTGATGTTGGAGTTGCCGGGGTTCTTGACGCCCTGTAGAGAGGAAATGGGTGTTTCGCAGATAGAGTCGCTAGTTCTGTTTAGCGACTGTACATAGATAGATGGAGAGAATAGACTCACGAGTAGAGGGTGCAGGATCCCTCGTCAGGGCCAAAAGCCTCAACGTTGTAGTTGCTATTCAATTAGCACTGATAGTGGATACTTTCTTGATGTTCACTTACACATTGCTGCCAGCCAGGTTCTTGCAGGCAAAGTTTGGCCACGCGATGTTCTGGCACGTTCCCTTGAATCCAGAGCCGGAGCAAACGTACGACTAAACAGGAATTAGTATCACTTGGATAGAAATGTGATGAACTCGGTTTTAGAAAACGGAGGATTGTCTTACAGATCCAGCATTAGAAGGTGCCGAAGCTCCAGAGGTGATACCCGTGCCGGGCGACGAGCCAGACTTTGGCTTTTCGCCAAAACCAATCTGGGCATTGTCAAAGTCAAAGACAATGAAAAGTTCTTCCATAAGATTCTGGGCGAAAAAGTAAGGGGAGCTGTTGCTGACGCCCAGCTTAGAAAGGCAGTTGGTGCCGTCCAGGGAAAATGCCGCCAAACCGCTTCCCGGAAGAGTAAACTTGGTGACGGCTCCGATACCAATTGTCAGGTCCGGCAGGCTCTCGGAACACGGATATTGGTACTGGTTCCAGGCGCTGTTCCACGTCGAGCCGGGCACTTGGGAGAAGTAGTAATCGGCCAGAGTTCGGGGCACACCAGAGCCGCCGGTGCCTGTGTCGAGGATGACGGGCCAGCTATAGATAATGAAGGTGCCATTGACTATGAAGCCTGAGAATTCTGTGATCCATTCGCCGCCGCTAGAGGATGAGACGTCGAGAGGCGCGTAGGCCATGGCGCCGGTGAACTTGGAAGGGTCGACATATCCGAATTCAAACTCGCCCGAGTTGGTCGAATCATCGTAAGCGACGGTGAAGACGCCAGCTAGTCAAGCAAGTATTAGCTATATGTAGTTCTCAAGATTAACATGTACAGGCATCTTACAATCAAGGGCTGATCTAATAGACCAGAGAAAGCCTGAAGGGCCCCTCGGATTCGCAGCCTGTGGTGTTCCGAAACTCAAGCCTACGTTGCCCGTTTGGCCTCCTCCTTTAGCCGACGCACTGTTGACGACCTGGATAGGCACGTCTGTGACTGTGATGTCGCCCAGAGTGCAGACGTCGGTGTAGACAATACCGGAGTCGCAGTATCCGCTGCCGTAGCATTCCGAGTAGGTGTATCCCGGCAACTGACGCGCTGTGGATGAGGACCCGGGGCTGTAGATGGGGCCGGTTCCGCGTAGAGACGCTGCCAAGAGGTCCGATTCGACGGTGAAGTCGCCGGAGCCTGTATCAGGAAGGAGTTCGAGGGTCTGGGGAGGTGTACCGACTTGCATCGGCATGGACCAACTGTAATTCAAGTTAGTGTCACATCAGTTGCTTGTCGATAGTCATATATACATAGAGTTAAATGGTACGTCGCCGGTTTTGGCTCGGCTGGCTATCTTGCTGTCTGTTGTGGTAGTTGCACGTTTGATAAAGGGAAGCTTGAATCTTCCCTCGCTCTTGGGGGCAGTAGCAACAGCAGCACCATCCTGGCTTGGCCGAGCAGCAGCCGTTGCTGTAAGGCCAGCGAGACATACAAGACTCGAATAGAGCATAGCCAAGATTTTCTTTACTAACCAAGTCAAAATGAACGTCTTCAGATGTCTGGCTATCCTAGGAAAATGATCGTCAGGGCGCGATGCATATATAAGAGATGATACTCCTTCTTGTCTCTGCTGCCAACACTACACGTGGCACAATCATAATATTATCTTCTTAGACAAAGGACCCTTTGTTGATTCCTCATGATACTATGTTTACCTTTACACTAGCTGCCCAACCTTCATGGCCAATGGTTGGTGGAAAATAGTATTTTACAGGGTCCAATAATCTGATGGTCGGATATACTAGTATAAGCTTACGGCCTGCTTAACCGCGAGTTACACGAGACTTGCGAGATCCGAACTTAGCTGACTTGAGCAGTAGGTCCCGCTTCCCGTGCGTCAACTAATGAAGCTTTAGTGTCAAATCGGCCAAATTACTAGCATGCATGCTTTCTAACTTCTTTATAACATGGGGCATGCACAGGGATTTAGCTAACAAGGCCGCTCTTAGTACCTGAGAGTATACGGTATTTTGCTGACGAGTCGGGAACCAACTCGTCAATTAGCGTACGCATAGAAGTAAATTCCCGGATAATCCGCTTGTCAGACCGCTTCTATAACAACAGAGCAAGAACAGTTTACGGGATCGTTTAACCTCATTCGGGCATGCCGACTGCATGAAAATCTTTCAGGAAATCAGATAGGCTGTTAAGATAACAAAATCTTTTAGACTAAAGATTAAAGAGAAATGTTAGATCCACTCATTGAAAAGCCAAGAGAAGTGCCGAGCCTATAAGCCGATCTATCTTTGAACAAGCCCTGAAACAGTATATACTTCTGTGGGTTTATTGTTTTTGCTTCGAATAAGCTAGTAGTTCCCGCGGAAGCCTCTGTGCTTACAATTGAATAAGGATTCCATTTGGAGTCCAGATTTATCTTACACAGCAACACGCCATAAGTACCCTGCTGATTATTGTAACTTATCTATAAAATACAGGCAGGTAAAATCAGCTAGGTTATTTCTCTCACTAAACCATTAACCCTAACGAGAACCAGATTATAGTAACAATTATAGAATACGATATGGATATTCTAGATTAAAAACTTTTTAAAATTTCGTCTTGCTTAATTTATATAAAAACATCATGAGTCGTATATGTTGGCTAGCTGGAGTTAATTCAACAGTGAGATAGTGTCAAAACCATCTCCATAAAACTGAATACCGAACAGAATGATAAGCCGCCCCCAACAATGACGTCTTTAATACCCGACGGATAGATAAGAAGAAGAATACGAGCCATTCGTATATCTAGCTGAGGACATCAGGAACTAACCACACCTCCCTTTATACCCTCTGTGACATATTCTTGATGCTCCGCAGACGGTTTATGATCGAATGCTTGGGCTGTTGTAGATCTCTTCAGTGGCTCCAAATACTGTAAGGCATTTTCTTCACGCCCATCCTTGAGAAGATCCATGGCTCGGAAAAATCGATAATATTTCATCACATCTTCATGCTCCTCATCTCCGTCAACAGCGGCTCCGCGTTCTTGCTCCCACTTTCGAGTTGCATTGACAATCTGAGCAAGGACTTCGGCCGTAATGCCATCTGGATCACGCGGCTGAACCCACTCACTGCCATCCTTTGGCCCCAGCACGGCAGCTGCATCGTCGTATCCACGTTGTGCATCAAAGACGAAAAGAGTAGCATGAAGCCTGCCGCCTGGTACGATTGAACGATGGTAGGCGCCTCCCGGAACGCTGTAAGTCATGTCACGCGAATGCGGTACGCGACTGACCGGCGTCACTCTCACAAGCTTCCCTGTGTTCCTGATTGTTGAACTCATTTGGTGGGTCTGATATCCCGCACTATTCTGCTTGCCGTCTGCCGGAGCATAGCAACACTCATAGAGCGCATGAGTAGTCAAGGAGGGATCGTCAGGGGTATCGACCTTGAAGGTGCAGTCTGTGCCAGATCCCAGCAATACCCAGCTCTGTCCATACGGCTGGTGTGCATGAATACACACCTCCTCAGAGACGCCCCGTTGCCCGTCAGGAAGCCACGTGTGAAGCCGCCACAGCTCCTGGATGCGTCCATCTTTGACGAGGCTGCATAACGGGACGGCCAAGAACCCCTGCGCGCTGCGAGAAACAGTGAACTGAAGGTCTGTGTCTTGCGCGCTGATTATAGCATCGTAGATTGGGGTCCAGATCGAATCGATACCCGCTGCGTCCAAGTCTCGACCAGCCCGTGCCTTTTCCCGCAGCAACGCAACGGCTAGAGTGACTTGGACAAGCTGCCTCCTCCCAGCATTGGAGTTTTCGGGATTGGAGTTTAGGGCTACAAGCCACTCGCGGAAGGGAAGGGCAGCATCAAGATCCTTTGCTGGATCGGATGTGTCTTGAGGCTGCTGCAGCCACTCAATCAGCGGCTGAACATATTTGATGGGCGCTTTGGTAGCCACTGCAACACCCGCGAGGACGAGTAAAAGCGACGATGTCGAGATGCTTGTATGTTCGTCTAATACGTCAGCGGTCCATGGGTTGGAGAGGTGCGGGGTCTTGACAGCAGCCATTGTTGTGCCGCAGCTCGGACCTTGGGCTTGGTACGTATATGGCTCAGAGGTTGGGTAAACACAGTAAATACAGTCTCGGCCTGTGGGTGTTTCTTTCGCTTGTAATAATATCGTGATAAAAGATGAGGATCAAGACGTCGGCTTTATATAGGCTATACAGTTGCATATATGGATAACGTCAACTTAGAAACAAGGAAACTAAGAGAAGTGGCGCGGCTTGGCGATCGTTGGCAGCCTTGAAGGAGCGGCAAGGCGGGACGAGCCTGTTGCCTAAATATGGGCAAAGCCCGCCTCATTACTGCATTTGGGATGGGCGCCAACTCTATGCAAGCAAGACGTGGAGAGATCTTGGTGGTCAGTCTAGCTTCACAAAGTCAGCCTTGCGCCCCAAGAACGTCCAATAACTTGAAGGCCGCTTGATAGCATACATGTATCTACATGTTACTCGGTATTTCGCAATTCCCGTGTATTATTGCAAAGTATCTGTACAATATTTGGAAACATATGCTGCCTAACATGTCGTCTACTTGGAATGAATTATGCTGCCTACTCCAAAAGGCATATAAAGCCTGATAACCTTCCATATCGGTGATCAACTCTGACGACTCACACAACGTCTCTCCCAAGCAATTTGCTCTGCCTCACCAAAAAGTCAATCTTTGGTCTGTCCGACTTCTCCTCTGTTAGTTTCAGGTTGCCCACATCAAGGACGTGAGTTGTGTCGCCCTCCTCAAAAGAGCCATCGCGATCCTCCCACCATTGGTGTAGTCCATATGACTCCACAATTGCACGCATGAGCATAACTTCTACGGCACACCATGCTCGCTCATAATATGTCTCATCAACCAGACTGATCATGGCGTTACACTGCACGACTGCAAGCGGCAATGCATCAACACCGCGCTCTTTCTCCTGCCCATCTAGTTGATCGACACAAAAATAGTCCTAATCAATCAACATATAAGCTTCGAGATCATACTAAGTTGAAAGATATATCTTACCAGCCACAAGCCTAACGAATCTGAATCTAGGTGAGGATTAACCTTCTTGAACTTCTCGACGGCATTTATAATACGGTGCCACTGGGTTCCCGATTCATCATCCGGTCCATTACCACCACCAATCCAGCGGTACGAAATAAAAATGACAAAATCATCTTCTTTCGGCTTTTGTGTCTCTTCCATGGCGTCGGAGAACTGCTTATCTAGCCCGGACGTAGAAATGGGAAGTTCCCCATGGTTCACGAAATCGGTAAACTTCATATAGTGAAATCGGCTAAACATGCGCCTTTCCTTGGTGTCTTGTGAGATGAACCTCGCATAAATCTTCCTTAATTCGTTGAAAGCTCCGCTAGGCTTCTTCCTCAGCACCGGTCTCATATGCTCCTGAAAGATGGTCCGGTATTGTCGGCGCAGCTCTGCCTGCTGTTTTCGGATCAAGATCTCCTTGTCGACATCTTTACTGGTCAACTGGAGCGCACTGCGCAGCGCTTTTTCAACAATTGGGATTGCTTCTCTTGCATGAGGACTATCACTAAGTACGGCGTGGTCCAGTGCACTGAAACCTTGCTCATCATATGTATCGAAATCCACGCCTGCGTCAGCCATGAGTTGGAGATGCTCGTTATGCTCTTTGCCGGGCTCCTTGCAGAGAGCCATGGGGGCGCTGCATGTTCCAGATGGGGCATTCCACTGTTTTAATGCTTTTTCAGCCTGACCATCATGCCATAGAGCATTACCGTAGTAAAACTTGGAAAAGGCTGTGACTGTTGGGTCTTGGCGTGATTGCTTTCGCTGAGACTCCTCAGCGATTTGCACGGCAGCTTCTGTCTTGCCCGCAGCGATATAACAAAGCGTCAAACGGTCCATAGCAATAATCTCCCAAGTTTGCACCATGGCAAGATACTTGGACCGAGGATCTACTTTGGATATATGTCGCTGAAGGTCTTGAGCTCGAGTGATGCGCTCCTGAAGCTGGCTGAATGCCGCATCGAGCAAAGTAGGATCAGTTGGATCAGACAGCTGCCACAAATTATATGTCGTCATTCCTTCGTTGCCGATTGCGCGACAAATTTCGGCCTCTGATTCAATGCTAGAAGGTTCCTCTCGAGCTAGGCGACCTTGTTCCCGGAATAGGTCTCGGGCTTCGTGATAGCGGTTGTTGTGCCGTGCCATTACGCCGAGTTCACCTGAAAGCAGGTTCAGTCAAATTCTTCAAACACATCACAGATTTCTAATGCTTCAGTTAGTTTCTTACCTAGAACAGAGGCCCTAAAAGATGAAGTTGGACTTGCATATGCTTCAAGTGACTGCTGGAGCGTCTTCTCAGCACGATCATATTGTCCTAATCGTCGCCAAATGCCCGCTACATCAAACAGTAGCTCTTGCTTTCGTCGATCGGCCTCTGGGAAAGCCGGCTCTTCACATATGAATAAAGCCTCCTGTAGTAATCGAAGCTTTTCTTGCCACAATGCTTGTTTATGGTATTCATTAGCTCGATTTATTAGCCTTTGGTATTCCTCCACAGAGTTGCCCGCCATAACAAAGTGTATAAGCTGAGCGCAACAGAATGCAGCCACGAGGTTTATATGAACAACTAAAAGTATAGGTACAAAATTATGCCTATACCGGTCGACAAGAGGGCTTGATGCAGACCAACAAGTTGACAAGGCTTTGCAATTGCTAGCCTTGATTTAGTGAGCAAATTAAGCTTACAATTTGAATGCGGGGTTACAGCTGTAGTAAGATGCATTTAGTCTCCAACCCTACATGAACCAATCGAAAACTAGAACCAAAGCCTTCAGATAGGTATATATGGCTCATGGATGTCTTGCTAAGACTTGACGAAGACGTTGTCGAGACTCGCTAGGTCCATAATGATAGACTTGGGGTTCATGGCGTGTGGAGACAAGTCGCATTCAAAGGATTCAGCTGTAGAAAATTAACAGTAAACTCAGGCTTCTGCGCGATTTGTGCCTGGCGGCCACTGAGGATGGTCAAAGCTTAAAAAGGTTGGAAGTTCCTGTTTTTGCAATGCCTGGGCCTCACCCACAAACATCTTCATCATGAACGTGGCGACTCCCATAATCCGCTGCTGGCGACCAGGCCCTGCTTTGTTGCCGGCTACTTTACAGCCCCGGCTCTTGAGCTCCTCGCTTGTAGGGAGAGCCTGTTATTCGGATCGAAGCAAATTGCCTCTGCCGCGCCAGAAGACCGTTTACTACACCACCAAAGCAGAGAACGCAGCTTCTGCGACATCCCCATCACGGTCGATTTGGCGTCTCGCCTTCTGGAAATGCCGGCACACCTGGAGGCGAGCGGGAGTCAACACGCTGCGCTGCCTGGTAGGCTGTACGGTTGGTGACTTCTCTGCACTATGGATGCTCCAAACCTATTACCCAGAACTCGGGATGACCACAATCATGGGTGCATCTAGTAAGTTCTTCCACGCGACACCTCAATTGGTAAAAGCCAACGGGAGGATAAGTAAAGACTGAAACATTTATACAGTGGTGTCTGGCATCACGACTTCAATCATCCTTGAAAGTGTTCTACTGCGACGCGGCGCAGACCAACTCTCCTGGCCTATGGCGGTCCGCACTGCGATGGGCATGAGCATGATATCGATGATGGCGATGGAGGCGGCAGAGAACATTGTTGACTACCATCTTACGGGCGGCGTAGTGGCCTTGGGCGATCCGAATTTCTGGATGGCAGCGGTCTTGTCTATTGCTGCTGGATATCTTGTTCCGCTGCCATACAATTACCTGCGCTTAAAGAAGTACGGGAAAGCGTGTCACTGAATCCGGCATGCGTGGCCACTACGATTTTATAGCGGAAATTAATGCTGTAATTGGAGTTATTTAGCAGTGAAAAATTACAAATAAACAATCAAAGTTAAACATATTCCGTACATTTGGAATTGGGTTATCGTGCACCTAATGTATACTGTTTCAATTTCGTGATGGAAAGGGTTTCTGCGTAACCTACCTGTATATATTGGGGTAAGTTGATGGCTGTTAGCCCCGCTGAAAGTTCCACCATCTGCTACACAGTTGACAACCAGGTTCTAAGAGTTCCGGATCCGCTGTTTTCAACGGCAAATACAAAGACAAACAAGACGTCTCAGGACCTTGAATCCAGTAAGTATGCTCGTCATTCGCCAAGTTATCATGCCTGTTCGAGAGCTGCAGAGAGTGTGGTGTACCAGCTCTCCTAGACAGGCCCAAATAATCTGAATAAGAGAATGACCAAGTAACAGCGAGAAGATGTAGATATGAGTCCTTCAAAGTAGGTTTTAGGTGCACCTGCATGCTAACACCAGTGAGTACAAAGGTTTTCAACTCTTCCGTTTGTTAAGAGACATAGTGGATGAGATCCAACTTCAAATCTACCCCTACCAACACGGTATACCTGTCGGCACCCCGCAGCGACACGAAGCTAGCGCGAGACCAAGGTTGCAATGCACAGAAACCTCGGATCTTTTAAACTAGAATTAATCGACAATGAATTTTGCCTAGGACAACTTGCCGTAAAGACTTGCCGTGCGGAGGTATCGCTGTCAAGGGTACTGGGAAACGACAATGATATAACTGGCAATCTTCCCTCCGTTGTCGTGTCGATTATGCTGCTAAAGCTCATGTAGCAGACAAATACATGTCCTGATTCTATGTGGCAATGGTAAATCTATCAGAATATCTGTTCCAAGCCTTGTTGGCCTATGAGTCCCTTACTGATACTTGCGACCCGGATTATCTCAATCATGACCTAAATATAAAGGATGGACAAGTCCTACAAATCAACGCTACATGGATTACGGAAGCCGCTGTATCCGGTGCTGCGGGCTCCATTGATTACTGCGATGTCGTCGTCACGTACACGCATCCCAAATTCAACGACACGATTCACACTCAAGTGGTGCTGCCATCCGCGAGCCACTGGAATGGTCGCTTCCAGGGAGTTGGCGGTGGTGGGTGGGCAGGCAATAGCGGCATTGGCTCGCTCATGAAGCCACTTAGCCAAAATTACTCTGCCGGGATGACAGATGCGGGCCATGATCCCAGTCTTCCAGACTCCAGTTCCTGGTGGCTAGACTCTCATGGTCAGGTCAACATCGACCTCTTCACCGACTTTGCCTCCATTGCGCTGGGTGACCTCGCCGACATTGGCAAGCAGCTCTCCAAGAGATACTATGGCTATGGACCGGTCTACTCCTACTGGAATGGCTGTTCCACTGGCGGTCGCCAGGGCTGGATGATGGCCCAGAAGTATCCGGAAGCTTATGATGGCATTTATGCTGGAGCTCCCGCTGCTCAATGGGACCGGTTTATAGTTGCCGAATACTGGAGCGTTCTTCAGATGAATATCCATCAACACTACCCGAATCAGTGCATCTTTAACGCCTTCAATGCCGCTGTGTTGGAAGCCTGTGACAGACTTGATGGAGTCTCCGACGGTGTCATCAACAACTTCGCTGCGTGCAAATTCGACCCCAAGTCCTTGGTCGGCACTCAGGTAGACTGCAGCGGCACAGAACTGACGATCGCTGAGGCAGACGCTGAGATAGTGGCGGCGACATGGCAAGGACCTCGAACCGAGAATGGAGATTTTGTCTGGTGGGGGACTCAGCCAGGAACACCGTTTTCTGGCTTATCCAACACCATTTGCACAAATGTTACACACTGCAAACCTGTCCCATTCTCTATCCCTTCAGATTGGATCAGCCGGTGGTGTATGGGTGACGCGAGTGCCAATCTAACCGCTCTCACTGTAGACGAATTCCTTCACGTCTTTGACGAGTGCAAGGCGAAGTACGAGCACATCATAGGCACCAACGACATTGATCTGACTCCTTTTGCTCGTGCCGGGGGTAAGATGATTTCGTGGCATGGTTTGTCAGACGAGCTAATCTTCCCTCTTGCCTCGGGAGACTACTACCAGCGCGTCATCAATGGCGACCCCAATGCAAAGGACTACTTTCGATTCTTCTACGCCCCTGGTACCCAACATTGTGGCGGCGGTGCTGGCTACGCTCCATTGAATCCGTTCCAGGCAGTTGTTGACTGGACAGAGAAAGGTATTGTTCCAGAGACCCTTGCCGCCTCTGGACCATCAGGAGACCGGGACTTGTGCTTGTATCCTCTCGTTGCTGTCTATAAGGGTGGAGATACAAGAGACGCGGACTCGTATGATTGCAAAGAAGACTTCAGTGCCAAATAAAGACCATTTATATAATTTATAATTGTTCGTTCTCAAAGAATTGTTGAATGACAAATAGCTGTGGTGACCTATTCAAAAATTGATGACATTACAAAAGATCCATGCTTTGATATGCTACCATACAAGTTGAAGCTTTTGAGGTTGTATCGAAGCTATGTATCATTTATGCCAAATTTATAATGCTGTTCACGTTTTCCACAACAGAATCTTCCAATGACCTCCATCCATCCTGATCTGCCCATTTCTTCAACAGCGCAAGAGGCTCGCTGAAGTCGGCGGAGATATGTAGTACAGTCTGATATGCTAGATCATCGATAAACTCGCGTTCAGGAAAGTGTTGTCGCATAACAACTAAAAGATCATTGGCGTTGCATTTGTGGCCCCAGGCATGGAGGCGCGCGTTCGTGACTTCTGGATCCAAGAGGGCTGCAGCATGAATCACAGCCACATCCTTGACATCAACGGCGTATACTATCAGCAATCTGTTAGTTAAGCTTATTTCGTATATAAAGTGAGTGAACGCGCTGAGCTACTGACATAGCATCAAACTTACTAGCAGGCATTGAATCCCAGAAAGCAGTATTGCCGTCATACAGAGTCCTGATCCAAGCCCCGTCGCCTTCGTTATGAGCTTTGTTGAGCGCCTCTCCTATAATGACTGAAGGCCCCACAGAGCTGATTGTAAAATGCGGCCGCTGCTCTCCAGCAAATTTCCACAACGCCTTCTCCGCAGCTACTTTGCTCGCCATGTAAGTGAGCATGCCGCGCCCAGCTTCGTAGGGAGGCGGGCCAAAGAAGCATTTGTAGCGAAGTCGTTGTAGGTGTCTTTCGTGACATAAGCTTCATTACCGGGCGCAAGCATTGTTGCGGCGCCGAGAGAGCTTGTATATACGAAGGATTTGACTGATGGCTCCTTCATTGATGCATTCAAGATTGAGGTAGCGCCAGCGACAGTTGCTGGAATAACCTTTGTCGAGTCTGGATCCATGGTAAGGATACTCGCAACATGAGCGACAACCGAGACGCCCTGGATAGCCTCATCATAGGCGTCAACAGCCGCTATAACACGGACGTAGCATAACTCAAATCTGCCAGTGTCGGCATAATCCTTGAAGACATTGTTAACAAGCCAGGCAGCCTTTTCTAAATCTCGGAGGGTCCCGCGGACTCTGTATCCGCGTTCGAGCAGGGCTTTCGCTACGTGAGATCCGACAAAGCCAGTAACACCGGTAACCATTACCCAAGGCGCTTTTAGGAATATCTGTCTTCTGATCTGCTATTTTCATAGAATAAAATAAAGAGTAGCCGGATGATCTGCTTAATAGTCATAGCGAATAATAGAGATATGCTACCCAGTCTTAGGAACAGCATCTTTTATACGTGATTCTTTACGGGGGAGCTACAATCGCAAACTATAGAGTGGAATGTGTTCTCGCTAAGAATTGGGCTTATTCATTACCAATCCTATCTGCAATGCATGCTATAACTAGCTGAAAGCTTGTAAACACCATATCTCAGACATGTTAAATTTCAGGTCTCCCTAATCCCTACTCTGACCATCAGGAGAACGCGGTGCGGGCACGGCGCCGCCTTTTCCGAAAATACCGACAGTTTATAAACGCGGCCGCCCTACGTCCGCCTTCCCCGCCACTTATCCACCCTCAACTGTCCCTTTCTTCTTTCTCACTCACACACGCTGGGATACTAGTCATGGTACTGGCGTCATATTCCTGTCAATCATGTCAGAAGCGCAAGAAGCGGTGCAGCAAACAGCTGCCAGAATGTGCTGCCTGTGTCCGGTAATTTCTCTATTCTCCATTACATACCAAAACGGGGACTAACTGCCTACTACGCAGAATGAAGAGGCCATGCAAATATCCGCAACGCAAAGTCACGGCGCCTCTCGTAACAACCAGCACCGATGATCATTTTAGCCCTGGAGTATTGACTAATAGATTTCCATCTTCATTCTTTATCGACCCCATAATGTTCCAAAGCTATGGCGTCCAGATCCCTCAAGGCCGAATTGCAATTCCCAATCGAGTAATGGAATATCTTGCCGACGTTACTTTATTCAAGTCTGCAGTTGCCGACTATTTTCACAATGTCCATCATTGGATGCCAATCATCTCTCGTATACGCCTTCATAGCCTGCTATCAAACAGGCCGCTCCATCAGCAAGAGCCAGATTGCATCTTACTTCTCCTGTCCATAAAACTAATTTTATCAACACCAGACCGAAGTAAGAGCACATCAGAAGTGTATACTATTACTAAGCATTTCTTCTTTATGGTTGAGGCGGTGGGCTGTCTTACTCTCCAAATGGTTCAAGCGGGCATCATGATTGCTCTTTATGAGTTAGGCCATGGTATCTATCCAGCTGTTTTCTCGACCATCGCAACATGTGCCAGATATGGAACTGCACTCGGAATCGATGAACTAAGCGCGGCTGATCTGACGAGCGCAGGTGGAGAGGAAAAAGTGCGAGTGTGGTGGGGAGTTCTTATTGTTGACCAGTATGTTTGCCGTTAGCCCCTACGTGTAATTTAACATAAACCTCGCGTGACTTTAAACATACTGATAACCATGGGCCGCAGTATTCTAAATCTTGGAGTTCACGGGCGCCAACTCAGCACTGAGGGTCCAAAGAATAACCAGCCATTACCGATGGATGATGATGACTGGGATCGACTGGTGAGCATATGACGGGCTGCAATCTGCGACTTTACACTGGATCATCAAGACACTAAGACTTTTAACAACGCAGGTAGCCACGCATAGAGAGCCCCAGCGGCTTTCCAACCCAACAGAGCTCAAGGCAGGCAGCTTTGCTCGCACAGCACAAGCTATAAATCTCCTAAGTCAGGTTTTCCAATACCTGGGTAACCTAAGAGCTGGTCTACAATTAGAACATGAGCATCTCGATCAGCTGAATCGAACAATCTTGTCGCTGAGTAACTTAGTCGAAGAGGAAAGTGCCCAAAGAGGGATTCTGCTCTGTTGCCCCGTTGGCTTTTGTAGCAAGTGTGTCTATACATTTTGAGAATTGCGAGATATACGATTCTGACACGTTTTAGTGCTTTGTTACTTATCAATACTCCTTATCTTGACGGCATTACAGCGGCGCGCCTGACGGATGAACAGAGTCGTAAGTCGAGGCAACTAGTCCTTTCGGAAATAGAGAAGACACGGATTATCGCCGAGGAATACCTGACCGGAGAGCGAGGTACTGTTGACGAGACTTGTCCTCTGTTTCTCAGCTGGCTCTATAGAGCAGCGGCAACAGCAACGTTCATTCATCAAGAAACAAATGATGTCAAGCATCATGAACAGTCACTCTCGGTGCAAAATTCCATACAAGATATAAGTCAGAGGTGGCGTGTTGCTGGTATGTTGCAATTCCAAGCCACTAGCACAAGGCTCGCCACGTGCTCTTTCTGACCAAATGTCTAGCGTCTTATCTACAACTTCTTGAAACAAGGCAATTTATGACGATGGCCTCGTAAACTAGTATAGTAGTATACTGTCCCACATTACTATATCTTTTGCCTATTAGGTATTGTTAATGTATTTATTGATAGAATAGGCGGAAATTCGGGTATCCCATAAAGAATTCGATGTAGTTTAGTAAACATAGAATATTGACACGAAGAGAGATCGACTGGGTTTATAATTCCTATTACGCTGGTTCTTGTAAGATTCTTATATAATTCTTTTTGTGAAGATTTATCCAGAATCCTAGTCTAATTATCCAGTATTCTATCTAGCATAAGCTACTACTGCTACTATCATTGCTGTTGCTGCTGCCGCTGCTGCAATCTCCCTAAATATCACAAGATCAATTTTTTGTCCATCATGAGCTATTTCTTAGAATCTATCTTAAGTGTTGAGTTTTTACTGAAGAGGTGAGCATCCATCCATGTGTTAACACAATTGTCGGGCTTGTCGGGGATTGCGGGGAAAGGCGGCCGCCATATTACCAAAAAGGCGGTTCAGCGTACTCGACACCGCGTCCATGGGTGGAGTTTGTTTCAGCTGTCTCAGCTTTAAACTCGGATTCAACTGATAAGTTGAAGTGTCTGACAAATCGTACAGAGTTACCCGACTTGATAAGCTTGAAGTGGAAATGACTGACAACTATAAAGGAAGGACAAAACACCATGGCATCAATTTTGATGTTGCCACTACACAATCCTTTTAACCCGTAGCATTACACAGGCTTCAAAACTTGACCTTCAGCCCATATCATCATGCCTCAGATAAAAGTAGGCCTTGTTGGCCTTTCATCGCGCTCAAAATCCCAATGGGGCCCCATGTCACATCTACCCTACTTTCTGTCAGCCCGAGGAAAGGAAAAGTTCCAAGTTGTGGCTGTTCAAAACTCCAGTGCTGAGTCCGCCCAGCAGGCCATCAAGGACTTTGGGCTGCCGCCTACCGCACGTGCATATGGCAACCCCGAGGAGATGGCCGCCGATCAAGACGTACAGCTTGTTGTCAACCTCACTGGCGTTCTAAGTCATTATCCCGGAGCGCTGCCGAGCATCAAGGCTGGAAAAGACGCTTTCATTGAGTGGCCGCTTGCAGACAGCCTCGAGCATGTACGGGAGATTGTCGCGCTGGCTTCCGACAAGAACATTCGAACTGGTATTGGACTACAAGGCCGGTTTGCTCCACCGTTCTTGAAGATAAAGGCGGTGCTTGCTTCTGGCCAATGCGGAAAAGTGCTGAGCAGCGAGATCAAAGCCGCATTCCCACACAATTCGCGAGATGTTTTACCTGTTGGATGGGATTTTTTCACCGCGATGAAGTATGGTGTCAATTCATATACCATTGGATTTGGTCATTGTGAGTTCTCTTCATTATCCACTAAACGGAAGACCATGAGACTAACAGTTTGCAGTGATCGATGCGGTACAATCAATTTTCGGCGATATACGCAATCCTCACACCCAATTCCAAAACCAGCGCCCCGAATTAAAGCGCGTGGATCTCAGCACCGGTGAAGTCGTTGGAACAATCCGATCAGACGTCCCAGACTTGGTCGTCTTGATTGCTTCCATGGCTGAATCAACAACCGTTCTTGATGGCGCAACTCTGCTTGTGCGCTATCGCAGAGGCCCGCCTTTCAAGAATGAGCCAGCCTTTGTCTGGAGCATAAATTGCGAAAAGGGTGAAATCCGTCTGGTCTCTCCCGGTGGCCCGGCATTGCAGCTGAATGTGTACTCAGAGCCAGTCACTATTGACGTGCATGACTTTGCCACGGATGAAGTGAAACCTATAGAATGGAGCTGGGCGGACTATCAACTGGAACTGCCAGAAGACGCAAGGACTACTGCGGCATGGTACGAAGCATATGCAGCGAGTACTGAGAACGAAAGTGCGACTCTCCAAGATGCGCTGCATCGACATGAGCAGCTAGAGAAGTGGCTCAACACTTATAGCAGGTAATATTCTAGTTTAGAGTTGAAAACGATGCATATATAGGCTAAACTTATCCTATATACATCTAGAAAAATCATGAATGTATGTTCAATTGCCTCTTTTTGCTGCTATTAGAAGCTAGGCATAGACCTCTCAATGATACCTAATAGCCAGATTACCCCTAGATGCCTCGGCGCTAATATTTAATGTTCTTACATTACTACCACCATTTTCAGCAACGGCATATGGATCAAAATGTCTATATTCTAAAAAATGCAGACTATGATTAGTTTCTTTTTGAACGTTATGAACAGCTATGTGATTGTATAAACATTTCATGCTATGCTTAAACCTGATCTTCAACCTCTTCGCCAGCTAATCCACCCTGAGTATTCTGATTTCTCTTTCCAATCATACGACGAACGATACCACTTCGTGCTTTTTTAACGCTCCCAATCCGCGTTTTTCTTTCCTCCTTTTCGTTTTTCTTTTTTTCTTTTTCGCTTTTCCTTTTTCCTTCTTCGTCTTTCCTTTTCTTTTCAAACCGTTCCTCGACTTCCTTTTCAATTCTACCATTCACTCTGTTTTTAATCTCAAGTTTTGCCCTCCTCCGAATTCTGTCTTTGGCCTCATTTATAAGCCTTTCTTTCATAGATGGCTCAAGCCATTGTCGATACAGGTTCTCTAATATTTCTCTCTCTTCCGCATTTATATTACTCATATCTTTCTCATACGTTTCAACCCTTGTTTTAACCGCGGCGTCCAATTCTATTTTCAAAGTTTCAGTAACTTCGTCACGGACCTCCTCGTTAAGTTTTGCTTGCTCACTGTCCCTAAACTTCTGTTCCTCCTCTTTCTCATATTGTTCTTCCTTTTCTTTTCTAACCTGCTGCTCTATGTTCTTCTTCTCTTGTTTCAGCTCTTCTCTCTGCTTTTGGATATTCATATATTCTTCCCGTGCTGTTTGTACAGGACCCAATTCACGCATCCTTTTGAAGTTCATCTCTTTATCCTCCGCGTCTGTATCTCGAGTACGCGTTTTTGGATAGTTGGGCGAAAAGCGCCGTATATAAAACTGATAGTAGCAATGAAATGCGATGTAATAAGCCACTTTCCATAGAAAAGCATAGACTGCCCTGCTGATTGGCTGAACGACAATTTCGTACATTGGACTTATGAGCGGGTTGACTATGCTTTCGGTCGCGCGTCGGCCTAAACGAAAGACAGGTCCTAAAACTCTGTCTAGTATGCGAGCATTAACCAATGCGACAAAAGTAACGAGCAAGGCGATTATGGCGGTGACTATCATTTGATGCAATGTATTCCCTGAGGGCGCTCCACTCATACTAAAGACGCTGGTGGCAAAGCCAACTGGCAAAAAGACGACCGTCACATAGGTGAATAGTCGAATGTCATTAGCGCCACGTTGATCGAGGTCATTGCGCATGGCTTCCAATTTTCTTGCAAATGAGGCGTTGAAAGATGCAATATTGGCACTATATCGCTCAAGCCTATCAATCTTATGTCTATTCAAGACCTGCAACGTAGATATAGCGCCTCGGTAATCGCGTTCATCATTCAAAGTCCACTGCAACTCATCCCGTCTGTGCTCGTTTTCGCGTTCCATCCAAAGCCTGATTGTTGCCAAATTCTCATTGAGTGCATCCCTGACCAGTTGAAAGATAGGCTCAAGCTCATTCCATAACGTATTTGTTGAAAGGAAGTTGTCATTATCGACTTTGTCAATCATGGTAAGAGGATCCAGAAATATAGAGTTCGAGACCTGGCGATCGAGACTGTCAACACTTTCGGGCCTGAAGCTTCTTTCGATGCATCGCTGAGCCTCTTTAAGAATCTCTCTTGTACTCCTCAACATCTCTTCTAGGATCAGGTCAAATAAAACGAGTTCTAATATCCTTCGCTGTCTCCATGCATTGTCCTTTAAAGCGCCAACAACTCGTTTGGTCATTTTGCTGTGCAGATTAGGTAACTTGTCATCTTCGTGGTTCTTCGATTCGACCAGCTTTTGAGGGTTATATTCAATGAAATGACATGTCCAGTAGCGATCCAATATATCTCCGTCAAACCTAAAGCCCATCGTGGCCCGGTTGATCCACATTGCGCCTTTGTCCTTCCTCATACGTCGCAGAAAGGGAATGCTTACCACCTTAGCTATTGTTTGGTATATACCGGATGATGGCTCCTGTCTGGTGATCTGATAGAATGGAAGATGCAATTCAGTTACCCACTTGTTGAGTACTAATATGGTGTCCTCAGAGAAATGTCGATCATAGGATGCGTGTCGATCAAAAAACAGAGAAATAGCGTCCTTCTCTGAGGACGCGAGATAGCATAACAGTGCATCATCCTGGCTTATGGGATGAAAACGCAAAAAACGTTTCTTTGCCGAAGCAGGAGTTCGTCTTTGGTTAATGTACTGCTTGATTCCATTGCTGTTGGTAACACTGCGCGGCTCCGATGTATTGACTTTCATATATAAGCCCTCCTTTTTCGGAATATCAATGATATATCCGTTTATAATGTCGTTATCGCTGTTGTCTTTGTTGATTTCTTTTTTTTTAATATCTTTTTGGTTGGTGTCGTCCTTGTTTTTATTATCTCCGCCGGTACCACCTCCGTTGGCATTGTTTTCGTTGGTATTGTCTTGGTTGATATCGGCTTTGAAGGATTTATGCCCCAACACCTTCGAAATTGCTTCGTCTATTACCGTGCCGCAAAGTATATGCTGATGCTCTTCGCAAAATTGCTTAATATTCTTGTCAGATAGGTCTTGGTCAAAGTTAAAAAAGCGTGGTTCGTCATAAAGCCATCGGTCTGGTATCTCATTCACGTTTCCCTAAGAGATATTAGTGATGTGATACTTCTTACAAGAGATCATTTTGCCTATCTCGATTACCTTGGAAGTTGACATTTCTAGACTGGAGTTCATTTTGTTCATTTGCTGATTAATTTTCTCTATTGTCTGAGAAATCTCAGATAACCTTGAAATCGAGACCTGTTGCTGCACGGATTGTCGTATCTGATAGTTCCACAAAATATAAGGAACCTCGAAGGTAGCATGCCAATACGAATCACGTGTAGATGCGTTGTCGAAAAGGGTAGGCTCTTGATTTTCATCTAATTGTCCTGGTAAGAGTCCGTTTGGCGAGGAGCTGGAAAATAGTATCGATCTAGCAAGGCTATATATCTCTTCTGCTGGCCGCGAATCCATACATTTGTTGTTTGCTGACATGATGGAATAGAAAGCAATTTGGAGTGGATTGATCCAAGCAGTATGATCTTCACGCTGCCCTTGGTAGTCGATTAAATTATTCCACGCATCGATTTTGTTTCGCCATATATCTGGCTCGTCTTCAATATTATTCGTTCGATCGAATATACCAACATTCATAGTGTGGAAGAGAATAGTGTCGTCGGACCCTAGGAGAAATTTATTCTCAGAGAAACTCCGAGAAGTAGCAAGCATAATTTTTTTTGCATATTGATTCTCAGTCGCTAGCTTGGTGATCATGCTTTTTTGAATCTGGGTAGAGGAATAGTTCATTCCCTGCTGCCCTCGTTCCATGTCCGGAGGAACAAAACATCTCGACCCGAGTCCAATTTCTTCTGCTGATCTGATGGCCCACCAAATGAGGGCATGATCGCTGGTAAAGTATGTATATGGTCTGTTTTCATTGTCTCGGGGAAAAATGTACTCGCCACTTTTATCTTTCTGATGGAGCTGTTTAATCAAACAAGAGAACATTTCTTGAAAATTTATAGCAACATCTGTTTGTATCTGTTCATTCGCACTAACCTGGCAAAAGCCGGCAGCTTTGATGAAGTTAAACAGTGTGGTAGTGAGAGGCATTTCGGAGCTGTTTTCCCATCCAGACATCGCTTCACCACTAGCCCAGTAGCCAGTAGTGAGCAAGCCTGTGTTTGTCTTTGTATGAACATAGGAAATCCATGTCAAATGTCCTTGACAAGTGAGTCGGATTCTTCTGCTCAACAGGCAAGCATAATCTTCGCATGAACTGCTTCCGGCAAGACATGAACACGTTAGAACGTTTTCCTGAAGATATCTTAGAGCATTCAATAAGAATTCAAAAGCGTAGCTATATTGGTTAGCTTTGATCAGATAAAAGCAAGTGGACAGCTTACAAGCTTGCTGTGGCTGCAATACGATGACCGGAAACATCTCCACATGTAAACACAATTGCTGGATTTGACGCTGAATTGCTGCCAGCCGGGAGAACATGTTTTTCCAAGACTTCGTTTGTTGGAATGCTGCAAACAGATAAGATATGCTCTAAATTTCGCCTCAGTATAAAATTGAGATGTTCTTTCTCAGAAAATGATATTGTTTCGAATGGACTTTCAATAATCTGTTCTGCTTCCAGAAAGCTTTCGGGGATGAATACAGGGCCCATGTCCGCCAGCGCGGCCGGAGCCAGTTTATAGGCTACAGTCACTCTCAAAGTTTTGAGTTCCGAAAAGTCATCTGCTGTCTGTTGATCTGGAGTTATTTCGTAATAGGCGTCATCTTCAGCAATTTGCAAATCTTCGAAGTATTTCGGGGTCTTCGGACCATCGAGATCTCTGTAATGCTCAGGACGCGCAACAGCTTTAAATGTTTGAAGTTGTCCGTTGATACATACTGATGTAAACAAACCAACAGCATATATATCATTTGTTTCCTGGCCGACCTCATGCACTGTACCTATTGCGTAGCCATCGTTTAAGATATAGCGCCTATAGTGCTCATCATATCCCTCACGCCCATTCTCTTTGTCATGTTCATTAAAATTTAGATTCCGAAGGAGTAAGTTGGAATCGATTGCCAGCTTCGGGATTTTCGGAAGAACCAACTGCCCCTCTTTCAATTTGAATGTATATTGTTGGTACACAGCACTTTGAGAAATGGAATACTGAATGTCCAGGTGAAATGCTGGAGTCTCTGTGATGAAAGACGGCCAGCGATCTTGTAAAAAGCTCATTTTTGGCAAAGCGTCGATGTTTGTTTGTGCTCTCCACTCCTTACCATCTTCACCATCGAAAAGAAGGCGCATCCCTCTAGAAGCATCTTGACAAGAGTTTTGCAGATAATCCATGCGAGATTCCACGTAATATGGCTCAGGTGCGGATGGAAGGTCAGCACAAAAAAACCCAGACGGCTTATTTCCAAAATAGCGCGTTATTTGCAGTAGATGACCATGAGCATCTGCAGTCGCCGTGGTGCCGTCGTTTCCGAATGAGGCGTAGGTAGCTCGAGCGCGAGCTCGCTGAGGAGCCTCGTCTGGAATTGAAGTGCGGTTTTGAGCTATGTATGAAGCAATTGTCAATAGCCAATTAAGGTACGTATCAGACCGCCAGAGATATACCAGTTTCCATGTTAGATGGTCAGTGTCTTCGAAATGCGCAGAAAGAAGTCAGATTCTATCACGCAGCCGTTGTCGCCGTTTGCAGATTCAAGTCAATTGGACTTTGAGTTCCGAAATAATTTTGAACAAAGCTTTATCTTGCCTCTTTAAATGTTTATCCCGCTGTTAGATGAAAAATATATTGGCCACAATCCGTCATATATGTGCACATTGCCAGGCAAGTGCTGGTTATAAGCGCCTCAAACCCAGCGGTGCGGCTGAAGCTGAGCATTATCAAGCAGGGGCAATCCTGGCCACATGCAACCTCATCTGCAGGCTCAACCAGATGGAGATACCAGTCCGAGACATTTTAATTTAATATGGGCGCTGTCATATCCTGAGGCTGCGTTGTCCGCCTGGCATTGGTCGCCTGATTTTACAAAACTTGGCCATGCCTCGTTTCCTTGCAGGCCCCACTCCCAGCCTTGAAGCCAGCTTATCTTTGCTTCCAATACATTGTTACAGTGTCAATGACATTTGTCATATCCTTAACTGCTAATAATTGGAGTAGATACGTTCACTGGCACTTCGTCATTGAATACCGCACGCAACGTCTCTTTCTTGATGTAAATATTGTGTATAAAGTATAACAGTGCAGAAGACCCATGCAGGTGAAGCTAAAGTATATACAATATGTACTACATGTACTATTGGTACTACTGCTACAACTGCCTTTGAAATATAAAGTAATTAGATGTATTTAGATGTATGTATACTATGCATTAATGAACTTCAGCTGAAAACTTAGAAAGTTGAAGTAGGCTACTCAAAGATGGTGCGCCAATACAGATGACCAACAAACAATTTTCCATAATATCCTTAATCTAGGATCTACATCCGCTCTTGGCGGGCCGTTCAGAACCTCATTCGCCTAAATGCAGGGGTAGACGTATCGGTCAGATTGAACCAGAGCCATGCAGCCATGTGCATTCCGCGGTTAACCTCAGGACAACGCTCAAATCTTGCAACATATAAACAGGAATTCTCAGTACATTGTGAATATTTCGTGAGTAGGATTCGTTTGCAGGAACTCCCCATGCATAATCTGGTCGACATAAGCATCCCCTCCAAATGTAAAGCTATCACCCCCATCGTTTCGCGGCCGCAAGATGATGGGGGATGGCAACCCCCAGAGCAATGTTACCACATCTCCAGGTTTGATGGCCAAATGACCAAGGCCAAGCATACCCTTTCTTGTCCTAAATATCGTCCTTCTCAGGTTATAACCTCTCATTTGGAGCATCTTAATCATCTTTGTGGCATACACGTGCTGATCAAGTTGAACAACTAAATTTCGTTGCTTCACATGTGGATCCTCCAAATTGTCGAGAAATTCTTTTTGGGCAGATTCCAAGACTTTAACATCAATATTCTGTCCGCGCATGATTAAACGCACCAGCATGGCAATGTCCTCGTCAATAGAAGGGTTGATTTTGTCGTACCATCCTTGAGACAAGACAGTTCGCCATATGTAGTCCTCTCCTGGGCTGGCGACAGGTCCTAACCTAAAGAATTCCATAATTCCCGAGAGCCATTCTTCTACATTCTGCATCATATCCTTAACAAGAGGCCTGTGCGGTTGTAGAATCTCGGTGATGATATCAACGCGACACCCGGCGCGATGAAGGATTCCAAGAGAATCATCATTCTCGTTGCTAGGCAGTATTGGAATGGGAATTGTGCTGGTAGCATCAAAATACCCATCACGATTTATCTCGGGCTCATTAGACCCTACTTTGCCTATTTCTTGCCAGTCAGGAACCCAACTTGGCAGTGTACTTGGTATATTGTCTTCTCTTGGTACACAACGGTCAAGATGATACGAGTTCTTGTCCTTATCGCCTTTGGATATCATTGCTCTTGTCGCGGCAGTGAAGACTTCAGCCTTTGTCAGCTGATAGTCAACACGTAATCTTAAAACATTGTTGTCGGTAATGATGCCAAGTAGTCCGAAAACTAGATCTCGAGGATCAGAAGCAGCGAATAAAGGGCAGTCTGAAGGAACGACGTCCGTGTATAATAAGCATGACAAAGGTACGCTGATTTCACTCCTGGATCGCCGACGAGTCTCAAGAGGTAAATTTACCCAAAAATTGGGATGCAGCCCCTTGGCAAATTGTTGGGTCTCTGAGTTTATGTAGCGATGTAAACGATTGCACAGATCCACTGCGCTGAAAGTCGCTTCGAAGTGGTCCAGCAATACGCTCTTCGTGCCACACATAAGAGTGACTTCTTGTGCGAGAGCAATCTCTTGGTTAATCCATATTCGCTGCCAGTATTCTCGCTTCATTAAGCATTGAATACCAGCGACAAGATCATCGCCATCTTCCCCTTGAGTGGATGTATGGCTGTTGAGTTCTGGCCAATAAAAGATGTCGTAGATAAACATGGCCAAATCTATTTTCTTTTTTGTATCATATTTTGGAGGGGTTTCTGTTTCACACAAGTCTTTGTCGCGATTGAAGTAGTTTCGTAGCTCTTCCAGCGGAATATCGAAATCTGAGGGATCGTTCCCAAAAGACAGTGCCCGAGGCCCTATCCGAGATGCAAACTCCATTGCTTTGTCTGTAGAAGACTTTCCAGGACCTAGCCATGAATATACATGTTCCGCACGGCGGAAGATGGTGCGCATTTGCTTGACCTGGTCAGTCTTCTCCTCTTGGTCCGACTGCTGAATGCACAAAGCATCGATCCAAAGCCAGCCATGGCTTCCATTGACAAAGAGTTGTCTCAGAGCCGCAAACAAATTGTGGCCAATCATGCATGGAGAGTCATTTATAGATAATTCAATCGAATTTTTGACGTCGCCCCAGACGTACGATAGCGCAGAGAAGCTGATTTCGTCGATGAAAGCATGGCGTAGCTCAAGCGAGATATCGCTTGTGGATTCTCCAGCGCTTAAAATACGGACAAGCCTGATCTCCAAGATATCGCGACGAAGAGGAGTATAAATAAACATGGCGGCAATTAACGATGACTTTCTTTAGACTCTAAAAACGTGCTTTAACTTTATAGTGAGCAAAAAATCATTCTTCGCTCCATTTGAGCCTCCAGAGCTACACTGGCCACTAAAAGCTCATTGTGCAGATAACTCAACACTTCTGGCCTACATTCTGCCTTGGGCTGCCTAGCCAATCGCCATCTGTGTGTCTGACCCCGGTCAACAAGTACACTTGCGGGGACGCTTGATCCTTTCCAAGATGCCTTGCTGCGCCCAGCGCAAAGGCGGCCTCAACTTGTGCTGACTGAGCCTCCATCAGCTATCTGCAGTGGACTCCCCAACTTTCGATTGTAGTCGCGTGTCCAGGCAAATGAGGCAACGCGATATACCTACCCCTCCTCCCAAGCATTATGCTTGATGTAGATGGTGAGCCAGAAGGTGTGGTAGGAAATGAAGAGACTGAGAAGAGTCGCATTTGTGTTACCAACAAGGGATAGATAGCTATAGAACAAATTGAAGAAAACTCAGCTCAGGCATTTCTATAACAGGTTTCTTACTTGTAGGAAGCCTCCGTAACGGATTAATGGTACATCGCATCCATGTCGCCGACTTGTGGCTACACCTGTGAAACTGGCGCAATCGCTCCGTTTCAAAGTTGTGTAGGCGACGAGTTGATCTTTTAACAACGCTGGTCTCATTGAACCGTATAATCTTGCCGAATCCAATAGCAAGCGGCAAGGCAAACTCGCCGAGAGGGTCTAGATGCTGCCCAGATTTATGAGCGGCAGCAGTGGTGGTAGCGCTTCCTACTGCGAAGCTTGGGGTACGATTGCCATGTATGTTTACGTCATTTGATGGCATTCAAGAAACGGGGGGTTCAAGATATCAAGTCATTTTATTTAAGGCCAAGTCATTTTCCAGCATTGAGGCCGTTGGTTGAGCAGCATCGTTTATGTCTTCTGTAGTAGGCTAGTACTCATGTGATGACTGCTTCATGTGTGCTGTTGGTTCTATCTTTTATATATAACACTCAAAGCTTATTAACGTCTGTGAAGTGTGATTTGTGTGAATGATTCAGATCTCATCTTGGACCATGATCATTGGTAGGGTCTGCCAAGGACCAACAACTCCTTCCATTCAAGGATCACGATACCTAACAAAATACAATTGAAGCACAAAAACAGGCTATCACTGAATCACTATACGAAAAGAAGAATGCATCACTCAGCAGCATCAACCCCAAGTTAAAAGAAGCAGCTCCCCCCAAAATGAGAACGCCAGAATCACCAAACCAACCTCATCCTTAACCTACACTATTACAAGACTTATCATCGCCGCGCCCCTATTCAACATCCAACCTAGACCAAAATGAGATTATTTGCTTCCATCATCGCCGTTGCCGCCATTCTCGCCTCCGTTGAGGCCTGCCAGTGCCACTCCTCCGGGGATGTTGACATTCGCGCCACTGAAGACTGCTGCCGTGATTCTGGCGGCACGCCCGATGGCGACCAGTGTCCAGCTCATCAAATCAGAAACAAGCTCAGTACTTTTCATTTATGCTGCGAGACTTACGGGCTTGAGTCGGACTGCAAATGCCCAAGAGGATGTTAAAGCTTCGAGCTCAGCGCCAAGGCACGAGACTCAAGGTAGATCGCCTCTCATTGGCGCAAATATCGAGGCTGTATTCGTAAAGGACGCGGGCTAATTGTCAGTCTACAGAAAAAACATGTTGAAGAGAAATTCGTTGTGTATTGATCTAAAATCTAGGTAGTCTATCTATAAATACTTTCCACTATTTCTCAACATGATAGTCGCTTATGTGGATGTTTGCTTGGATGCAATAAATACAAATTCGCGAGAATAATACTCGATACAGAACTTTATCTATTCTGACTTATTATGATTCACGCATTAGCCATATCTCACTCGTTAGTGTGTACTAAAGCTCTTCGCGCGCCATGCTGTAATCCTTCATCGAGGCGCCACATATACTCGAGAGGACATCTTGAATGTCAAATTCGGCACATCGTCCGTGAATAAAGCCAGGTGAGATGCGTCTTCTAAAACGTACATTCAACACCCTGCTGTGCAACAAACGCTGCTCATTTTGATTCAATACGTACTCGTATTTATTCTGCCGTCTATATCCAAATAGTCACCCAACATCGCGTTGTTTGCTTATTTACAATCAATGACCCCCACACAACACCACATCATCTCGCAGTGACAGTTCTTGCAGCCCAAAGAATAAGAATTTATGTGGTTGAGGCGATTTCTCTATACAATCCTTCAGCCAACATTACTGATCCCTTTTTTCACTCGTCTACACATCACCAAGTGACACGCCAGTCAAAAACCGCGGACAACAAACAGTCGCATTGTTTGCTCCAACATATTCGGAGATCATTCCTTAATCTGGTCCGAATAACCCATCAACCAATCTGAAAGTAAGTCCCTGAACCTTAGCATCTGGTTTATTCGCGAGTTCAATTGTGCATCGAACCACCTCATACACCCCCGTCTCGTACACTCGAAGCGAATCTTCCTCGTCCTGGTTCTTGATCTGATAGGCCCATCCGTCAACTTTCGAATGCTCGCCTGCATCTACCAACGACAGATATTTCCCATCTAGTGTACAGAGTCGTCCTCGACGAATAATAGCCCGTTCATACACGACAGGGTGCTCCTTGTTCAGGCCAATGACTCGAGAGAGTTTGCTGGGATCGGTAAGTGTGCCGTAGAAGAAGTACCAAACGGGATATTCATTCTGTGCCGGTCGAAAGAGTGAGGTTGAATCGGATGTAGAAGCACATTCTAAGTGGTGATTATCTGGCCGGAATTGTGGAAAAGTTGTGCTGATTCCGAGTGTCGGGTAGAGAGACGTCGAAGATAGATCCTTCGCCGCCACAGATGTACGAATCATCGTGGGTTTGTAGAAAGGGCGCTTCTTAGACATGGCCTGAAGGAATTCTACTTTCTGGCTGCCAGTTAACAGACAAAACTCCGCTTTGTTCCCATGGTCGTCTAAGCCAGTGAGGATTGTTTGTTTCTTGGGGAGGCAGCGCATCAAGTCTAGATATTCTATCATCGAGGAAGGGTCGGTTTTCAGCTGAAGGAGATACTTGGCTTCCTCATCTTTGGCCTCTAGCTTATTGATGGACGTGCGCGAATCCTTCAGGATCATTTGCGCCCTCCATAGACTAAATTCATAAGTCTCTTTGTTGTATCCCTCAGCCATCTTCGCTTCTCTGACTAGAAGCCATGCTTCTTCCGAGATGGCCAGACGAGTGAAGTCGGCTCTCCAAGCTTTAATTGTGTTGAAAGCTAAGCCCGGCGAAAATCCGAAGAGCATTTGCCACATTTTCAAATCGTCCTCGGAAATATAAACATATAAATCATCCTCGGTGACATCGAAGGCTGCAACATTCGCGGCGAGGTCTTCGCATGCCGCAAGGAGATCCATGGATAATAGAGCAAGTTCAACGCACAGCTAGTATTTGGTGATTATCAGATGTATGCTCTTGCTGGCAAAATGACTCAATATTGTGCGAGCGGCCTTTCATATATACATCGATCTATTTTTAGCCTTCCGAGCGCAACTCGGCGTGGCGTAACAAATCCACCTTGAGAAAGTTACCAAGATCGTATCCTATGTTGAGGCTTTTCAGCCACGCAATACTGGCCGTCGACGCAATTGTGGGCTTGCGATGTTAAGTTTGTCCACTTTGTCTTACTGGACTAATCCTGGATCCAAGATATCATTGATTTCCAGTTCTCTAGCGCATCGAAGTAAGTCCTCCAGAAAATCCGGATGGTGTATCATATCCACATTGGGACAATCTTCTACATTTGAAGATAATTGTGAGGGATTTGCTCCTATTGCCAGGGGGAAAAATGACATGGTGAATGCTATCCAGTTTCAGGCTTTTATGGAGTTGCATATACCTCGTGGGCGGCGAAACTCAATGGAGCCTGCCTTTCCTTCTCTCGCTGGAAGTCGCTAGAAGCAGATGCCATGTTAGGTACTAATCCAGTTAGATATATGAACCAGGCCATCCTGAGGCAGCTTATTAACCGCATGAATACCATATTTAGAGGTTTGGAAAGGCCGCGTGTGGTCATTAGGGGATATATACAGATAAGACGTCCCTAATCCTCGTGGATAGGGACAAACTAAGGTTCTACTAGTAAATATAGATCTACTAGTAGATATAGAGTTATAAGCGTATATAGATCTACCAGTAATTATGAAAAGAAAACTAGATCTGTTAATAGATGTATTTTACTAGCATAGATACATACATCTAGTAGCGTATGTACCTACATTTACAAATTAACGTAGAGATCTCATCGGGGTTCCCACCTTGCTGCCTCCGACATCGCCTAGTTACCAACAGTACTACTAGGGATAGCTTGTAGTTGAGATATAATGATGCGGTATAACTTCAATCTTCTTCGGATGATCGCTGAAGTATTTGTTGGAAGGGACGACGTTAGGATGTTCGGCTATTAGAGTTTAACTGTAATTCCTAGTATATTTGTTCTCGCACCTCCGTGCTATATCCTAGATCTTCAGTCTAAAAATATGATTCATTCTTCTCATTTCAACAATCATGAGCCCGGCGCTCAACCGACTTTTGCTTTTTTGGTCCCTACGATTTCTTGATCTCGTATATCAATACTCAGCCAAATCAACCAACCTCGCACAACAGAGCGACGGACGCCACCGGCACCAAATCTTCACACTAACGGACCAAAACGCCGCATAGAATATTGATCTCTCGCCGTACCAGACATCCACTCTGAGACCTGAGATCCCCTGTTCCCTCGTCTATTCGAGCTACAAACTGGAAGACTGAAAACACCATTCAGAACCATCCAGCATTGACTGACCAATCCAAACGCGTCAATAGACAACACACTGTTCTGTACCTTCCCTACCAGCACGCACAAACATTCCAATAGAGGGTGGAATAAGTGCGGTAAGGCATGATTTGTCCAGCGATGATCAAATGGACTATACAAAACGGAATGTTGTGCTTGATGGATCCCTTTCAAAAGCTCATATGAAAGACGGCTACTGTAGGTAATACTCTTATGGTGAATGTTCAAAATTTGGCTAACATGAAGTACATAGATCCGGTAGAAATTCTCATGCCTGTCATTCTTAGTGACTATGAATGGGGTGCTAAGATTGAAACATTTTGGGCTGTTTTGCAATCAAAGTTCGAAGTACTACTTGACACAACCAGTGGCACACACATTCATATCTCTTGGGCTCAAGGTCGCCATTCAATGGACGAACCGAGGAAAACACCCAAAGTAATAGTTTTCTAGGAGCCTGCTACTGTTCGATGTTGCCCACCATCAAGGCAAGACAAGTTCACACCGTTTTGCCTAAGCAATCTGAAGTCCCTCGCTCTCAGCCATCACTTCCAAAAGTATGGCCAGTACGGGCTTTACCTACCATGTTCAACATGATTGACGAGTTGCCTCGAGATGAGTTGGTTTCATTGGTCTGTCCTGACAAATATCGAGCATGGAGTCTTCTACTAGCACGAGAAGGAAAGGCAGGCTCTCATTTGCTGTGGCCAAGAATAGCAGGCGAAAAGGTCATGACGCGCGAAATATATCCTAAAGGGGTTACGCAATAAAAACAGCTTTCCTACTTATTTTATCGAGGTTCTCATTCACTAGTCTGACTGGCAAGCTGGTGACTCTTCCTTGCTGCTGCCCCTGGTCTATTTTTGCCAGTAGATCTATATTCGCTACTAGATCTATATTCGCTACTAGATCTATATTTACTAGCTAGATCTATACATGCTACTAGATCTATATTCGCCAGGAGTCTTTACTATTTACAAGCATTCGAGTCGTCCTATTCATCTGCAACATATATATGTGCTTTCCTGGACTCTGGTATCAGATGAAGTCATTAACTCAGGCGAAACATGACAGATCTCTACGAGAGAAGACGCTCAACAGGCCCGTTCGCTAGCAAAAGAAATAATTCTTGTCTGCTAACATGGCCAAGGACATGTCCCTATCGTGATGAGCCAGCGAAGTAGCAATACTGCCTAAAAAGCAATGCTCATCAACAACATCACAAGATAACACAATCCATACGTATCATTCATCTTGAATTAATTATCGGCCATGCATCAGTATCCCTTCACTTCTCCCAAACTAAAGCCTACATAAACCTTATCCATAGGCACAAGAGTGGGGAGAACAAATGTGAAAAAAAGTCTTTCCTTGCACGAGCGAGGGGACAGAAAGCCTATACAGTTACCCCTTTCTACTCAAAGCGGTAAACTCGTCCCGCTCTGTCCAACCCCATCTTTATATGCCCATCCCCGAGATCCTCACTTCTACCGAGAGCAACATGCTCTTCCAAACCTGATGCCGAACCCTTGAGATTTGCAGTCGAATCATATCTACAACTGCGAACAGCCTCCTTTCCATGCCTTCATGGAGAAAAGAGAGAACTAAGCAAAATAGCTCTTCCATAAAACTCCTTCCAAGTCCTCAAGTTGATCTTGGGTAAAGTACTGTAAAAACAAGTTAGCATTTTCTCTTTCTTTTTTCGTGTTAACACGCAGAGATGTTTGCGCAAGCCAGTGCTTTCACTTACCTTTTGATCAACGGTCCAGCTATCCTGTCTCGTCTTTTTGAATTCGCTGAGAATTCCCTTGGCAGCCTTGCCCACAACTCCTGGATCGCCCGCAGCTCGTCGAGCCACAGTGGCCAGTACCTCTGGCATCCACTTCGGTGGCGGTGTGGCGTACGGGAAAGCCTCGATCAAGGCACCCAGACCCAAGACTGCAGCGTGGCGCCTGTTGATCTGCTTGTGTATGTCGACGGGCGTTTCAGTTCCAGAGAGTTTGGGGCCACGCTTGGGCATCGGGTTTTGGTCCAGCTCGATCTCGAAGCGACGCTTGAGGCGCACAATCAGGGGATCTCGGATGCGACCTGGAGAGCAGCGGATCATTCCAGCAAGCGTCGTCGCTGCACATGCTCGAACCTCAAGTTGAGGATCACCAAGCATGTCCGACACGTTGTTAAATAAGACATCGCGCTCTCGCTCCGCTGTCAAGAAAATGCGGCGGAAGTAAATGACTTGCATATTGACCAGAGCTCGCAGTCGCTGATGCCAGCTACTGGCCGTTCTGCCAATTTTGACAAGCCCATCAATGAATTGGGCATCCTCTCCATCGCGGAAAGGAATATTGGGGAGGTGTCGATATACATGGTACGCGACCTTCATAAGTTCGGGGTCTTCCTTGACATCCATCATGTGAAGAAGCTGGTCCATGAACGGAGTTGCAAAGAATGGCACCAATTGAGTGCATTCATGCGATGACAGCGTGCAATCCAGCCACACCAGTACAGTCTTGGATCCGCATGTGTATGCGGATTGGTCTTGTTGTCCTGGAACTCGCTCAAGGCGCCATTTTTCGAGTCGATCGAATACGTCTTTCATCGTAGTCTTCAGCTCATCAGAGAGTTCATATGGCCTAAGTCCAATCGATGAAGCCTGTTTGTTGGCTTCTAACAGAGCATTCACATTCTCAAACGCCTCGTAGTATCTTGTCTTGTAGATTACAGACAGAACACGGCCGATAGCTTCGCGCACAGCTTTGTAAGGGTGGTCTATGTGGGCCAAGAAATCTTCCAAAATTGGCTTTTCGTGACGGAAATGCCATCCAGCATCAGCTATAACGAACTCTAGCAGCTGAACTTTGGAAGACTCCTTGAAAGCAGCGTTGGAAGTCATGTCAAGTCGGAATGACTTAAGCTCGTCCACAATCTCGTGAGATCGACGTGGATCTTTGGAGTCGAGGATAAGGTGAAGACAAGTAAGCCAATATTGTAAGTTTTCTGGCGTCAGAGCTCCGTCGATGACTTTTAGCATCACTGGCGCAGCGAATGCCCAAACTTTATTGCGTATTTCCGGCGGATCATCGCTAGAACCGCCTAGCAGCGCACCGATGATCTCTGCAGTCGCACGATGCTGGTGCTTATCGTTGCCGTCGCCATAGATTTCCATAGTGAGCTCCTTGATGTCATCCAAAGTGGCAGCCGTTCGACCATAGTGCATGAGATCGAATACGTGCATCAGCAGGTAGACATTGTTCATGCGGAATCTGTCATTGGTAGCGTCTCGAGGCTCTTGCTTGAGGTACTCGAAGCATTGTGAAAACCATTCCTTGGTCAAGATTTTGCCAATCTGGTCGCGCACAGCTCGTTCAGCGTCATCATAGCTGTCGAAAGGCTTGGGGCGTGCGCGATACGCAGTAAAGCTCTTGCCCCAGACCAGCCATCCAGGATGGTCAAAATCCACCATGTACTCCGCTTCCTCGGGAGGTGCTTGGAAAGCGTCCAGAAACTTCTGTGTGAACTCAGCATTACCCTTGTCCACCGGGACCTGAATCTTGTTTCTGTTCTCTACCTCCTTCTCCA